TGTGGCAGCATTTTCAGATTTTTGTTTCTGACTTTGTATTTTGCATGCAGGCAAGGTTTTACATGGTACTAAAAGTGTCAGAAAGAAACTTGGGGAGGCACCAAGAGAAGATGAAAGTCTAAAATACAAGTTGTTACATGGTCTTTTCCACTGCCACGTTACCCCTTCCCTGAGCACTTCTACATGTGTCATGGACCAATATGTATTTTTAAAATAACCTGTGTTCTTAGAAGGGTTGGCCACATGCTAAATTCTGAAAACCCAATTAAATACAGCTTTTGAGAAAGGACTGAAGTATTTTAAATAATATTGGGGGTTTTTAGTGTTCCCCCAGTTTTCTCTGGAAATAAGAAGCACTGAGCAGAATAAGAAAAACTAGGGGCCATTTGTATATTTGTACCTTCTCCCTTTCAGTGGCACATTGGAATGGAGAGGGTGAAGGAGGTTTTGTTTCTGGGAGAAATAGCTGCTGGACCATTACTTAAGACCAGGGAAGGGTATAAAATGTGAGGTTTCTGCCTAAGGAAATTGAAACCCTAATATGCTGCTGTCCCTGCTTCAGAAAACCAATCTCCTATTCTTTGTTAAAGAATTATTTTTTTTAGTCTGGGCTCTTTATCACCAGTCTGTAGGGGGATAGAATATAAGAAAATAAAGATAGTGTAGAAAGTAATCTTACCCCTAAGGAGTTGCAGCTGGGCCAATTATCAAAGATTAGGAACAGGCCTGACTTTACCAGGCCACAGCTGTGAGCAATGAGCAGAAGATGCTATAAAAGAGTGGGGTGGGTGGGTGAGAGGGAACTGGAGTCAGTGGCTGCTTTGTGAAGAAGAAAGAGTCAGTGCTGTGAGGAGCTGCCCACGAGAAACACCAAGCAGGTATGGAACTTTTGTGATAAGGAGACAACAGTGTGGAACCCCTGCAGTCAGATGCCAGCACCAGTCTCCAAACAGAAAATGGAATTGGAGACTGGTGTTGTGGCCTTATTGCAGGGGGTCCATACTTTGGCATTATGCATCTATTAATGCTGTACCTATATTCCCAAATTGGTGCTCAGTCAGGATTTTTGCCTTAAAACTCCCCCAGTAATGAAATGTGCCCATGAATGAATACAAGGGGCTCACCAGTCCAGCCCAAGCTCTTTGCCAGCCCTTTCCTTTTGTTGTCATCTTCACAGATTGTGTGAAGAACATCCCAAACAAACCTCAACCACAAAAACTCCCTGGGGACACAGTGCCACTCCTGCTCACCAAGAGGAAATTTTGTCCCTGTTTGCCCCCTTTTTCGTGCTGAAAGTGTAACATCCCAAGCCAGTGATGGCTTCCTTCCTTTCTGCAGAGTTCAGTATGGTTCTGCTTTGCAGTCACTTTGGGGGGAGAAAAGAAGTGAGACACTGCTCTCCTTTCACTTGTCCTCCTTTTCAAGTGAAGGAACAAGAAGCTGTTTGACTTTGCTTGTCAGAGCAGTGGTTCTTATATTTGAGTAGCTGTAGCAATTACTAATCATGAGAGTGATTGTAAACCCTGGCTTAGTGCTGCACAAGAGGTGGTTTCACTATGATGTGAATTAGCACAGGAGGAGATGCTGCAATTAGAGTAATTGGAGCTTACTTATAGCATATAGGAGGAAGAGGAATAAATAAGCTTTTGTTTAAGATACTGCTTCTGATGTGGCACCTCTTGGGTCTGAGCTCAGCAGGGTAAAATGTTAATTTTTTTCCTCAGTTTTGATGAATTTATCTCCAATTTTATGCAAAAGAACTGTTTTTGGTGTATATTCAGAATAGCTGAAAACTTGTATTGGGTTGTTGGTTTTAGTTGTGGGTGTTTTGTGGGGTTTTTTGGCTTTGGGCAGCAGTAGGATCGAGCAGTCAGATTGCATCTCAGTACCTCCCATGCTTCATTTCCACCACATTGGCAGTTGTAACTACTGGGTTTTTAATTAATTCCCACATGGAGTTTATTCAGAATTGATATTTCAGTCTTACTAAACTGGACTTATTGTTGCCTGAATTCTGTGTGTGCTCTCGTCCTTGTGCAGAGAATAAAATTGAGGAAAAGACACACTGGAGACTCAACTTTTCCCAAGGACGTAGCTCTTAAAAGAAGAAATTAAGCTACTGAATTCCCATTAAGTTTCTTGACCCTAAATGTGTGTATTTTTGTCTAAAAACAGACCTGCAATGATAGATGAAGGCAGTGGATTTTCAGGTCATTGGAAACAGGGTTATTCTTCCAGATTTGCTTTGACATAGAAATAAATTTGCAGTTGTAAAATGGGAAGCAGCTGACTAACTAGTTCATAATGTGGGTCACCAGTGTAAAAAAGGTTCCAGTCCTATTCCAGCAGCCCTGACAGCATCAGCACCTCTGAGACCTTAGAATAATAACAGAACAGCAGAACAGAAGTAAACTGTTCTTGATCAATAGTAATATCAAAGCTTAGAGGAATGCTGGAGATGAGAAACAAGCCCACAAGTTTAGGAGAAGTGATGTGAAAGGAAAAGAGGGAGAACTGGAGCTGGCTTGGTCCTTTGGGGTGGCCTCTTGGCACTGCTGCCTTGTCACTCTCTGCCTCCTGTCCTTGCATCTCCTTTGGCCAAATGCCTCTTCCTGTTCCACAGTTCTCAAATGCTGCAGTTGACTCAAAGTCCCTTTAATTATTTATTCACACAAACTCAAGAGGACTCTAAATTAAGGGGAAGGAATGTAAAGGTTGTTACTGCAGTGGTGCTGGAATAAGGGAACAGGTGATCAATAGGCAGGTGAGAGGGATGGTGGCTGCTTCATTTCTTGAAAAGCACTGGAATAGAGTGACAGGAACCAGATTTTCTCCATGGCTTTAGTGAGGAAAAGATTAATTGCAAATTTTAAAAGAATTCCACTTATTAATGGAGGAAAACCTTGCAAGAGACCATCAAGTGAATCTCCAGAATATCCCTCTTTGGGTGCTTTAAAAGCACACTAAGCAATCTTTTGTTGATGAATGAAATCCATACAGGCAGCTCAGCTCAAAGACCTGGCAGCCCCTTCCCTGCCATTGTCCAAGGGACAGTCTGCACAGGATTGCAGTCAGCTCCTGTGTGAAAATGAGATGCTCATTAGAGCTGAAATAATAATAAAAGAAACCCTAAAAAAACCTGTTTTGAAAGCTCAAGACTACATCTTACTGGAAATTTAAAATACAATATGTAACATTGATTTATGTGTTAGGTAGATAGAGGCTGTGAAGATGTAGTGTTGTTGTAATGTGACTGTCAGTGTAATATTGTGACTTTCTAGTATTGTCCTGCTCTCCACTTAACACATCACAAAAGTACTGAAAAATGGATTTTACCATATCATTAAAATATTTGGTAAAATGTTCTTAACTTACTGACATCTCAAAAGAATCATGAAATATCTGTTTCTTATGGATTTCTTTGTGGCATTTCAGCAGTCTCTGGTTATTAGCACTGGTAGCAAATTAATTAAAATTATAACTGAGTGGGGTTGTGGGATACATGGAGATTGGAGTAATAGTGAGTGACAGGGAGAGTGAAACAGCCAGAGAGAGGGATGGTCTGAATTGCTGAGCATCATTTACTTACATAAATTATCATGCAAAGGTGTATAATGAGGTGTATGGGTCATGCTTGAGAATTAAGGAACATCTTAACAAAAGTAATAATTCTGAAAATACATCAGTGTTTATAATGGAAGGTGACATGAACTCACAGCATAAAGCTGTGTGGAAGGGCCAAGAGGTGATGTCTGATAAATCACTGTTAGACTGAGCAGGAGCTTGGCTTCCCCTGTGTGGAACCCCCAGATGTGTGTGTATTCATGGTGCAGTGTCTCAGTACCAGACTGTTACAGTCTTACAGCTTTAGAACTGTTCCTGAAATGCTGGTGAAAAATTTCACTGGGGGGGAGTTCTACAAAATGATTCCAGCACTTTTTCTTGGATTTTTTAACAGTGTTAAATTACTTATTTGTGTGTGGGGATATCACTGCTATTCCTGCCCTGCAAAAAATGAGCTTCTCTAAAGGACTCTTTAATGCAGAAAGGTGACAAGAAGCAGTGGCTGTGCACTGAAATCAGGCATTTCCCATGGTCCATGTGCTTTAGCAGCAGGGATGAGTGGCCCTTGGAGCAAGCTGCCAAAGGAGGTAGTGTGAGCACTGTGCTTTCATTTTCTTCAGGCCAAGGGTGGATAATATGCTGGCAAGTGTATCAAGTGAAGGTTACTGGAGTTGATGCAGTTGTACTGGATAGGATTGAAAGGATCTGTGATTATTGGAAGATTTAATAATCTCTCTTTAAAGCTCTCTCTGTATTTATGTGAAAATCTAGGAAAAAAATTGTGGTCAATACTTAGGGGACTGTTGCATACTAGGGAAAAATGCTCATCAAACTTACTTTTACACATAAATTCTCTGTCTTAAGAAAAAATATGAATATCTGTGTCTTACCATGCATTGTGAGTATTATTCATTTTGCAGTCTGGCTAAACGTGCTGGTTTTATTCATCAAAGGGCTGCTTAATTTGATTGGTAAGAGTTATATAAATTGAACCTTAATGTATTTGAATTAGTCTTGCTTCTAGAAATGTTCTGTGTTGAAGGAGATTGCTTAATTGGTATTCTTGTAACTTTTAGTTTTGAGTGGATTTTAATGAACTCAGATTTACCAAAGGCAGTGTACCTCTCAGCAAGTTTGCCTTAGCCTTTGCCTGGAGGAGTTGTAATGTATACAGGTTCTGTGCTTCTTATGTTCACATTATTTTAATGTTATTGCATCATGAATATGCATCAACACAATGTTTTCATATGCAGACTACTTACTATTAGAAATCTGTGCTATTCCTTGTAATTTTGTATAGACAGTGAATACTGTTTTATAGACTTTGGAATTATAACAACCACTGCATCTTTTTTTAATGAAACCCAAATCTACCTGTGTTTTTCTGTTGATGTACAGGAAAAGCTGATTGTTTTTTACCATTGTTTGTTTTTCAGTGAGAGGTTCATGGTGAGGTTAAACAAGAACGGAGGCCCCAGGAACCCGGAGAAGATCGATCGAATGTGTGCACTTTTCACAGTACGTGTCTGTTCCCTTCCTTCCCCCTCACAGCAGTGGGGTTGGAGGTTTCCTGAGGGGAAGGAAACCCAGTTCTTCCTCTCCAATATAATCAGTAAAGGAGAAATAATTTCTAAGTTTTGTTATGATTTTGACTAAGTGTTAACATAGAAAGTGAATGTACTTCTAAATTTTTTTATGGCTAAGTGAATGTTCTGAAGTACTTGCATTTGTTCCTGCAGATAGTGTGACATTTTGAATATTTTCATTGGATGTGCTGTGCTCTTTGATAACAGAGCATGGGAAAATGCTGTGATGGCCTGAACATGAAACAAGGCACTTTTTTCTGAATGAAAATCAGACAAGTGTTTTCCCTTGTCCTGTCCCTATGTGCCTTTGTAAGAAATTGCTTCTGTGCTGGTCTTGTGTTCAAAATTCCCTCAGAATCAGGTGTCAGACCATCATTTTATCTGCTACTTCTTCTCAGAAAGGATATGAAAATCTGAGACACTGAAACTTAACAGCTCCTCACAGAATAACTGTAAGGAATCTCAGATCCCAAGTGTGATAAACACCTTCCATCGTGACTCACCTTTAGTTAGTGCACATGCTGGAAGCTCTGTAGCAGGAGTATTTTTACCTGCAGTGAAGAAGAAAGATGGCAGAGCTTTGGTTCTGGCAGTGACACTCCCTGAGGTCAGGCAGGGCTGGACACTGAGCCAGGTATGGTCCCCAGCACTGTTCCCTTCTCTCCCTTAAGAAGGCAGCAGGATTCCTCCTCTTAGGGAACAGAATAAATCCAGGTGTAAGGATGCTCTGTTCTGTCTCCATCTGGATCTGAGAGCTGCAATCCAAAAGTAGCACTGACCTGGATGCTGACATCAGTAGCAGTTCTGGTTTTGGTACCATCAGTGAGGTGCTGAAAGCTGAATAAACATCAGCAAGGTGACAGTGTCACCTCAGAGATGGTAACTCAAACCCAGAGTCTGCTCCTACTGAGAGAAGGTGGGCAGGGGTTAAGGTTCAGCACTGATGTCTGAGTCAGGTGAAAGGCAGGAGTGCAGCTTTAGGAGCTGCCCTAAGGAATAATCTCAAAGGGCAGCACAGGCTTTGTATCAACTTTGGCACTTTCTGGCCTCTGAGGTTCATCAATGTGAAAAAGATTTTCAGCATCCAGCTTCCCCACCCTGACCCATGCCACACAACCTGGGGTCATGGAACAAGTGTCCTGTTTCTCCCTGTGTGAACAGTGTGAAACAGTTTTGCTCTGGTGATCTGCAAACCAGCCTTTAAAGCCTTTAAAAAATAATGATAAATTACAGCCAGGGCCATAACACAATTCCAGGAGAGGCCTGCTGCATATTCTGAGCAGGGCTAGTGTAGTCCAAGAGCAGGGAGCCCTGGGATTGCAGGATTTGCCAGTGCAGCCCCAGTCCTGACCAGAGATACCTCCTGAGCTCCCTTTCCTATTGCTATGCAAAAATGCCAAAGCTGCTGCAGTCTCTGCTCTCCAGGGTGCTCAGACTCCAGCACTGGCTGGTGGAGGTGCTTAGGCTCTCACTCTTCTGCTATAGAGTGTGTATTCTACATAACAAAAATTACAATGAATGTATACTCTACATAACAGGAATTATAACTGGAAAAATTATCTGTGCAAAAGATCTCACACTTCTAAAACAGCATTTTTCATCAATGTGTTCAAAGACCTTTCCAAAGTGTGTAGTAAAAGAGCAATAAATAATTGCTGTTTTGAATAACCATTTTATCTGGTTTGATCTTATGATAATTTCTTAATTATGAAATGCTTCTAAGATAAGATAGTTCTGTGATTTTCAGGTCTTCTCCCAGGCTCGTGTTCATCTTGACTTTAAATCTATTTCTTTATTTCCTTGCCCTACCTCACCACACCACAATATCTTTCTAAAACTCTTTTCTTTGCCCAAGGCAAGCAGCCCATATTTTAGATAATTCAAGGGATCCCTGTCTTTTCCTGCTATCTCTGTTACTTCTAAGGGTTCAGCTGTCTCCTTGTGTAAGATATCAAAATTACCCAGGCTTGGGTTTTACATCTGCTGTCATATCACAGCAAAGGTGAGAAACTGCTTGCTCTGAAGATCAAAGCTCACTCAAGCAAACCTCAGCCTGTGCACATGTTAGAAACATTCCTGGGTCTGAATTAAAATGTAACTACACTGTATAAGGTTGTTATCTTTGTTAAATACCTTATTCTCTGTGGCCTATGAGGTTGGCAGCTGAATTAAGTAACTTATTACTGGCAGACAGGTATCCTTGATTCCAGTGGTTTGGGGGTTGTTGTGATGGTGTTTGGGTTTTTAAACACACAAGCAGACCTTTCTAGAAACCAGCATTGTAAAGAACTAACCATTATTGTAGAGAAACTCTCTTCCATACCCAATAGAGGTGAGAAAATTTAGGGGTGATTTTCTAAAAAGTCATTCAGTTAGAATTATAATGGAATTATGTTGTGTATCAGTCAGTATCATTTAGGAAGATGTGGGAAATACCCACAAATATCCACCCTGGATGCAGTTCTTGGAGTAAACAGTAAATGTGTTTTATCCTCTCCTGATCCTGGAGATGTACATGGATTCTCTGCAGAGGAATCATCTGAAAACTTCCTCACAGGGGCTGGGGCTTTTGATTGTTTGGTCCATGTCATAGTAGGAATTTCTTGCCTTATAAAAAGCCTGTGCTGTACAAACTGAAATGCAAGGCCATCTGGGCCCACATTTTTTGTCTTCTGCCTGTGACACTTTATTTGTGAAATTGGAAAAGCAACTAAAGTGTGAACCCATCAATATGTTCATGCCCTGCCGTTTTCTGATGTTTTGACAGCTGCCCTTTGAAAAAATAGTTCTTTAAATTGCTGTTAATTAGAACTGGTAATCTGATGGTATAATAAAATTCCCCCTGTCAAAGCACAGATATTTTCAGGCATCTATTGCTCTCTAGAGCATTAAGTATTACCTCCAAGTTTTTTTGCTTTTTGAAATGTCTTGTCAGGCATTTCTGAGATTAAAACTATGTCAAATCCCTTTTAGTGTGGAACTTCATGTCTCCAAGACATGCAAGATAAAGGCTACCATATGTTACCCTGGTATGCTGGGTGATGGAGAAAGCCTAGAAAGTGTGTTCCCTTCTTGGTGCAGCAGCAAAATCGAGCCTGAGGAGGAAATGCTAAGGATGGTTGATGTGGCTTCATTTTCTGGCTCTGGAGAGACAGATCTGCTGGTTAGCAGCATCCCAAACAGTGGCTCTGCAGCTCCCTGCATATGCTGCCCTGGGAGATGCAGAGCTGCTTTTAGAGAGCAAGGAGGTACAGCCATGAATTTATTACTTGCCTGCTGTAGTTCAGCAATGTAACACAACTGTCAAGGGATTGAAACTTCTCCTTAGGATAAATTCCCTTTCTGCCTAGTTCTGAGTCACTGTGCCAGCTTTTGTTTTGCTGTGTGGCACTGTAGTCTGGAGTTGCATTGCCATCATTATCTCACTGCTTGGGCTTTGGGTTCTCAAGTCACATGAGAAAGAAATTCCCTGTGTGATTTAAGGTTCATGTTTTAGCTTTCAGCAAAATGCAGGTTTTAATTCTAAATTCATTCAGATTAGAGATGACAGATCTTAGATGTCCACAGTTTAAATTTCTTCCCCTCTTTATACAAAAATAGCATTATTTCCTTTTACAGTGCTTATAATACCACATAGTTGAGGAACTTTTTAAAGAAAACCACTAAATTTTATCTGAATCAGAAACTGTTGCAGTTAATTTTTGTGTAAGTACTACCTGACAGTGAGATGGCAGCACTCAGTAGAGAAAGAGGCAGCAGCTGTCGCTGTAGAGCACAAGGAGCCTTTTTGCATCAGTCTAAACCAGAGATGAATATTCTCCCAGTACACAGTATCTGTTCAAAGTCTTGTCTGGGAGGTGAGGGGCATAGGGAAAACTGGTTTTTAGGAAGAAATGTTTCTTAGACCTTTCCTGTAACTAAAAAAAAAAAATACAAATGCAGGAGGAATGTCTCAGAAGTTGCTGGTTCTTTATGAAGTTATCAGTGAAAAGTACAAGATACCAAGGAATTGCAATTAAGGTGGCTTCTGACATGGGAATGCAAACTGCTGCAGTAATGAGTTATTGAAAAGTGTCCTATGTATATTAATTTTTTATTTATTTTTAAATTTCTCTCAGAGTTAATAACACTTATTTGTCCTCTTTAACTTCAACTTTCCTTTTGCTCTTCTGTAGGTTCTCTTTTTCCTGTTGTTTGGTTTTTCTTGAAGCTCATTTTTAAAATTCTTGGCCTGCTTTTCTGTAAGATGGGATTTTAGAGTTTTCATCCATGTTTATAGTTGCAGGCACTTAAGTTGGAATGTCTCTCTTTTTTCTAATCTTTCAGGATCTCAGCAGCAAGGACATGAAGAGGGATTTGTACATAGTTGCCCATGTAATCCGAATAGGTACAGTATGATTTAGTGCTTGAAATATATGTAATAAACAGAGCTCTTAGAGTGTTCTTAAATGTATGTTTTAATTAGCTGACTTTATAATGATTTATACATTTAGAAAACTCAGTCATAGACTGATTGACATTCAGACCATATGGAGCTAAGTGTTAGAAAGTTACTGGTGACTGTTTAGCAGTGATTTTGTTTTTCTGAGTCTGAAACTGAATTTTTGATTAAACACTACATCTACAGGAGAGGGACAAAGTAAAAAGGCTTTTTGTTTAATGTCTAAAAATTTCAAATGAGATCTTTTTACTGGTGCTATAGCTGGGTTGCAGGGCAGGACATCAGTCTGTGTGACCATCCACATCAAGTAAATCAGAGGCTGTTAGACAAATTTATGTCAAGATTTGTGTGCTGCTGTAGCAGTCTGTGGTGCAAATACATATTTTACCTGTGTTAAGTATGATTTATTTTAAATATTAGTCCTGAAATGTTAGCAGTGTATAGTAGGGGCAGCAGAGACAGTTTCCTCAGCTGTATTATTGTAACCAAGTGAGAAGTGCAGTGCCATTTGTGTGTTTCAGGTGAAGAAGAATGGCCAGGCAGTGTTTGCAAGGAAAGGGTTTTTAAGCCTGTTGCCAGCCCAGTCACTGCTCACACCCATTACAGCCACAGGCACCTTTTCTGAAGTCCAGCAGCTCTAAGCAGCTTTGTGTGTTGTGCTGGGAATGGCAGTGTGCCTTCAGAGCCACAAATGTGTCAGAGAGGTCAGGGTTTCATTATCTGACTTCCCATATCATAAGAGCCTACACATCAGAATTGCTCTGTTATCACTTGAGGTGATAAATGAAGCCTGTGCAAAGATGCTGTATTAACCTTGATGCAAGGGCTGGACAAATTATTATGTGTAATGTTACAAGTTCACTTTGATTATCTCAGTGATTTTTCTGGCCTTGGCATCTTTTGCTCTATTTAAAAACTGCCTCAGTAATAGGATGTTAATCACTGAGCAGCTTTGTACCTCAGAATTCTCCTTCCTGTGCTCCAAGAAGGATCCGTCCAACCATGATAAACAACCAATATATAATATTACATGTGTTATATGCAATATATCTTACATTCCCTTAAAGCAGTTGAATAACATGAGAATTTGTGCAAATAGTGCACTCTAAGGAAGGAGCACAGTGAATCTCTGTGGGTTAGACTGATGAGTACAGCCATGTTCTTGGCTCATCCACAGATGATTTGTAGTCAGCCCAGCTGGATGCAAATATGTGTCATGGAGCTGCAAATCAAAGCTGGCCAGACACGACGCTTTTCACTTTGCCCTTGGCTGGTTTTGGCTGAGTGAGGTGTGGATTCAAATGGACCTTTGGATTTGAAAAGTTTGAGTGAAAAGCTCTAGTGGGTTGACACCAGGTGCCCTCCAAGCCTCTCTGTCACTCCCCTCATCAGCAGGATGGGGCTGGGGAGTAAGTAAGATGGAAGGAAATTCATGGGTGAAGATAAAGGCAGTCTGATAAAGCAAAGGCCATGAGCAGAAGCAAAGGAAAGCAAAAGATTGATTCTCTTCTTTCCATCAGCCATCAGTATCCAGTCACTTCCCAGGAAGCCAGGCTTCAGTCTGTAGAAAGCCAAACCTCCCAGTGACCAATGTCCCCACTCCTCCTGTCCCTTGTGCTGCTGAGCAGATGTCACAAGGTTTGGGACATCCCTTGGCCGGTGTGGGTCTGCTGTCCTGGCTGTGTCCCCTCCCAGACCTGCCCCCAGGCTCCTGGAGAGGAGGCAGCCCTGGTGCTGTGCCAGTCTTGCCCAGCATCCCTGGGCTGTCACCAGCACAGCCCAGCCCGTGGGGCTGGGGCAAAAGCACCTCCAGCTCCCCCAGAGCCAGGCAGGAGCGTCACCTGCAGCCTGGGGCTGCAAGTGCTGGCTGCAAGGAGCACAGCAGGCAGGGTGTGGCTGTGTGTCTGTCCCTGTAGGCAGGGTGTGGCTGTGTGTCTGTCCCTGATGTCCCAGTGTCCCTCCTTTCAGGCCGCATGTTGCTCAATGACTCCAAGAAAGGGCCCCCCCACCTGCACTACCGGCGCCCCTACGGCTGCGCCGTGCTCAGCATCATGGACGTGCTCCAGTCCCTCTCGGAAATCAAGGAGGAAAAGGACTTTGTGCTCAAAGTTTACACGTGAGTAACTCCTAAAAAGAAGTTTTTTGCTTCTTTATTATTCCAGCAGCTTATAAAAACTAATGAATATTATCCACAGATGTTTCAGGTGTGTGGAATGCTTCAGAAATTATTGAATATTGCCCAAATCTCTGTGACTTGCAAAGCTGCTCTTTTATTAATGTGAATTATTTAAAATCTGCTGAGCTCAAACCCAAAGAAATGTGCTGCATTTCATCTGATGAATAATATCTCATGCCTCATCTGCTGTTCCTTACCACTCATGGTAACCAACAAAAGAAGTAGAAAACAACTGAAGCCAACAGTGTGTGACCAAATTCTCAAAACAAATCAAGGAATCTGTCTTCAGTTATTTGTGATTTTGAACTTTGAACTAACATTCTTATTATGAAATGTGGTCTCACAGTTGTAATGAAGAGGCCACAGACAAACTGTCTGGAGACTGCAGGGAATATTTAAATCCCTTGTCAGTGAGGATAAATACTGGCAAGATCTGCTTTGCAGATGGGCTGAGGCACAGCTGACACTGCTTTGTGGTCTGTGGCCACTGTTGAGAGTAATAAGATAATTTGGTGGGTTATGGAACTTTCTCATTCTTTGGGATGTGCATTCAGCAGCAGAAAATGTGACCTTCAAGGGAAACTAAATGAAAAAATGTCTTACTGTTCACTGAAGATTATTGGGTGTCTCTTCATACATTAGAAATCTCTTAAGTCCAAACAAAAGTCTCTCAGAGTCAGCTCTTTCATTACTCTTTTGCCAAAAGTTATGAAAACTGTAGCAAAAATGTCAAATTATAGAGTAGAAAATGGTTCTCTTTCTTCTCTCTGTCAGTAGAATCTGGCCAGTCTTGGCCTTTTGTCACATTCAGTTCCAGCTTATCTCAGAGCAGTGGGTTTTGGCTGGAGAATTCTATTTGCTTTGTGGATATGGTGTTAATATATTGCAACTGCAACATTTTGAATGTTTACAGAAATGGAACATTCTGATTATTAGATTTCTGTTTTGTCGCCCATTTAATGCTTCTTTAGCTTCTGAAAAATAGAACAGAAAAACCTTGTTGAAACACTGGACTTTGTCAGTGACAAGTGGAGTCACACAGCCTTTAGAGCAGCACAAAGTCTTGGTACAGTGATGGAATAAAAATCTCTGGCAACAGAGCTTCCCTTTTCTTCCTGCTCATCTGCAGAGTTCTGTTAGTGTGGATTCCCTTCACAGCACCCAGAGCACCAACAGTTTCTGCCCAAATTCCTCAGCAGCTTTGCACCAGCTGTTCCTCACCTGGGCAGGGAGAGCCCCTGGCTGAATTCAGCTCTGTAATCAGATGTTTGTAATTCTTTATCACTATTATCACTCTCCTGGGCTGCTGTAAGCCTTGTACATCATTCTTTTATGTTGCTGCTGTTTGCAGTGTTCTGTGTAAACCTCCAGCAGAAATATTCAGGGGGGAACATGGATATATCTGAGGGACACCAGCTCATTCCCTTTGCAGCTTTGAGAGCTGTTGGTCTTTCATGACAGAGTTGTCACAGGTTTGTCTCTTGCATCTTCTCTTTGCTCATTCCTTTAGCTAACCTGCCTTTTCCTGTTCATTGGCTGCAATTGAAATGACAGGGTTTTGTCCTTTGGAAATTTAAAGTTGAATATGAGTGCTTTAACAGCCCTGAACTGATTTCCTTACCTGCTGCTCTTATTTTGATTACTGTTAAAATGCCTCAGGCCAACTCCTAAACATCATAAAGATGAAGTAAGGAGAGAGGTGTATTTGTACTTTTCAAGGAGCAGGAAAAAGCATTCCTTTTATACTCTATGTGGTTAAAGCTTACAGCTGCCACAAATGAGGCAGCTAGAAAAGCCTTTTCATAGGGAGAAGCTGAAAAAATTTCAAAGACTGAAAACCTAACAAAGGCTGAAACAAATACATGGTTTGTAAATGGAGACTTCTGCTGAATCCACAAGAGAATGCTTATGGGGGGGGAAGAAAAAATCAATTTACTTCACCAATCTTTCTCAGCTTGCCTTATTATTGTTAAAGATTTATGTCTGAAAAATATTTTTTTCTCACAATTGAGATTTTTCTCTTTGTTAATACCACAGTCATGTTAAAATCTCCCTAAGAGGATAGAATACCACAGCTGTAGCTATAAGCTCATTATGCAAAAGCATACTTTTATTATTCTTTATAATATATATGTAAAATAATTTAAAAGTGAGATGAAAGCTAAATTCTCAGTCCATTATTTCTGAAGTAACTTAATATTTTGTATTAATTTTTATCTTTATTGAAATTTTTTGCTCACTGAACGTTAGTCTTTGTGTTCATCTTACAATTCCCCTGAAAACTTCATGCATTTCTCTTCCATATTCACTTTTTCTGGGTTTTTTTTTCCTGTCCTATTTTCTTTCAATCTTTTTTTTCCTCTTTCTCCAGCCCTAGATCTTGAAATTCTTCTCTGTTAATGCCTGAATGCCTTTCCCTTTTGCTGTTCTATTATTGCTGTTTGCCCAGCTGGACAAGAGCTCCCATCCCATTGCTGTCCCCAGCTGCTGTGGGATGGAAAACATTCCAAATGTGCATTTGCTGCACAACCAGCCAGCCTCAAAGGTGAAGGATGGCTCAGGAGTGAATTCTTATTTAAAGGAGAAATAGATTCTTTTATCCACTTGTTATTTGGACAAGTAAATTGTGAGCACAGTAAGACACATTCCAAGTGTTTCCAGGCCAGCCTGTCAAAGCTGGGAGAAGATCTTCCTTCCTGGCACTCAGGAAATGCAAAGTACAACTTCCACTGGCACTTGCTACAAAACTGGCTTTAAGCTGCCTTTAAGTGGATTTTGGGATGACTTGGTTGCAGGTTAATTCACTGCATAGGCTGGTACAGCAACTAAAAAATGGCCACAAGTTGGACATTTGTTTGTAACTGTGAGGAGGGAGGATGGTTTAGAGTTTGTGCTACAGGTTCTCTCTCTCTATTTTTAGGAGAATATTATTGGTGTAGGATAAATGGCTTCTAATGTGTTGACAGTGTGAAGATAATTTTTATTTTTTCTTGATGAGTGAGCTGAATTATCACACAACACTACAATTACTGGCAGGGTGTCCTGTCCGTTAGTGCCTTAGCTCTGTTGTGTTCTGGTTTTGAGGGATTGTTTTGGGGGTGCAGAGAGAGTCAATTTACCATCCTGGGCAGTTCTGCCAGGTCACTTCATGCTGATCTGCCTTGTGTGACCTTGTGGGATCTGGTGTCTCCTCCCAGAAGGGACACAGTACTTACAGGAGGTGGGCAGTAGAGCAAGTGAAATATTCTGTGTTTAATTTGTTCCAAGTTGTCTCTGTTCCTTTTGCAGTTCTGAGAACATTCAGGGGTGTCAGTAATTGTGCCATCACAGGCTTTGGGGGTTACCTCATTATTCTTGGCAGCACATGGTTTGCAAAACTGAAGCTGTAGGAAATTACCAGTTCCTACTTGTAGATAGCCTGAATTCCTTCTGCCATGCTGTTCTTCAGTTACATAATGCAGCAAGCAAAAACATCCCCACTGTCTTCACAGGAGCTGCTGTGTGTCTTACCCTGGCTGTGCTGACATGTTGTACTCTTGGGGGAAGCAAAAAAGGGGAAAAAATGGTAATATCCTTGGAGAAGTTTTACAAAGTGGTTTATTTCTCAAAACTCCTAGGAGCTGAAAGCTTGGAGCATTAGCTTTACTTTTTTTTTAACCTTTAAGAGTCAATAGGACAGAAGTTTAATTAAATGGTTTAATCCAATTGCTTTTCAGGAGAAATGAGATTCACTATTGCTGCTGAGTTAAAAATTGCTGACTTTGTGGGGTATCATTGAATCTTGCCATGGTAATTTAAGTAAAGCACAGATGTATTTAAAATGCAGTTAGACTTGAGCAACATACTGCTTTGCCTTTCTTTTTTAACCACTAGCACTGTTTGGGGTAAAGGTGCCATTTTTTTCACATGGGAGAAGGTTATATGGCTCATCTTCCATTTAAAAGCTTGATAAAGAAGGCCACTTCAGTTCTCTGCCTTTCCCTCCCCAGTCTCAGGTCTCTCCCATCCTGTGGGACAGCAGCCTGTGGCCTCAGAATGTGGGGATGGTTTCCTTGGTTCCTGGCTCAGTGGCACTTCAATTCCTGCATGTTGTGCTTTGGATCCTGAACAGAATGAATCACTCATTTTCTACATGACAATTCAGATAGAATGTCCAGAGCTTTCTTCATTCTATCATAATTTCAAGAGTGGGGCAATGGCTTTTATGACAGAAGAGTCACCACCAGCTCCAAGCGTCCATTGCAGGGACATAACTATTAGACAATATTTTGTTTCCTTCCACTTTTAAAAATAAGAGTTATGTGGGATTTCTCTCATTCATCTGAACCCTACAAGCTTTCATATTGTCTCTACAGCAAAGGTGACTGTTGTGTTGTAAGATGGTTCAGTGAAAGCATTGAACTTGAATGAGTGTTCTTCTATTGCAGGTGTACCAATGAGAACGAATGGTGCCAGATCCATGAAAACATCATCCGCAAGTCCAGCACCAAATACACAGCCCCCAGCTCCAACTATGGTAAATATCTCTGGGGCTTGTCAGAGCCACAGCTGAGCATCTCCTCTAGGAAACAGCTGATTATTTGTAGCAGAGAAATGCACTGAGATGGGAGGTTTTCCTTTTGTAGCTAATGACAGATAAATAGGGAAAGTAAAGCCTGTCTTATCTGTTTACCTCATGTAATGGTGTATGCAGTTGCTAATTCAGAGATATCACTGCTCTCCCATTCCCAGTGAAGCAGCTCATAGGGTACAGTTCAGCTTCATTACAGCCAGTTCTGCATTCATTACCAAGTGCCTGAATCATGCTGATGTCCAAGTACTGAATTTGTCTTAATTTTGCTTGTTTGCATATTGAGACACTAGTGGAATATGTAGTGCACACTCCCATAGAAGAGATTAAGCACAACAATAAGCAAATAAAACATTTTGCAGATATGGAATTTTACTGTGTGTAAAGCTGGTTTCATTCCCTGCTGCTCCTCCTGTTACAGTTAAAGTTATCCACGAGTCATTAATAAAAGATCTTCCTAAATTCTTTATAACTTTGAAAACTTGAGCAACATGTCTGAACTTCCAAATTTGCTCCACCCTTTTATACTGGAATTTTTAAGATTTATTTTCATTAGTTTGTTTTTTAATAGCAATCAAGGATATAAAATGAACAAGTTTTCTTCTAATTGTCAAAAATAGTCAAGGCTGATTTCTAATGAACATGTCTCTTGTGTGCTGTGAAACCTTCTGTACACACAGCCACCCTCATACATGGTATTCCAAGGGCTTGGATGTTTTCCATGGTTTCAGAGCCTGTGTTTTCCCTGCAGTGCTCTCCTGCCTACCCAGCTGGGCAGTTGCAAGTCCATGTTTTGGCAGCTTTTGAGTACATACATGCTGACTGTCCAGCTGGCTGGTTGGCCTCTCTTTTCCTTCATTTTAAGGCTTTATCCTCAATTTTTTTTATCCCAACTCCCAGTATTCATGAAATGTATACAATCTTCATGTAATCTGGGTATCTACTTATTTGCCAGATTTGACTGAAGCCAAACAACAGGCTTGAAAATTATTTCAGGGGGAGAAGGCAGGAAATGGGTGGGAGGTACATGATACTCCTGGTTTTGTTTCCCTGGTAACTTGTCTGAGAAAATGGTGACTAAATATTGGTCACAAAGCCCAGATACTGAGCTTAGGAAAGAGCCTGACTTTGGCTCATGCAAAAATGTGCATCCAAGGCAGGGTTTGGTTTGGTGTGTGTTGTTCTGGGCAGTGAACAGAGAGGACAGAAAGAACTCTTGACCAAGTGACTCTGAAGGAGATAAAGAATGTGGGAAATTGCTCTGTGCAGGTAATTCTCATGGATATGTGGAGCTGGTAGTATGTGCTCAGCAAATGAGACTGGGCTTGAATGGCTGAGCTCAATCCTGGTATTTTTTCATATGGTAATGCTGGACTTCATCATTTTACCAGTACAGTCTCCTATGTTGTAAATTAAAAGCAGGTAGAGAAAACAGCTGGACTGAGATGAAGTGTGTAATTATTCCTAGTTCAGATGATCCACTGAATCACAGAGCTGGTTGCTGAAGTCACTTTGGCCAGTTGGCACTCCTGAAACATGTTGAGGAACTGCTGGGAATTTCATTAAAATCATCAGCCCTCTATGAAGCAGTTAAAGAAATGAGTGGGAAAGATACACTTTGAGACTTACATTTTTTCATGGTATAAAGCAAAATTAAAGGTGCTTTAGAGATGTTCCAGAGCTTTGTGTGGTTGGTGGTCCCTCAGACAGAGGTGTCATAACCTGCTGCATGTGAGGAAAAGAAATAATGGGAGTACTTTCTGTACCCAGGACATGTCTGCAAAATTAAGTATTCTGACTGTTAGGAGTTGTATTTTAATATAATTGTGTTCTTAACTGATCCCTTATAACAGTTTTGTTTCCTTTATTTCAATTTTCAATTACTCCAAGGGAGAAAAGAAATCTGTGTTTATATTTTGTATTAAATTAACTGTGGAGCAAAACATTAGTTTACCTGCATGCTTTGTACACACAGAATCTAATTCTTAGGTCAGAAACAATGAACCTCTTTGGTTTTTTCCCCCAGGACTTATAATATCTCTTCAGCTTCTTCGAGGTGACATGGAGCAGATCCGAAGGGAAAACCCCATGATCTTTAACAGAGGCGTTTCTGTCACCAGGAAGCTGGGATTTCCTGATGTTATAATGCCAGGTAAACAGAGCAGCTCCAAGCTAAAATACTGCTTCTTCTTTTCTCATACTCTCCCAATGGAATGCAACTGGGATGGGCACTTTACTTGAGTGGGATTTGTAACAGAGTTGTTTTATTTATCAGTAAATGCCAGATTTGGGGAGGCCAATGCTAAAACATTGTCAGGAACAGACATGACAGTGATAGAGGTGTTAAAACCACGTGGATAGAAGGGGATCTGGAAGGATTGCTCTGATATTCCCCAAACCCCTGCCAGTTAATATCCCTTTTTTACCCTCAGTATAGAGATGTTTCTTTTTAAATGCATGAAATTTCTTCTTCCCAACAATCCAAACCATGGAAAAAATGAGTTTCCACTTTGCAACCTTGATGTTTTTGAGTTTGTGTGATCCTTTTGTAATGAGAAGCAGAGAAGGTGCAGACCTGGTTGGATTTTCCCTCTGGCCTCACAGAGCAGCTGGTCCATGCACTGTCTTGGCTGCAGCCCTGCTGTGCTTCCTCTGCTCCTCACCTCTGGAGCAGCAGCTGGAGATGCTTCTTGGCTTGGCAGCCCCAGCACAGCCAAGAGTTCATTTAGAGAAGGGCCCAGAATGTGGGCAGTCATGCAGCCACATAAAGCTTGGTGTTAGAGTGGCTTGACTTTTGCAGTGTGGTAAGAAATGGGTTTGCTAATTAGTAGCATTTGAACTATTACTTCATTGCTGTGATGAGCAAGCCCAAGGATGACTTTACAGACATGGGAGATTTGATGAAAGCATAATGGGAAAAGCATTAGATTTTATTACTCAAAAGGCTGCAGTGAGACATCAGTACCAGAAGTACTTGTAGCCTCATTATGGGAGCTCTTCAGAAACCACAATAAAATAGGGAGTAGGTGGGAAGCCTTTCTAGAAACTGAAGAGTCAAAGGATTCAGAACAACATGTGTATATTTACTAATGAACTTGAAAACAGTGATAACAGAGCAGCAGAGGATGTGGGCTATAAAGCCAATTATAAGTTTTGGTTCTTAATGACCTCATAGCAGTTCCAGGCATAACCCAAAGCAATCAAATAGGGAAACGATGAATTATTGCAGGCTGGTGTACAGACACAGCAGCTGCAGGGTGATCTGCTGTACCTGAGATCACAGCTGGGTGTGTCACACTCACACACCTGTGCAAGGGAATTGAGTCTCCTGCAAGAACTGCTTGATCCTCCTTTTCTGTAGATAAAGCTGTACCTCAGGTGGTTCAGGCCACTGAAGGAACAGTTTTGTGTCCTCAGTGTTCCCCTGAGTAACTTTTTTTTGTTTTCTGGGCCCTGGCCCCTCTGCATGTGCACAGAGTGTCCCCTGTGTTTGTTGCTTTGGGCAAGGCTTTGGGCCAGGGCTAGAGCAAACAGGTCAGCAGAGCTCATACAAAAAGTGCTTCTGCCCTAAGCTTTTAAAATTCTCTGTTCCCTGCAGCTAATCCAAATTTCCAGATTCTCTTTGTGAGAACCACAATTCTTTTTGGAGAAGACACTGGGGTTTTAAGATAATAACCTGTTCGGAATTGGACTCATACATTTATACACACACACACACACACACATATATATATATGCTCAAAATGCTGATTGATATAAGCAAATGTGTGAAAGGATCACCATTCTGCTATTAAATGCTTCCTGCCTCTCTAGAGGGTCTGGGCACAGAACTTCTCCTTGATTCCAGGTGTGCCACAAGAGGTTTTCATATGTTGAGTTTAGATGCAAATCTTTAGGCATTGTGGGAATAATGCTTCTATTAGTGAGGAAAGGCAGCTTGTGCATGTCTGTAAACACCAAGGAAGAAAAGCAAAGCAGTTGAGGAAGTGTGAATCCACTTTCACTGTAGTTATAAATGAGGACAGAGTATAAACTGCCAGAGAGGAGCTGTGAAGAGAGGGTTAGTCATGAATGGGGCTCCAAACAAAGGCTCTCACTATCTTGGGTATTCCCCAGAATAATGAAATCTCTGGAAAATGAGGAGATTGAAATGTAATGGAACTCCACTGATGCAGCAAACAGTGTTCAGTCTAATTACTAATCAGGGTTTTTGTAGAACTCAAAGAATGTTTGATGTACTCAAGTGACAGCAGATATTTGCCTGTTGTTTGTTTTTAACACAACAGATCCAGTTGGGGTTGGAGTTTGCCTGACATCCAGGGTAGAACTCAGCTGCATGAACCAGGAATGTCTATCAATAGACTTTGTGCTTATGTTTCTACAGCCAGGCTCAAACATTCTTCCTTAGCTTTATGAGTATTGTCTGAAGTTGAAAAATAATTCACTGGGGACAGACATGACCAAAAAAAGAGAAACAAAAACCCCTAACCAAAGACAGAAGCCTACCATGCACATCAGCAGTTCTCAGCCATGTCTGCTGCTCTAACAGTCTTTGTCAAACTAGCTCTTCCTTGCTTTGCTTCAGAACTGTTTGTCATTAAACACAGGGTTTCCTCTTCCAGAAAACAGCACAGAAACTTCATGACTTGTATTTTGCAAGTGGACACAGATTTTTCAGGACAGTGTGGTTTAAAAATGTTTTTTATGAATAAATTAATAAAGGCTACGTCACCTGGTACTTCAAAAAAGCAGTGATCATTCTGCTGAACCAAGAAATCTGTTTTTAAAAAACTAAATGGCTCTAGCACTTCAACTTAATCTTTTTGTTATAGGTTTGAACGTTTTCATTTTCTTTTTTAACAGGAAATCCTCTCACATGTGCACATCTTAACTATTAAAATTTTGTAGCTGTGTCTCATTACTCTTTTCCTATCCCTTTTTGTTTTTTAACTGGAGCATTCGCTCCCTGTATCAAGCCCTCTTTTTCTGTCCTTCAGATAGGAGAAACATCAGTGGTAGCTGATTGAGAAACAAAGTGAAACTGGTTCTTTATGGGTTTGTATCTTGCATGGTTATGCAGAACAAGCTTAATATTGTACAAAACAACCCTTCCTGCCTTCTTTTGTAAAGATAAAATGTTCTTTGTTTCCTACTGTGTTGTGATCTGACAAGAGCATCATAAAGACTTCAGTTATCTTTTTTGGCAAAATCAGAGGGGGTTTGGTCAAACCAGCCTCCTGAAGAAGTTATGGTGGGGGTTTGTTCATTTGTGGTTTGATTTTTTAATTCCTTTTTTAAATTGCTCCTGGATTTAAGGCCATGCATCTGATGGTGCCAATTTTACCTTTCCCAGAGCTGAGAGCAGTGAGGCCTGTGCTGCTCCTTGGGGATTGCAGCTGGGCTTTGTGCAGGACTTGCTGAGCAGAAATCTGTTGCACAGGCTTGGTGTTTGTCAGTCCCCCAAGGACATCCCTCCCCTTGCCCATGTGCTGATAAGTATTCTGTCTTTCCTTTGATCCTCTGATGAAAAGTGCATGCTTCAGCTCCGACTCGTGAGTGATGTTTCTTTCTCTTTTTTCTCTCTCCTTGTCTTAATTTCCTGGCTTCTCTCCCGTTCCTTTCCCTTTATTCTCTCCCCTTTGTTTCTGATGCAGAGATGAAGATTGTTGGGTGTAAGTTTCTGCTTTTCTGTGTAATGTCTGCTTTTTGCTTGCTTTTTTCCCATTTTCATATCTTCCATGGAATGTTGGGATTGATAAAGACAGCGAATCATAACATCACAGGGAAACTTTGGTAACAGGGAGGTGGAGACTTTGTGTCTCTTCATACCACAGGCTTTCAGGCAAATTCAGTAACTGTGACAGGTGAATCACTAAGAAACAGGTGAGAAGCATCGCAGCATCTGTTCAGTCAGTGAGCACAAAGTCATGGCAAAAATGCATTGAGGAAAGGACATGGTAAAATCCATCAGCCATTCTCAGAATGTTCATGGCAAGAGTGTTAATAAGACCAAAAGCCATAATTATGTAATGATTATCACCAAAAAGTATTTACAGGGAGAATAAGAAGTGTTATTGTCATAAATAAACTTGTAGAAATGGAAAATTGGCGGAGACAAAAAGCATTAAAAAACAACTTCCTACTACTGAAAGGCAACCATTCCAGGGAAATCACTGCATTTAACAAGGGCATTGTATAAATTCTTTTCTATACATAGAAGTCAAACAATGGGTAGCAAATAACCTAATAAGTATTGCTTTTCCCTTTTCTTTGAAACAATTGTGTTCTGCTCAGTGAAAGCTGGAGAAGCACACGGAGTTAAACTTGCATAATGTTCTCTTAGAGAAAAAAAAAGCTAATTTAATTTGCCATAGAGGCAGCAGATAAAAGCTTTGTTTCCCCTTGTTGCTGTAATATTGCTCACAATTATGTTAATAGTTGCTCCCTGTAACTATTTCAAGAATATAGGCCTTAAAAAAAACCTGCTGCCTGGCTGGTGAAGGGCCAGAGAAATGAGCTGCTGAAAGGGATGGAATGTGATCCCCAGAGTGGGACTGTGCCAGGAGTGCAGTGGGAAAATGGGGGGGCTGCAGAGGGAGTGGCACTGGTAAAGCCAGGAGAGTCCCACAGTGGGGAGAAGAAGTCCTGAGGGGCAGCCAGAAAGCAGGACAGGGGTGCTGGAGACCCTTCCCAGTGACCCTTGGCCACTTTGTCCTTGTCCCTTTGGTTTGAGTGATGTGATGAGCACAAAGCTGCTCCCGTCAGCCTCAGCTGTGCTGCAGTCCCTGCCCTTCACAGGGAGCTGTGGGCTTGCACTGGAGGAGCTGCACCTGCAGCTGAGGGTGGAGTTTCAGTTGTGCTCTTTGAGATCAGGAGCCCATCACTGGCCCCTCCAAAGCAGCAGCTCCTGGGAAGAGAGGGAATGCTTCCCATGCAGAGGGGGAATGTGCAGGGTAGTGGGAAAGGCTCAGCCAGGAAGCAGAGCAGTTCCCCTGCAGGGAGCTCAGACCAACAAACAGAGCCAGAACACGTGATAGAAAACACTGCACAAGAACACAGATCCTCTACACTTTATGCTTTGCTTCAAAGCCTTTCCTTGCTGGCCCAAGTCCTCAGCTGGAGCTGCTGTAACTTGGCTCAGGTCAGTGGGGTGATGCTGATTGGCTCTGGTTGTTCATTTATGGACAGAACATAAATGCACAGGTTTGGGTTTTCTTCAGAAGCCATTGTGGAAGAGACTTGGAATATCTTTCTTGCCCATTCACTCTTCTGTGAAGTGCCACTATTTTTGAAGAGATGCCAAACCCAGGGGTGTTAAGAGAGTCCAGCAGACAGTGCATCACAGTGTGGGGCCTAAGTGAATAGGACCAGTGCAGCAATTTGATAAAAATAGACCTAAACACTAATATTCTGTTGTTTTTTTTCCTTGACTGCCTAAATTGTTAAAGACCAAACCTTCACCTTAAAAAATCCAATATTCTCTGGATAAATAGCTATTTTACTTAGTTGAAACTAGACCTACACATGCAGACTTCTGGGAGCTGCCACTTTTCCCCAGCTTGCAGGGATTTATTACATGCCCACAAAGTCACAAGCTCGGAAAAATAAGTTGTTAGAATTGAGAGATCAGAAATTTGTGTCTCTTTCTCCTGCAGAAATTTCTGTGAATTATGTACCCTTTTTTGATATAGTATTCTTCTGCACAAAACAGGGACCATTCCTGTCCTTAGGATCCCTGAATAAAAAGTGTTTGATTGAACGCAGACAGTTCCTGTAAATTGTTACTATTTTGCAGTACAAGTAACTGGGCGATCTTTCAGTGGAAAACCTACACACCCTGTCAGGATAAACTCCCATTTCTTCTGCTGGAGACTGGACAAGGAGTGGCTGTTGGGCTGCTTCAGGTTATTAAGTCTTGAAAATTAGAAATAACTATTTGGAAGTCTTCCAGTACATTCCTTTATACTGCAAATGCAAAATCAATATTTGGTTCACGTAGCCTTTTCCATCTCTCCTTTTTCCCCCCATTACCATGAAAATAGTTTCAGGTCAATGCAAGTGAGTCCCCCCCAAGCTATAATTTATGATTTATAATTTAAACAATGGTATGTTGAACATTGGGCCTTGTAAATAGGTTAAAACATACAAACCAAACCCCAATAAAGGTGAAGGGAATTGATAAAGAAAGAGCCCCAAAAATATCAGAAAATGATTTTTTGATATTATCATGGAAAATACTGTCTTTCAAGGCATTTGATACAGAATTAATGTCAGTAACCATGTGTATAAAAAGTGCATGGATTATGCTAAAAAGAAGTTTACTTTTGTTTTTAACTGGAGAACATTTGTAGAGAGATGGGTTTTGAAACAAATCCCATTCTGAAAACTCTGAGGTTTTCAGCTCATCCCTGACAGCCATCCAGCACAGAGACCTCAGCTTAAAATGAATGACATCAGCAGGCTTTGCTCTATAAATACCCATGGCCCACTGGCCTTGTAGCACTTTTTATTCCTCTTCTGCTGGTGGGAGGCCACAGCTCACCCACTTTTGTGCTCTGTGCTGCTGTTTGGGAAGGTCTGAGGTCTCTGTGGTCCAGGCTGAGGTACCAGGTATCCCCCAGAATGCAGGATTTCTGTCACAGGCACAGGCTGTTTGTGCAGTCATTTGCATGCACAGTCTGACATCCTAAACAAGTTCATTGTTTGTCTCTTTGCAATGGAATTCATCTGGCCAAGCTCTGTGTGCCCAGGTTCCTGCCCGGGCACGTCGCAGTCAGTGGGGCTGGAGCTGCCCAGGCCACTCCTGGTGCTGCTGATGCCACCGTGGGGCTGTGCTGTGCCAGGTGTCCCTCAGGTGTCCCTCAGGTGTCCCTCAGGTGCCCACTGTGGGGGCTGAGCTTTCTCTCTGGCCCTGCACACTCAGAGCAGAGGTTGCAATGAGCTGCTCTGTGCTCAAGCACTTGTTCTGGGTTCTGTGCCACCCACTGGGTATCAGAGCTCAAATCGCCCAAAACCACAAGGCTTGTGAGGCCTCAGGTCAACTCATATGCTAGGAAAAGGAGATAGTAGGAAGGTGATTTCCACCAAAATAATCACCCTGCCTCATGGTTAACTGCTTTTTGTCTTTGTTAGATACATTTACTTCCTATTTTTCCTGTATGTAGTGACCTTTTTTATTTTTTGAAGAGCCAATAGACTATTTTTACAAGAGAAGATACACTGTTGTATTTCACTATAATACATTTTCCCATCTTTTCCCTTAATTTTTATGCAAATCCACTGGTTTTTAGATCCTCTACACCCCACCCCAAAGGCATTTTTTTAAATTAGTGGAGTAATATCCCTCCTGTTAAGCTTAATAGAAGATAAGATGCTATATATAACCAAATGCTGCCTTTAATTTAGGCTGGAAAATGATTTGCTATCTAACATTGGACTTTGTGTAGCCAGACTGCCTTCCAGAAAAGAGGTCATAAGTAGGGAGCTCCAAAATGCTAATTATAGTGAGCACAATTAATTTCTATTAAGATTTACAGCATACAAATTGAAACTTTTTTCCTAATTGAGCAAACCACTGAGAGAAAGGGATGGAGTCTGTTAAGCAGGAGGATTTTCAAAGCAAAAGACTCAACTTAAACCATATTTTGTGATGAATTTTGTATTTCCTTGCTATCCCTACAATCAGGATAGAGGTATCTCAGCTTGATTTTGATCCCCAAGATAATTTTCTCTATTGTGGCCTGTGGATTGTTGCATTTGATGCCCAAAGCAGATCCAATATCCAAGGTCTTTCCCCAGGCTCTTGCTGTCAGCTTTTCCCCGTTGATGCCCCCTGACAGCTCAGCCTCTGGCTGGGAGGCGTTCCCAGCACTGACCCTGCAGGAGAGGGAGGCTCCTGGAAAAAGGAGCAGGTTCTGCACACAGATTGCCATTCACAGAGAGCTCCCAGCAGGAAACACTGGCTGCAGCCACAGAGCTGGATTTTCCATGCTGAAAGAGTTGTCCTTATCTCCAGAAATAAAACTGAAAGCAAAGGACTGAGAGCTTCTATTGTTTGTCCCTGCAGCAGATTAAGGAACAAGTTCTGTGGGGTTTTAGACTTCAGGAAGAATTTGAAGTGCTGCTTTGAGGGCACAAAAGGATGTCCCTCAGTGCCTGAAAGGAAATGCTGCCTTATTTCATTGTGCTTCTGATTAATACAGAGATTTAACTGCATCAGTTTCTCCAAATGGAAGAAGCCAGACATTGAAGGAGTCTCTGCTTTGTTCTATTACTTCATTATTTAGTGTCTTGGGGCTGATTAACAAAATACTTGCCTCGAAAGGGTTTGAATTGTTTTATTTGTTTGGTTTTGGTATTTTTATATATTGCCCTTTAGTATGTTTGCCTTTCTGGCAAGTGGATAAAAAGAAATGTTAAGTGTGAACCATCATAAAATGGTGACAGTAACTCAGTAACTTACAGAAAAATAGGTGATACCTGCTGTCCTTTTGGTGTAGGCTGTAGAATTGAGCACATTACTTTTGAAAACAGTTTCCCAAATCAGATTCTAAAATAAAACCAAACCAAGTGAGCTAGAGTCTGTGAAAATCAGGATAACAAGATGCTGAGACACAAGCATTTCTATTTCTGAATATAGTAATTTGGTCTGAAAGCTCCTGAAAATGACGTAGTGAGAAGCTGGCAAGTGTCCATACTGCCTGCTTTCATATAGCCATGCATATGGATACCAGAGGCCAGCCAAAAATCTAGCAAAAATTACATTTATAATTCCTTTCTAATCCATCTGAACTGAATTGTGATCAGGTTCCCAAAAAAAGCTGCTTTTATTTTGTTGTTATGATAAAAGGAAATTATGAAAATACAGAAAATGCTTGAAAGGCTAGCTGAACATAACATTATTCTGATCATCACAAAAATACTTATTTTTTTTTAAAATGTATTGGAAATAGGAAGTCTGAAGCTAAGGATGTTTTGTCAGGCTCAGCCTGACACTTCCAGCTCAGCTAACAAGGCACAGGATAGCAGTAAGAGGTTTTTTTCCCTTCCCCACTTACATAATTAAAACCAGTATTGATCCTGAGTTCACATTATTAAAGGCATTACTAACAATGGTCTGATTTTATGCACTGATATTAAACTGTTCATCCTTATTAACAATTAACTTGCTTGGAATGATTTGGGCATCAGCCATCGTCTTGCAGAACACAGAGAACGATGTGAGAATGGAGCTGGGACAGCCCCGGTGTCCCCTGTGGAGTTTAAGGCTGTGGCTCCCTCTGTCCCTGCAGGTGACATCAGGAATGACCTGTACCTGACCCTGGAGAAGGGGGACTTTGAGAGGGGTGGCAAAAGTGTGCAGAAGAACATCGAGGTGACCATGTACGTGCTCTATGCTGATGGGGAAATCCTCAAGGTAAGAAAGGCCCTCCTTTCCCTGAGAGCCTCAGGTGCTCCCTGCAGGGCACATCCTCTTCTTGCAGAGTCTCTGATGCAAGGGAAGAGTTAAAATAAAACTGGCTCTCTCTCTCTCTCTCTCTCTCTTTCTTATAGTGAAGTTTGTAAGCTCTGTATTATGGTCCGTTATAAATCTGTAAGGATTTGGAGCACTTCCCTTATATGGGGATAGAAGACTTGGAGAAAATACTCATAAACTGAAAAGCCTGTGTGATTTCCAAATGTGATGTCAGTGGCTAAAGTAAAAAAATTTAGAGTAACTGTAATCAGAACTAAGGAGTATAGGCATATCTAAAATTAAATAATGTGTGTCATACAACATTCAAACACGATGAAATGTGATTCCAAGGGAGACTTCTAAATCTGAGCTGTTGGGTTACAGTACTGAATGTTGTTCTGGAAAATAACTTGAATAAAATTTCACCCTGGGTTGGCTCCATTCCAGCTGGGAATGGGGATTGTTTGTGTTTCCTGTTTTACCTCCTCTGTTTTTTTAGTTTTATTGAAGAGAAGGAGGTGGGTGGGAGGTTGTGAATATAGAGAAGTAAACAGGAAGTATTTCAGCATGAGCAGCTATCAGAAATAACTTCCCCCTACCTTTTTTTTTTTACCCCCACTGCAATAAAATGGGCTTTTTAGCCATTACTGTGGAGAATCTATACACCTAGAAGTGTGTAGGAATACATTGCCACAATCTTCTGGTTTTAATTGAAAGGAGAACTTTCATTCCTACAACTGCTTGTGGTTTCATTAAATGTGAAGTGTATTTCTTGTAAGGAACTCATTTGTGCTCAGACCTGCTGCAGGAAGATCAGATTCCTTTTCTGCCTCAGCTTTTCCAACTGAGTGGCAAAGTTTTAATCATCAGTTGAATTCAGTCTGCCAAGGACAAAGAGAAGTCCCTCAAACTGCAGTACCAGCATCTTCAAATGCTGATACATGATGGTGCCTAATGATTACATACAAAAGCCAGATAGTTTCTAGTCATTATCAGTCTTAACTTGGGTGATGCTGGTTGGAATGGTCGTTCACAGAGATGAAGTTGGTTTTTCATTGTCTTTGCCTGTTATTACTATTGGAAAGTACACCGAGGCTTTACATGGTGTGGTGGGACAGGCATGGCACAAATACTGGAAAGGATGGTCAGTCCAGTTAGAAAAAAACAGGTGAACAGATTGTCCTGAGAAGCTGTGGCTGCCCCATCCCTGGGAATGCTCAAGGCCAGGCTGGATAGAACTCTGAGCAACCTTGTCTAGTGGAAGGTGTCCCTGCCCATGGCAGGGGTTTGGAACAAGATGAGCTTTAAAATCCTTTTCAACCCAAACCATTCTAGGATTTGCCATAAATGAGAGACTTTATATATAAAGGATCTTGTGGAGTTTTAAAATTTAGGCCACATATTTAAAAAAACCTCTCTATCGCAGTTTTTATGGTATTGCTCCTCTGTATGGTGGCAGTCAGAGCAGCAGAGACACTTGCTTTGTGTCTGGGATCTTTGGTTCCTGGTGTTTCATGATGCCTGTGAATGTGGGCAGAACCCTGAGAGTTCACTGACCCTGGAGCACTGGCTGCTGCTCCTGGCTGGAATCCCCTCCACCAGCCCTGCCCCATGGCCTTTCTGGGGCAGAGCTGCCAACAGAGACACTGTGTGCAGTTACACAGCATGGGGAAGTGGCCAGAGTTTTCATCTGATATTAGAGTAAAATCCTAAACTTGTCCCAACCAGTAGCACAACCCAAATCTGAATTGTGCCTTTGTGAAGCCTTTAGCAGAACCATGCACAGCATTAATGAGAATTTTCTCAGCTCCTCATTGCTGCTGAGTGTATCTTGATACAGAAATAGTCCTACTGAAAGGAGTGAAATTACCTCCAGAATGTAGTGCTGTTCAAAATGAAAATGAATATTTCCTTCTCAAAATGGTCTTATTCAATTGTTAGTATCTTTCAATATAGCCTGAAAAATTAAAAAAAAAAATCCTTTGACACATTTCTCTCTTCTTTCTATTCCAGTAGCAGGAATAGCCTATGAATTGCAAGGCACACCTTTAACAATAGAGATTTCCTGATTGGTTTTCTAGTTTAGCTTTCCTTCCCTGCCTCTGCCCTCTAATTCCCCTGCATATCTGGGTCTCAGGGTCACCAGGTGTCTGGAGATTAGTCTGATGTTTGTATTTTGCAGATCACAATTTAGAGTTAAAGATTTACCAGTCTGCCCTCCTCAGACAATAGATTGTAGTATAACTGCATGGGAACTAAGTTAACAACCAGAAGGAGACACTATTGATTTATTTGAAGTTCACAGCATGCAACTCTATTCAAAGACTGGCAGTTTGTCAGCCAGAGCAGGTGGCTTCTTGATGGGACAAAAAAAGCTCACATTAAATTTTGAATTTTTACTGTACCTTGTAGAGAAAATAGAAATACTGTTTTGTTTGCTCCTGTGAGCCTGATGCAGAATGAGGTTTTGGAATTGCTGTGTTGAAGCCCAACCATTTACTCTTGTACAGAACAGAACTGGGATCTTAGAGGTGTTCTGGGTTGCTGGCACTGCTCTCTTCTAACCTGTTGTTATCTGCATCACTGAGTTCTTGCTGCTGTATTTAAAAAATGTGGGGTTGTGGCTCATCCCATGTGGTTGCTGAGGATTATTTGAGAGGACTGAGCTGTGTAAGTTCAGCCTTCAGTCACTCAGTTTGGATCAGAGCCTTTGCAGTGAGTCCCTGTCAACGTAGGCTGTCCTTGCATTGAATCCCAGAATTCCAGAGAGCATTTCTTCCCTTTTGGGCTCCTTCACAAATTCTTAACTTTCTCAAAGCCAGCAGATTATTGCCAGAAGTTGAATTAACTGGGTCTGGTTAATGGGATGTTCTTGACTGGGCAGTCAGATGGTTACAGATTTAAAAAATCAACATTTCTGGTATTTTCTTGGGTTAGAATTTAGAGATGCCTTGGGGAAATGACCAGTAGCAGTTCTTGTCATTGTACTGTTCCATGGGGGGTTTTTACATCAGAATTTATATTACATGTGTTATTCTTGGTCTGCTTAGCTTGTTTCCTCCTAGATTCATTATCCTTGGACATGCTGAAAGTGAAGAATCTCTAAGCTGTCTTTTTTCTGCTTGGTTTTGAGAGATGTTGTATCTCCTGCATCTCTTTGTCAGTGCTGGGTCTAGAGCATGGGTTAGTGCTCATATGTAAAAAATGGGCTTCCTGTTCCATGTCTTCATCACAAAAGACCTTTTACTGTCCTTTTTTCAAGACTTCAAGATTTTAGGAATTTTTTTTTATTTTCTGAACAATATCAGTTCATGTTTTTCTTCATCTGTATTATTGTGAAGGCACAGATTGGGCAAGATCTCTGAGTTTGTTATATCTGAAGGCAGTAATTTAGATCCAATTATGTTTTTAGGTGATGAGTGTTAACACAGAAATTCTTTGCTTACCACTGAGGAAGTAACTTGATTAGAAGTTTCTGGGATACTTGGTGAGGCTGGATAGTTGTAGTTTTGAAAGATGAATATTTGTAAAGAGCTTGGAAAGGTCACTTATGACTTCTGAACTGAGATACTGAAGCAGAAATCTGGTTAAAGGATCTTTTCACAGAAAGCTAATATTACAAGGGCTGGTCCTATTGTGTCCTATTTTTTGGAGTCAATTTTATTTATTTGGACTTAGGTGTTTATTGTATCTACTCAGTACTTGATGGAAAACTTAGCTTAAATAAAAGCTTAAGATACTGGGATTCATCCAGTAGTGCAGGTCTCTTAGTTCACCCTTTGACCCAAAACAAAATTTCAAGATCTCCTAAAAATTCACATTTCATTGTGTCTGAATTTCTGCTGCTGGCTCCTTTATGTCTACAGAAAGTCATGAATTATATCAAGGTTACCACTGGCTGAGTAAATGCCCCCTGGGTGCTGATGTGCTGTGTTCAATGGTGCTGTTTCCTTTGGCGGCAGGACTGCATCAGCCTGGGCTCGGGCGAGCCGAGCCGCAGCGCCTACCACTCCTTCGTGCTGTACCACAACAACAGCCCGCGCTGGGGCGAGATCATCAAACTGCCCATCCCCATCGACCGCTTCCGCGGCTCCCACCTGCGCTTCGAGTTCCGCCACTGCTCCAGTGAGTGCCGCACACGGGCGACCCAAAGGGCTCCTCCAGGCCCAGCCAAGCTGCATGAGGCTGGCACTGGGTGGGAGCAGCTAAGGGAGGCCAGCCTGACATACACTGAAGGGGCTCTGCTAAGCCACCTTGTGCTGAATTTATCAAACAGCACACTGAAAACATGGTGAACGATCAGTGCAGGGTAAAGCACTTTGTAGATGTTTGTTCCTGCTGTTCTTTTGTTGTTTTCTACATGTTTTCTTTGCAGGATAAACAGTTTAGATTTTGCTACGTTTGGCATGTCTGTGTTTGATTTGAAGCTTGTCAGAAAAAATATATTGGAATTAGAAAAGTTGTTATGTAGCTTGTTTTCTTTTAGGCATGTGGAGAAGTTGGTGAGTAATCTTGTATATATTGACAGGGTATGCACAAATACAATTCCTTCTTTCTGTCTCTTGCTGCAGCAAAAGACAAGGGAGAAAAGAAGCTCTTTGGTTTTGCATTCACCCCATTGATGAGAGATGATGGCACGACCTTGTCAGATGATATCCATGAGCTTTATGTTTATAAGGTACCAGTTCTCTGCAGACTTTTCACTGCTCATCTCTACTTCATTACTTAAATGACTAATGGTCATTACATTATCCATCTCCCCCTTATTAGAAGTTTGTGAGGAACAGATTAATAGTAGTTTCAAAATTTTATACATTCAGAATCACATGGTTTGGCTAGAGCTTTCTATTCTAGGTGCAGCTTACCTTTTCCATCCTGGTGATAATGATTTATCTGCTATTAATCCCATCCATTTTGCCTTCAAACACGCTGGTGTTCATGAGCATTCAGCACTTCTACCAGCCTGAGGCATTGCTCTGTGCCTTTGCAAGATGACATTGTGCTGGATTCAAATGTCTCGTGCTGCAGTGCCACAGCTTGGCAGCCCTGCAGCAAGAGATTGGGGCTTTGGGGTTTTTCCTTCCTGCTGATTCACCTGGGTTTATTTGTTCAGTACAATTTTCAGGCAGCAGCACTAATTTTACATCTGGAAGATCTGGTGAGTTCTAAGGAGGCAGTGGTTTGGAGATCATTCTGTAGAGCTGGGTCTCTTCTGGGTGTGTCCAGGGTCCCGAGCACAGCTTTTCCTTAGAAATGTTGGTGTGCACCCACAAAAATCCCAACACAGGCACTGCTGGGGAACTGCTGACAGGCTCTGGGTGCGTGGGATGAGATGGACAAGGTGTAACTCCATCCCTTGTGCTGTCCCTGCAGTGTGATGAGAACAGCACGTTCAACAACCACGCGCTCTACCTGGGGCTGCCCTGCTGCAAGGAGGATTACAACGGCTGCCCCAACATTCCCTCCAGCCTCATCTTCCAGCGCAGCACCAAAGAGTCCTTCTCAGTCTCCACACAGCTCTCTTCTACCAAACTGACCCAGAATGGTGAGTTGCTGATCCCTCAGAACTGCCCAAGGCAGCAGCAATTAGGAAAGAGAGAAAAAACATTCACTGTTAGCACTTCTACACAATGCAGAGTTTGTTTTGTTTGGCTTTGACAGAGTGGCTCAGTAAATAAGATTTTTTTTTTACAGCAACGTCCCTAAAGCACAAGCAGACAGGAGTGGATTGTCCACAGTGCAGTGTCAAGTCACACAGGGAAAAATGCAACCTTTACTCTTTTCAAAGCCCTTTTCCATCCCTCCATTCCTTTCTCCATTGGCAGTATTGACTCACTCCATATTGTACTTCCTGTTTTCCATTATATATATACACCTGTCATTTCCCAAGAAGTGTGGTCTGCATCCAGAGGTGAAGTGCAAAGTGGTGAATCTCTGATGGGTCTGGGGCTGCCATTCTTCCCTCTGTGTGTGGTTCTAGCTCTTCCTTCCTCTCTCTGCAGTGGATCTGCTTGCCCTGCTCAAATGGAAAGCTTACCCAGATCGAGTGATGGATATTCTGGGAAGACTGAGACATGTCAGTGGCGAGGAGATTGTTAAGGTACTCCATGAAATAACAGCCTTTGGATGTATCTGTGACAGGCACTGAGTTCAGACCTGCAGGCCACTTCTGAGGGCTCCCTCTCACTGTGCTTTTTGATTCACACTGTGAATTTCCACCCTGTATGAATTGGGATTTTATTATCATGTGAAACTGGATAGAAACAGGAAGATACCCTTGAGAATCAGTGCACAGTCAGTCTGTGGGATCAAAGCAGAGCTAATCCTTGCTCAGATTCTCTCAGCCACATGTGCTGGCTCCTCAGCACCAGTGGTTGCAGTCTGCAGTCCCACACAGCTGCTGTGCAGACACAGCCCCTGGCAGAGGCTCTCTGCTGCATCCAGCCAGCAGTGCACCGGTCTTCTGGCTGCCAGCTCATCGTTTCACCAGGTTTTGTAGCCACTGCTGCTCTCCATGATAATCTGGTGTGGCCTGAGCTTCCTTAGGGCCCAGAACTTCCAAGTGCCTTTGAATACTTGTAGTCCCAGCAAAACAAAGTTCATTCCTGATAATCTTAGGTGTGCTGGGAGCTTTCTCTAGGATTTATTTCTATAAATCTGGAAGTAAAAGCTGATTTCTAACACAAACAAGCAAGGAGAAGAAGCTGAAGACAAATCCTATCACATAATAAGTAGTTTATCATTAAAGCCACTTCACTGTAACTCATTTGAGTGCTGCCATATCTGTTATGAATGTTACTCTTTGTGATAACTTGGTAACAGTAACAGGGCAGCACAAATCCCATTTATACTGGAATTCTTCAAGAATGTCATGTTTTGTACACCTCATTTGTAGGGCAGTACAAGTATCTGGTTTTTATAGAGAAAGAAGAAGAAAGATATGGATTGAATTATTTCATAGGGAGAAGTAATTGATTCTCCCCATAAATCAGCTGTCATTTGGCACTGGGATATGAAGAACAGAATGTAATAATTCAGAATAAAAGACATTTTATCATTTCAGGGACTTCATAAATTGTTATAATTTATTTCTTGTTGTCCACATCAGAAATTTAAGTAGAATAGATTAAAAAATCATGAGAGAGTGTGCAGTTAACAATCTCCAGCACTCTCCTTCACACTCATCCTTTTGGAGACTGTGCTTTCAGAAAGAAAATCACTGAACTGTCAGTGCTCAACAAGCTGTGGAGTTAAGGGTGAAAGAAGCAATTGGCAACATGTAACTTGCCCCAATTAATGCTTGTTAGAAAAGCTTTACTTTCTCTCATTTAACAAAAATTTCAATATTAAACATAATGTAATGTACTGCCCAGCCTCAGATCTGATGCTGAACAGTACCTGAGACTCCAATGATTTGAGAATGAGAGGAAGTTCTTTGCCACTGGTGTCAGGCAGCACTTCCAGTCAGCTTAAAGTGAGAGGAACACTCAGTCAAAATTAAAAATCAGGTATAGAGTACATATTTCTTATTTTTTGGTTTTCTGTCACTTTTGTTTGAAAATATTCCTTGCAGAATAAAGAGAAAAATTTGTCTTTGTAAAATCAAATTAAAATCTATCACATCAAATGGACGAACCTAAAGTGATTTATCCTTGCCAAGTGTTTCACAACAATATTAACATATATGAACTAATTAAAGCAGGGGAGAAATAACCTTTTGAGTACAATTTAAATTTAAATTCCTTGTTTATGTCGTTTTAGTTCCTACAAGATATTCTGGACACGTTGTTTGTAGTTTTGGATGACAACACAGAGAAGTATGGTCTGTTGGTCTTTCAGTCTCTGGTAAGCTGCTGGATTATTTACCTCATGCTCAGTGAGTTTTAAGTTTCTTATGATCATGTTGCTAGTGATGGACTTCTGTCAGATATGAAATACTCAGCTGGTCCAGCCATGCTTTCTGTAATGATCTTGGCTGAGGAGGGCAGGCTGACCTCAGCACATGCAGGGGCAGCACTATTCACTGTCATGTGGGAAAAGCAACCAATAATACCTGATCACACAACAGGGACTGCTCAAAGCAGCTCCTGTATTTGCATGCTCCTTACCTTGGGTCACTTGTTTGTAGTCACTTGGCAGCTCCTTGAGCTGGGTTCCCTTCTCCATGTCCCCAGGTGTTCATCATCAACCTGCTCCGTGACAGCAAGTACTTCCACTTCCGCCCCGTGATGGACACCTACATCCAGAAGCACTTTGCAGGAGCTCTGGCTTACAAGTAGGTCTTGTGTTCCTCCCTCTGAGAGGTGGCATCACCAAGCTTGGGAATGGTGCCACCATCACGACCTTTCTGGCAGCAGTGTCCCCAAAAGTAGAGCTACTCACCTGAAGTTTTCCAGCACAGCTGCAGGGAAAAGCTGCCAAATGTCACCAGTGGCTGAGCATGGTTGGGCATTTCTCCTTCCCTTCTGGACTAGCAAATCTTTCTTTTCTTTTTTTCTTTTAGCTGAAGAGACACTCAGCAACAACTCATTGTCAGTCTGTAGTCTATACAAATGAGCTCCCAAGAGCATGTGCATTCCTCATCTCTTAAGGATGTTGGGATACATGACTTGTGTGAAAGCTAAGAGAACTAACTGTAACTTCCAAAGTAGACAGATATTCACAGAAGATGTTCTATTTGGTTACAGTTTCATTTCAGTAGATCAGAAATTTAAATGTCATTGTCACTTTGATGGTTCTGCCTTATTTCCTGGTATTCAAAAGAGTCTTGCATCAGAGAATGAGACAGACCTTTTGAAAGCATTAACAATAACCCTTCAGGTTGTTGGTTTTTCTTTTAGACCATTGCTTTTGTATATTTGAGTATATTCTATCTTTGGCCACAGTAAACTATAAAAAACAGCTAATAATTTCTTTTGATTCTTTTAAGCAATTCACATTTTTGTGTAATTAAAATAAATGTAAAAAATACTCTTATCAATGGTAGAAACCCATAGATAGAGACCCATAGATAATATACAACACTGGAAGGCATAGTCGTGTTCAGAGGGTAAAAAGGTGTTCTGCTTTGTGTTAATTAGCACCTCTTTCAGATGTCTGAAATAAAACATGGGTTTAATACAGCTTTGTAAGTTAGTCCAGATGGTCTTGTGTACTTAGCAAAATAGATGCAGGTATTTTCTTTGTGATCTCAGTTTCTAAAAGCTTCTTACTAAGATGAGAGCTGGGATCTCTTATTAAAATAAATGTATATTTTGGTCTTAGAACCATGCCTTTATCAAAGCTGTCTTTCTAACAACACCTTTTTTATGTGCTCTCAGTGTTCCTCATGGTCCAAGTCAATTACAGAGAAGAAATAATTTTCTGGTTTTGAAACTTAAATAAATGTAAATTCTATGTAAATTCAGTATCAAGGACAGCTGTAACTGACCACTGAAGTAAAGTGAAATGAGCCTGGTTTAGAGATCTGTCCCTAAAGCCAGGATGTCTGCTGACTGTCAGAAGTGGTGCTGAAGCTGCTGTTCCTGTCCCCCAGGGAGCTGATCCGCTGTCTGAAGTGGTACATGGACCGCTCGGCCGAGCTCGTGCGCCAGGACCACATCCAGGAGGCAATGAGAGTAGGTATCCAATGGGCACTGCTGCCTGCTCCTCTGGGACACAGAAGGGCTGGGAAAGCTGCAAATGGAATCAAGGGTTGTGTGGCACTGCTTTCCTAGAATTGCTTAACCAGGTTTTTTTATATATAGCCACAGTTTTAGTTTTAGGGGGAGACTCATTCTTGTGCTGAAAAAATTGAAAGAATTAAGTTCTCTTTAAGCCCTTTTGCAACCCTGTGGAGAACTTAAATGGGACTTAGATCCATGGCCAGTGCATAAATACCCCATTGATGTGGGCTACCCCTTGCCCTCCAAGCAGCAGTAGATTTGAGTGTATCAGGCATGGGTGCTATGGATCAAAGTTTCACTCTTCATTTCTGGCTGTGACACAGCTCCATTGTAGCACGGGTTGAAGTCCTGGAGTATTTTAAGCAGCAGATAAATGAGTCTTTAACTGGATGGAAATCCTCAGAAGTAGCACAGGACATGACCTATTGTTCTGTGATAGGAGCATGATGTCCTAGGGAGGCACAGCTGTGAGAAACACCAGGAATGTTTTGGTGCTATTACAGAGAAATCAGAGGATAAATATTCATTTAACATGTGTAAGCCTGGAAGTCAGTGTGTCAAGGCACAAATACAAGATGCCAACATTTGCAGGAAGATGTTTTTCTTTGAGTGAATGCCCACCAGCCTCCAAGGGGGCTGGTGTCCTAACAGCTGAGTCTGGGCACTTGGAGAACTGGAAGCAGTGGCAGTGATCAGCACTTGGATTTCATCACTTGTCAGTTCAAATAGGTGCAACCTCTTCCAGGTGAAGGACACTGCCAATGTCATCCTCTCACTTTCCAGATCCCCTGCTAGGATCCTATTCAGATAATACAAGGGCATTACACCAGTGCTCACTTTGGCTTTGTATATATTGACATGCTTAGGAACATCTTCTTTGCAATCTTCAACCACAGATTCATATGGAATGGTAAAAATAGGGCAAAGATCCTTTTCAAGGAATTTGCAACTTTCTCTTTTTTTTTTCCTATCATTATCTTCCCTTTTTTAATTGAGAAAAAAGCTGTTAAAGTTATGAGATGAGAAGATGATCTCCAGCTGGAATGACTTCGAAGAGGTTTTCTTGCCTCTCAAATCACTCATTAGTGCTTTAAGCAGTGCAGCAAATAGAGATGTAGGATATTGTCCCTATGTGATCTGCATTTGTTGAACCTCAGCAGTCCTGTTTGGAAATAGTAATGACAGGAATGCTGGAATGTCTTTCAGCAGCTGGGGTTAGGGAAGTCAGTTTGTGAATATGGTACCTTGTGTGTCGGCCTCCAAGGCAGCTCTTTGCTTACTCAGGCTCTCAAGTGCTGGCCTGGAATGTGCTGTTCCCTCTGTGAGGGAGGTCAGTTTGCAGACCTGACAGCCCAAGCCTTTCCAAGCACAGGAATTAAAATTACCAGCAGAGTTTGTGCAGACCTGACAGCACATCCTCTGCCACCCACGCTGCTGTCACATCTTATTCAGACAGTTGCCTTTGCAGGTATCTCTTGCAGGCCCAAATTCAGGTCTTTATCTTCTCCCATTGCAGTGAAGTGATTGATTTCCCTCTTTGTTTCCAGATTGTATTTCAGGCATTTGGAGAAAGTTTGTACCAAAGACATTATCATTGCTAATGTGTCATTACTAGTACCAGATTCTACTGTTGGGGATTTCTGTGGTCTTTGATGTGTTCACCACACTCCTTGCATTAGAAGTTCTTTGACTGAGAAAACAGGATAGCTCTGTATCCCTTTTCCCCTGAATTACCTGTTCAGTGTAGTGCCCTAAAGCTGGTGCTGAAATACTCTGCACTCTTACAACTCCTGGCTGCTCATGTACATTTATCATGGACATGCAGATGTCTCATAGCATTCTAATTTCCAACCCTGGCAGTAGCAAAGAGAGTTCTAGAGGACTTCTAAAATTTCTTACCTCCCTCAAGACTGCTCTTAATTCTCAAAACCTCCTGTGCAACTTGGAGAAGCTATAACTGAAAGGACATTTCTACCTAGAACACAGCATCATGCTCCTTTATTGTGCCCTATACAAAGCTCCACAAAAGCTCCATCCAGGAACAGCTGCCTGTGCCTCGCAGGGGATTTCTGTAACCAAGTGTCCATGAATGGCTCCACAGCCAGTTCTGCTGTCCCTGAGGAAATTAAGAACTAAGGAACTGTGTCAAGGAAATGCCCTTCCAGCTTCAGTTATCTTCCAGCAGAACTATAAGTGGGTTTTGCCTCGATTAGGGAACCAACAGCAAGGGCTTTTCTCCCTCAGGAGGTTTTCCCTGAGTCTTCCCTGCTGGTCACAGGGCAGAGGTGCTCACTTGTTACATGAGCATGCACACAGACTGTGTTTGTAAGGGACCTACTTTAATTTGACACTGATCTTTTATATCATGCCAAACATCACTGAAGGCTGGGAATTTATCTCAGTGCACTTGTATGTCTTCAGTCACAAATTCACATCATATTTGTGATGCTGTCGGTAGCAAGAGCCAAAGTTAGTCCTGGTGCTGACTTGTGCTGCCAAGACTTGGTTTGTGTTTTAGCATCCCAGCCACGTGTGCAAACACTGGGAACTCCTTGGTTCACTGCCTGTGTGGGCTCACTGTCTGTGCTAAGGAAGTGCAGTGCTCTGAGCCCTGCTGTCTCACCTTCCAGGGGGAATTATGGAGGTTCACACACAAATGCTCTGTTCACTGCAAAACCTCATCCTCACACTGAAGTTAGGAGCCTTCAGATGAGAATCATGGCTGTGTGTACTGAAGGCCTGAAGCAGCTCCTATGAGCACTGCATGTGCTGGGTTTGGTGTTGGCACAGGGCTGTCAGCCTTGGAGAGCTGACTGGGACCAACTGGCCTTTGTCTTGTCTGGAGCCAGGAACACAGCTGATATTTCCTGATGAACTTCCTTGGTGTAAGGAAGCTTCACTGAGAGATGGTTTAGTACAGAAGTATAAATAATAACTGCTAATTACCAACATTGCCATAATTTCTGGGGGGGAGGCTGTAAGAGTAAATGACATTTTGAAATCCATGGTGACTTGATGAGGAATTTCACATTCCCTTTCTATATCCTTAAACCTGTGGCATTCTACAGCTTACAACATAGCATTGCATACTTGTGCATATTGTGTGGTGGTTCAGTAAGGGACTCTTATGGGTGCAAAAATATCTCTTGGGAGCAAAACTTGTATTTGAATTAACTTCCAGTTTCCCAGCATTGAAGTGAGACGAGCATTTTCCATGGAATACAGTGAAATATTACTAACTAATATTACTGTACTTCCATGGAATACAGTGAAAAATTACTAATATTACTAAGGTTTCTGTACAGCCTATGATTGCTGAATCTCCAGCCTGTTGTTTTCCTGTGCTGGCTTTTGAGGATATCATCAAAATATGAATTATGTCTTCTATCAATCCTGCTTTGCTGGTGAATCCTGTTAAGCACTAACAGCAGCAGTGGTGTCCCTGATATTTGGTACACTCTGGCACTGCCAGTTGTGCACAGCCAGTATCAAGGAGGTGTGTGAAGTGTCACCTTGCTGGGCTGGTGTCTCAGAACTGTTGATAGGACGGTGACTTGTTACAGCTGCTCAGAACAATGTGTTTTCTTCATGGTCACTGCTGCCAAATCAATGCAGTTCTATATAATGCCATTACGAAATTCTGAAAGAAAACAGAACAGCTTCTTCAGACACTTCATTGTGCCAAGTCATGAGAAAACCAGAAGTTTCATACCTTGACCAAAGTTTTCCTCAAATGATGTAACTCAGATTTGTCTCCTTTGATGTAAATGCATACTTTTTCTGTTAGTGGGACATGCAGGTAAAAAAGATTATTGGTTGAGAATGGGTACTTGCTAAGAGTAGTTCTTCCTCAACTGAATTATGTAACTTATAAAGCCTGTTTTTCATTCTCCTTTCTAAAGCTCAAGAATTTAGTAATTATGCATGTAGAGTCTTTCCTGGCTCTCTTTAAAGCTCCTTTATTTTTCTTTCTCTCTTTTTCTCTGCCTTGATCTCCTTCCTCTCCTGCTCCTTAAGGCCTTGGAATATCTTTTCAAGTTCATTGTCCAATCTCGGATCCTTTACTCCAGAGCTACTTGTGGAATGGAGGAGGAGCAGTTCCGCTCCAGCATCCAGGAGCTTTTCCAGTCCATCAGATTTGTGCTCAGCTTGGACAGCAGGAGCTCTGAGACTCTCATCTTCACACAGGTTTGCTATTTCCTACACTCCCACTGGCAAACCACAAGGCAGCTGTTGTTGCACGGGTAGGAGGTGTGGGCACATGGGGGTGAAATGCAGGTCAGTTTTCCCTCCTATCAAGCTGCTGATGCTGGAAAACAAGACACCCATTAATGGCATTAGACAGTGGATTTGCACAGGTGAGCTGGACTGGGCGCGCTCTAGGAGGAAGTGACTTCTCACATGAGAATGCAATTTTTGTTGTTCACAAAAGTAAACTGTGTTTTCAAGTCTCCCTCATTCCTATGGTTGGCTGTTGCAACAGAGCAGATGGGACTCAGTTTCTTCATGCAGGAAAAGCTCATCCTTTATTCACATAGTTCATATTTATAGGAAATATCAGAAGGCACTGTGTTAAACCTAACTGGTCAGCAATACACTGACACTCAGTTTATTGGTGGGTGATAGCTAGGGTGTATGACTGTCAAATCTCTCTATATTTGGTTAGTTTCCATGTGTTCTTCACTGATTCTTATGAGACAGAATTCTTGTTTAAAACAGGTGCAAATGGTTTTCTTACCAGAATAGCTTGTTGTGTTAACTGCTTTCATTCTTATGATTTTTCACATGGGAAGTTAGCTAGCTGCACTTAGAAGAAATAACAGGCCAGGTGCTAATTTAGCAGAGCAAGGCCTGATTTTATAAGGCCTTTCTTTTATAATATCTCTACTTGTATGCAACAGTTGGCCTCAAGAATTTCTAAATCCTTCATTATAGTACTTCAAACCAATACTTATGGTCACAGCAGCATCACAGTGAAAAGTTCAGCTGATGTATTTGCACTCAGGTAAACAATTCCAGCATGTGCTAAAATTACAGTCAGAATCATGTGCAGCCTGACCACAAACGTTGTGATGCCCATACTCATATTTAATGCATCATTAAACATGGCCCAGGGGACTTCATGAAGATTCCATGTGGGTTGAAGACAATACTCCAAGTAAGTAAGGATGCTGCTGAGTTTTGGGCTCAGTTTTAAAGACCTCTGTACTGCATTACATACTGCTACATTTAAATTTTAAATGTCAAACATCCTGTTTGATGCCTCTGCTCAGAGAATGTCAGAATGGAGCACCCAGAGCTCCCTGGTTAATGTGAAGGTGGTTTGTAATCACTAATGCAGAATTACAGGTGTTTGGAACACCTGCTGTATTTTGCCAAAGAAGCAGCTGCTGTGAACATTGCAGCCAAGCAGTGACTCTGCTGGTTCAGGAAGCTGCCAGTGGAGTGATCCCTTTCTTAAGGAGATGCTCTGAAAGATTTGAGAACAGCTGCTCTAATGTTTTATTTAATCACCCATTAGTGGGTATAATAAGATGAGCCAGGAACAAGAGCAATCAGTGCACAGAATTTTGCAGACAAAGTGATGGTGAATGGAAACAGTATCTGCTGAATGTTTTCCAGTTGTGTTGGTCCCAAATAGAGAGGGAGAGTCACTCTGAGGATGGGGAATTTTCCTTTTTTTTTCTTTGTTTCTCTTCTTTATTTTTTTCCTCCTTTCACTATGGTATTTCTTACTTTGGACTTTTGTAATTTGTAAAGCCTGTCCTTGTTGAATCTTTGAAAAGTTTACTTTTTGTTTCCCCCTTGCCACTGTGTTGCCCCCTGACCCCCTTGCCCCGTAGGCCCCCCAGCCTGGAGGGCAGGCGAGCGGAGCCGGGACAGGTGCCCCACAAAAAGGTGGGGGCACAACCAGGCCGACATTTAATTCTGTAAGTAATGATCCCCAGGACTGCTCAAGTGTTTCATTGTGGATGTTCCCAGTTCATCTCCTTTCCCTACCCCAAACACTCTTTTCCTGCATATAAACTAGAGTGTGATGTTGAGGTGGCCAGTACTTTAAAACTTGGAGATGTGGAATATTTCAGTTATTCATGGATCAGTTTATGGCATCCACACACCAAAAAGACAGTGCTGAGGGTGTACACAAGATTATATAAATCAAAGTGTTCAGGGTAGACAAGCATTTGTTTCTTATTTGATTATTAGTTCTGGAAATCTGGACAATAGTTAAATACCCACAGAAATGCTTGAGGCCCTGGCACACGATTTCCCTCACACTTGTCCTCTTCTCCAAGATAACTGAGAGATCTCAGTGTCTGAGTTTTTTCCAGCAATGAGATTAAAACTGATTTCCTTCCTCCCAGGCAATTAGTTTGACATGAGTAATGTTCCAGCATATTTTAGGGTGTTGAGCAATAATGGGACCTTTCAAGGAACTGTTGAAATGATGTCGCCTCAGGACAGCTCCAAATCTTCCTGAAGAGATCCCATGCCTACCCTTGGATTGCTGGGGCTTATACAGAAATCCTTCTGCTTTAAAAGTAACAGAAAGTTTAGGAAAACTCCTGTAAGGATTTGTTGAGCCAATACTGTAATTTCACTTGTATTATCCCAAAGATAAAGACAGTGACTGGATTTGTGGCTGTTACTGCCTTCCAAGAGTACCAGGAGCTAGGAAACAATTTATACTTAAATATTTTGTTAGTACATTGTAGGTATGCAGGAACAAATAGGTGACAACACCCAGGAGGCCTTGTGGGGGTTTGTGTAATCTGAATTGATTGTAACAAAACAAGATTTTGAGAGAGAATGAGTGGAAGAAGGAGGTAAACTTATATTCAAAATAATTTAATGAGCTCTACCAAGTTAGTTGTAAAAATAACTTGATTTTGCTCAAATACTATTAAATAGATTTCACTGTTGAAAGAAAAAAGACTTGGCAAAAAAGGAGGCTGGGATTATATGGATTAGAAGAGTCATGTCAGTATGGAAGAGATAAAGAAATGTTTATGCAATGAGAAAACAAAAAAATCTCTGAGGAAAAGGAAATACTGACAGTGGTGAGACTCTGGAAGGACAAAGCTGAACAGAGATCTGCAGTGAAGTCTGGTAAATCTGAGCTGGTGCAGGAAAACATTGAGAGGGGTTTGTGTGGAGAACTTCAGGGAAGGGAGGTGGCAATGGCAGGAAGGGAAGAGTGGAGGTGAGGCTGGCTCAAGAAAACAACCATCTAGGAATTAAAATAGTTACAATGAGGAAGCAGGTGTGAAGCTTGGGTAGGATGTGGAGGAATGGAAGAATTTTAAAACATTAGAGGTGGTGGCAGTTGTTTGATAGGACACCAAATGTGCAGAACTTGAGCACAGGGAATTGGTGATGCATGGAATCTACTACTCCTGTGAAAAAATTAATTGGAGAATAGGAAATAAGACGTGAAGGGATTTTTGTTGCTGTTGTGTTGAACCATTTCTGAACTTCAAGAAGCACTTTCAAGGATAGCTCCAGCTTACTGGAAATATCTGCTACTGCAAGAATCACATGCACACTCGCATGATGTGATGCCTCTTTCACATGGACTCACACCCCACCCCTGCTGCAGAAATCCTGGAATGTCACATGGCAGAGCTGGTTAAGGGTCTGTCAGCAGGTTCTTCACTTCAGAATATTTTCTGAAGAGTTTTAACTGTCTTAGGTAGTTGCTTAGTACTAACAGTTGGTATAGAACTCTCTAATCAGAAGCAAGTGTTGTATTAACTGAAAAAAGTAAATCAACAAAAATGGACTAACTTGTCTGATATCTCAATTTTTCTTCTGTTTTATAAGCTGTCTCCTAAAATACAGCTTTTTGAAGCTGTATCTATGTGCTCTACTTATGCTAAGATTCACTATTGCAGCAGCACTTGATTTTTCTATGCTGCATGTGACTCGTTCACTCTGAGCTCCAGGTACCACAAGCCACGACCACCAGCCCTAGCACAGTCTGTAGTAGCTCTGTGCAGACCCTGGTTGAGTGTTCCTGTTGTTGCCACCTCTCTGCACTGATGCAGGTGGGGAGCTGCAGGTGCTGAGCCGCTCCTGTCCCCGCAGGCTGCCCTGCTGAACTCCTTCCCTGCCATCTTTGACGAGCTGCTGCAGATGTTCACGGTGCAGGAGGTGGCGGAGTTCGTGCGGGGCACGCTGGGCAGCATGCCCAGCACGGTGCACATCGGCCAGTCCATGGACGTGGTCAAGCTCCAGTCCATCGCCCGCACGGTCGACAGCCGCCTCTTCTCCTTCTCAGGTGAGCTGGCCTGAGGGGCTGCTGCTCGCTGAGGGCAGCAGCACCTTGGGGGCTTCTGCAGTGCCTCTGTTGGGAACAATTCCTGCTGAATGCCGGTAATGTTGGTCACTGTTTCTCTTGGCAGCGTCATTGATAAATGCATTCATTCGCTCAGTTGGTTGGAGCAGGGTGCTAACAAAACCAACATTGTGGGTTTGATCCCTCTTTTCCCAAGGGCTTTCACTTCAGAGTTGGATTCCGTGATCCTTGTTTGTCCCAGCTCAGAATATTCAGTAATTCTGTTAACTGTTCAATACAAATACTTTACAAGTTTCACTGCGGTAGGAAATGTTTACCAATCCATCATAGATAAATTGTAGTTACTAAAAGTTGATTAACATACATTAAAAAATTAGTTAATATTTAAAACTGACAAACCTCACTTTACATTTCACATTGCTCTTACCATGGACAGGAAGAAAACCTCCTTTCCAGCCAGCTTATACCTGAGAAGCAGGGGGGATAGTCTTGTGAGAAACCCACCACATTCCTTTAAAGTATCTTTAATCTTTATGTTGTGACTTTAGTATTTCTTTAGCTCAACTTTAAAGTTACTTTAGTAACTCTTTAATTCTTAAAATTTTACTTAAATATTCCTATATTATTGCTTACATATACTTTAAAACAGAATTTTAAAAAATCTTTAAGAACTCAGTGGAAAATGGCTGAAGACTGTGAGTGTATTTCATACATAAAGGTCTGAATGAAAGAAATTATGAAGGTAAAAGTGGAAGATAGAAAGCTCCACTGGGTTTCTCTTTCCTGTAGCGAGGACCTCAAGTTAGTTCACTTAAATTATTGTACTCAGTACAAGGTGAAAATACCACCACAGAATTTTGTCAAAACCATCCATTGGCATTGTTTGTAAATATTTTCTTTCCTTACATTTGTAATGATTTTCCTTCATCCAGAGTCCCGGCGCATCCTGCTGCCTGTGGTCCTTCACCACATTCACCTTCACCTACGACAGCAGAAGGAGCTGCTTATCTGCTCTGGGATCCTCAGTAGTATCTTCTCCATAATCAAGACCAGTTCTTTGGTAAATCTGCTACATGGTTTTAATTTTTTATTTGCACCTCTGATTTAGCAAAATGAAGAGTGAGAGATTTTTATAGGTTAATACAGGTTTTTCAAAGAACCTTTTAAAAACAAGATTGTGCTGTCAGCAGGAGAGCATCTGAAATGAGGGTCTGGCTCTGTGTGTGACTCAGAGCATCCTGATTACAGACTGTGCTTGCTGTTGGGAGGGGGGAATCACATACACCCAGCTTTGACACTGTTTAATTTTCTTCATGCAAGCCCAGAACTTGGATGTCAGTGGAGTTTAAAAGTTCTACACAGCTCAAGGACTTGTAGTTCTGCAAGAGACAGTAACTAGCACTTTGTGGTTCACATTAAAAGAATACTCTAAAATTATCCAATCAATGAATTCCCACTTACTTCTGGAAATTGCTGCTGAGTTTCAACACCCAGCTTTGACGGTCATAATACTCTGATCTCAAATGGTAACTGGATCATGTGAAGCAATGCTCACAAAGAGGGGGTGGTGAAGTTTCCCCACCTGACTAAAGTAGGAAGCTCATGGTGCTAAATATAATTCATACCAATGTGTATTTCCAATTACAAGTCAAGGTTCTGTGTGAAAGGAATGAGATGAAAGGCATCATGGAAATAAGCTAAAATAATACTGCCATGGAGTAAAGGTTCCTGAACGTAATCTGCTCCTGTTGTGTTCTAGACCTTTGATTAAAGACTAACCTTTATGGCTGTGACCCTGAATGTTTCCATCAGAGACTGTCCAGGTAACACACACACACTCTGACAGAACAACAGGATCTGGGACCAATGAGGAATTTGACTGTACTTCTGTGAGCCTGTTCCAGAGCTCTCTGTCCCAGGGAACCTGGTATGGCTCACTCAGCAGAGCTGTCTTTACCAGTTCCATCTCTCCAGTTCCTAACTGTGTGTTTGCTCACCACTTGCTGTAGGAGGGAGATGTCGTGGAGGAGGTTGAGATGATGGTGGAGAGCCTCCTGGACGTGCTGTTACAAACTCTGCTCACAATCATGAGTAAATCGCAGTCTCAGGAGGCGGTAAGAGGGCAGCGCTGCCCGCAGTGCACAGCAGAAATCACTGTTAGTAACTAACAATCAGTTTCTATTTCCTGCTTCTCTAACCTCTGGTTCAGTCCCTCACCACCACTGGCACCTCATCATCATCTCTGCTGCATGAATGCCCAGGGCTTTGTCTCTTTCCCTTAATAAGCCACAAACCCATTCCTTCCTCCCTGCACAGTGAGGGCTGCAGGAAGCAGTGGAGCTCAGGAAGCTTTAGTAGATTTCCAGATTATTTTTTTGTCTTTACAGCTGTGATTGAGAATTATTGCTTAAGACTTGAGGTACTAGGGAGCTGCCTGGGGCTTCACCCCTGAGGTGGTTTCACCAAGGGCTATAATGAGTATCAGGCTGTGATCCCCAAAACTGAGGATATGACAGTGCTCTGTGGTTAAATCTCTTTACTTAACACCCTGGAGAGCTGCTGTCCAGGGTCACTGATTATTTCGTGTAAATGAAACACCACATACTTTTGCAAAAGAAATTAAGGGATGCTAAGTCAAGTGAGCTGTTGAGTGAGCTTGGTGGGAGAAGCCACCACTTTACCCAGGCTGCCAGCCTTAGCCACAGGGAAGAAATTTTTCTTTCACATGCAGTGGAAGAGAAGAAAAAGAATAGAATTTTGATGTTCAGCCTTTTTCTTTCCTGGATTTCTGCCCTTTTCTATTTTAGCCTATTTTTGTTTGTCGGAGTCTCTAATGCAGCTTTTGCACAATGTAGGATGTTAAGCTGCTGTTCAGAACATCCTTTTTTTAGACTTGTTTTTTAGCAAATGGCTGAAACCTCAGCAGTGTTGCTGGGGGCAGATGTGCACTAAGGTTCACTTCTCACACAAGAGAGAAGGTTGGATCTTTCCTTGTTAGCTCAGTTAACAAGATGTGCTTTGATACAGAAGAAAAAGGGACTGGCTTGCAAATGTCCAGTAATATCTCAGTTGCCTTTTACTGCTGCCATTTGACTTATTGCTGTTTCCCACATGCCAGCCCACACAGAAGAGCACATCTTTCTTCCTCGTGAAGTTCAGCCCTGGAAAGTTTCTTGCAACAGCCCATGTTAAAGCTTCTGGGTAGATGCTTGAGCCATTTAAGAGTAGCAATAAAATGGAAGGCACAGTCCCTTGTATTTGCTCCTCAATTTACATTTCACAGCACAGTGATATATGGATTCTTATTAGATTTGTGCATTTTCCAAATTAGTTTCTCTGTTGCAGAAAAAAATAGTGTTGTGCAAGGGACTGGCAGTCAACAGACCCAGTCCTGATGTTTTTGGCACCACTTTGCTTGTTCTCTTGGACAGATTGCTTAACTTCTCTGTGCTTTGCTTTCAGATTTGTAAAATGGGGGAGCTCCTCTTTGGAAAACACTTTGGGATGCTGTGGTAACTGGTTAGGGTGCATCTGCTTTGCAAATTTACAGAAATGTTATTGTTGCTCATGTAGGCTTACCCAGACTGTGCTCAGGAAATCTGGCTGCAGATCTGTCAGTACTGGAGCTTTGACAGCACAGAACTTGGTGAACACTAATAAGCCATACATTTACAAGCTTCCAGACACCCTCTGTAGCCCAGCCTGATCCCAAGCTGTCACTGCTTTAGTGGTCAGAGTCACTTAGTTCAAATAACTGCTGGCAAACCAAATGTCTATTGGCATGAGCTGCAGTCACACCTCTGACAGACACTGGGTATTAAGTACCTGAAAAAGGGATTGTCAAAACCTGCATGCTTGGAGGGGGATTTGTTAATGTCTGTATTAATAATTTTAAATTACTTTTGTTTAGACTACAACTTTGATTAAAAGACCTTTAAAACTGGCATCTGTGGAGGAGCCTCCTGGAGGTGTATCCCTGTATTAACAGTAACTCAGGAACTGTTAGCCTGCAGTACTTTCAATCTCTGTGCATGTCAGCTGTCCCCTCACAGGCATTGGGGCCATTTCAGACCCCTCCCTTTATACCTTCCCCCTGGTTAAGCTTTGTATCTGTGAAATTTCAGATTGTCTGAATGAAAGAGTTTCTCCTTTGGTCAACAGGGAGAATATGTCTCCTGCCTTTTATCTTTGCTTCGTCAGATGTCAGACACTCACTTCCAGCACTTACTGGACAACTTCCAAAGCAAGGATGAGCTGAAGGTACAAAAGGATGTGATGTTTGTGGGGTGATTCCCTCAGAATGGGAGAGCAGAGGGGAATCCCTCCAGCATCACTTGCCTGTTAATCATTCCTATCCACTGGCACTCTGTTCAGGGACCTCCCTTTCACTTTTACAGTCATTGGTGCAGTGTTGCACAAACACATTTAAGACCACAAGGCACTGAATTATCTTTATAACAGCAAATAAAGTCCCAGGATAGATGTTGTTGGGCATAAAGGATATTGTAATTGTGACATATAAAAGACAGGCAGAGGAACAGGGCTTTTTAGTCCTGTGAATGTGAAGTCAGTTGTTGTATAGCATTTTGCTACGTGTTCAGTATGCACTGGAGCTTTCTTACAAAGGGTATTGATTTTATGCCAGAAGAGAATTTCAAGCCTTTTGGGGGTTACAAATGTCTCTAGCAGATGAAATATTTTTTGGGAAAGCTGTAACCTTACCACTTCACTTGCTGCATGCTTCTTTGAGAACATCAGTTTAAATTACGGCTCTTCATGAACAGCAGGGGTTGGTGAGGGGCACAGAGCTCTGACATTTTGAAGTGGCACATCTCACATCTCATACCAGCAGAACTTCTTAACTCACCTTCAGTGGGGAAGAGGAGTATCTCCAGCAAAAGCCTGTTTAAAAGGCAGACTAATCCTATAAATAAAGACAAGCTTTTATATAAAATGATTTTGTTTTGCATGGCACTCAAATATGCACAATAAGAACAATGTAATGTTACCTTAACAATGTTCTGTTACCTTAACAAATGCAATGGAGAAGCAGTGAGAAGTCCTTTCTGGATAGATTTTCAGCTTTTGAATATTTTGTGTGCATATAGAGAAGCTGAATAAGGTAGGGACATGAATTTGGAATGACAAAATTCTTATCTTTAGGTTGCAGGGTTCAGTGTATCTCAGGTTGATAGTTATGTGAGATTGCTGCCTTTCTGATAACTTTGAAATTGCTCACAGGAAAATGATTTACTAAATTAATTCATAATAAATTTTAATAGATATTTTAAAAGCCATCTAAACTATAGTTCTTATGTCAGACTTGTGGAAAGGTCATTGAACTAAAATTTATTGTTATGCCCAAAAGAACTGTTTTATCTCATATAATCTGAGTATATGTTCCAAGAGTACCACAAAGGCTGAAGATTTTGCATATTACTCTACTTTCCCATCAAATATGGCTGTTATAATATTTTCAATACTTCTTCTGGCATGGAAAGGCATTTTATTCACTTACCACTGTTACACTTCAGGCAAGATGAAGCCAAAAGTCAAGGAGCTTCTAATGCTTTACTCTGAGCTCAGTTACACCAAGGTATTAATCAGACACCTCTATTAAGGCATAATGGTAGCATGGTTTTGAAGAATCCCTGCTCTGCCAATTTCTCTTCTATTTTGATTTTGTCTGGAAGGAAAACAAAACAACAAAATTGTAGGTTGCAAGGGAAACAACTTTTCACATTTGATCTTCCCTGTTGTTCTGTACAGATGTGAAGGTGCAGGTAGTCAAAAACCAGAAATGTCTTCAGGTTTGGGGATTTTTTTTTTTTTTGGAAAGCAAACATCCAGCTGAATGTGTCTAAGAGCTCTTTGCTGCTGTGTGTTGCCAGAAATGGGGTTTTCTGTTACTATTTTAGAAAGCCTGTGTAGGAGTTTTATTGGGCTTGGGGGTGTGGTTAGTTCTCAAATTGTGACACAAGTCCAAAGAAATTTGGACAGATAAATTAATAAAATGAATGCATTAAAAAGTGATTATGAGTCCAGTATATTTGAAAATAGCTGCAAATTGACACTGAACTCTGGGTGATAATATGAGATGTCAGATACAATTATGCACATCGGGAAGATTTTCATCTCCCTGTAGAAGTGAAGATTTTAAAGAAACTGGAAGTTGTATATGAGACTCAAACAAAAGGAATAGAGCCATGTTCCAAGGTGTGTTGCTTTCATGTTTCCAGGTGAATGGCCTTGCAACACAAAGCTCAAGTAGAGCACACTTAGCTTAATTGTCTTTCTTAGAATCAAGAAAACAGATTCACCTACAACTGCTGCTGATTGTTACATATTTTCTCCTGTGTGACAGGAGTTCCTCCTGAAAATTTTCTGTGTGTTTCGGAACCTGATGAAGATGAGTGTCTTTCCTCGAGACTGGATGGTGATGAGGTTGCTCACCAGCAAGTAAGTAGAGGAGCAGGTATAAAATGTTGCCATTCTGTGGCAGTTAAAGCCTGGGGGCAGTATTTTTCCTCAGACTGAGATGTGAGGATCAGGACAGGAATTCTGGGGTGCTCATCCTCATTCTGCTGTTATTGTAACACTCTGGACCAAACCTGTGTTTGTGGGTTTGTTAAACTCCAGCAGCATTCTCAGAGCCAGGAGTTAAAAGCAGAGCTGAAGGAGCTGCCCTGAGGGTGAGGGGCTGAGTGACCCAGAAGTTGCAGCACCCAGGGTGAGCCCAGCTCCCCATACCAAAGGCTGTTTATGAGCCTCTCCCTCCCTTATCAGGGAATCCCTGTCTTGAACTTCTGGTTTCCCATGAACATCCCTCTGTAGCCGAGCAGGGAGAGGCTCTTGGGTGTTTTGGGAAAGGGGGAGCAAACCCCAGCCATGACACCAAAGCATTACACAGAGTTCCTTCTCAATTCAGTTGTCATCTGCCATTTTCATGCTCCATTTTATCTCAGTTTCTTGCTTCTGCTGGGTTAAGTACTGTGGATCAGCAGCAGTGTTGAACACAGGGTGGCTGGAATGATCCCTTAGCTAACCTAGCTGTGGAATTCCCACTCTGAGGAAACACCATGGAAATGCTCCTAAAGGCTGCCTGCCCAGCTGAGCTGAATGCTCTGCAAGTCCATCCTGCTAATGAGAAGTGAAAGAAGTGGATTTCAGGAATTCAAGCATAAAGATTCAGTCAAGTTCTGTAAGAAAAAAGAAATCCACCTGAAACAGTGGCTCCCTCAGATGCTGCAGGTTACCTGTTGCCTTGGGCATCATTTTGCCACCAAGCTTTAGGCTGACAGTTCCATTTAGCAGTGCAGCTGAAGTATTGCTTGCATGTGAATAGAGATGTGCTCTTCTTTTGATATTACTGTTGCCCTATCTACATGCCATTGATTAATTCCTGAATCTGTCATGTGTCTTCATTGCCCTTCACTAAGGTGTATGGAGCCACCAACAAAAAATAACACAGAATCAAAAATTAGCAAAATACTCACAAATATCTTGAGTTGAGTGAGAGTGAGATAAAGGACTGTTGCATAGACAAGAACAAGGACAGATCAAACTTCTTGAGTTACTCTCCTCTGGGGAAAAAAACCTTTCTGCTTACAACAGGAGAAAAAGGAGTGTATTATTCCATTTCCCTGGTGGTCATATGGCCCAGCCATACAAAATAGACAGGATTTTAAATGCTCATGTGTAAATTCTAGAAGTTACAATAGTAGTGGAAGTTCATAATCTTGTATTAATTAGTACAAATTGTTCGTTAAAGCAAAGAACGGTGACTTGTGTGTAAATATCACAGAGATCACACAAAGAATGCACTTCTCTGTACCTGTAGTAAAACCAGCACCACCAACCCCTGTAATATGCTGTATTCCAGATTCAAATGTTCTCTTTTGTTTTCTTTTCTTTGTTTTTGGCTGCAGTATCATAGTTACAACAGTTCAATACTTGTCTTCTGCCCTGCATAAGAATTTCACAGAAACGGACTTCGATTTTAAAGTAAGATTGATTCAGAAAATGTTCTGACATCTTTTCAAACCAGCAGTAACAAAGGAACAGGAGCTGCCCTCTGCATTAGCTGATGATATTTGCAGCATTTATTAGAGTGTCTGTCAGGAAGATGACCTAACTGATAAAGGACAGGAATGGAATCTGCTGTGGAATTGATGGGAAATAGAACAGATACAGTGTGAGATCAAATCAGGGAAATTGAGTCCCTCATAAAGGAAACTGGTAATTCCATAAGCATGGGGCCAATGGAGCATCTGTCTGATGGATAATGCAATGTAAACTCGGGCAATGCTTTTCCTGAAGTTGGGGCATTCTCCCAGAGGTCTCTGGCTGATGACACAGAACCTGGAGGAACACAATCCTAGGGTGTTGTCCCTGTGTCTGATGTAGTTGGAGATGGGCAGGAAGTTCAGTGTCAGTCAGGAAGAGCTGCCAGACATGCATCTAGGGACAAGGGCACACACCAAGCTGGTAAAAACCTCATGTCTTTGGGAAAACAGACCAAATTTCAGGGATTCTATTCATGATATCATTTGATCTCTGGTTGAGAGAGATCTTTTGTAGGTTGAACAGATTTGATAATATCTGTTCAACTTACAGAAAAACAACTTAAAAATTTGCTGATGTCACCAAATTTATTCATTCTTGAGCTCTGGTGCAAAGAGGAAACCCAGTGGCATTGCTTTTGTGGGGGTTTAAATAATGCATTTGTGCCTTTAAGAGTTAATTTGTATCTCCATAGTAGGAGACATATTAATGAAGTTACCCCTTGATTACCAAAAGGAGTCTGTCTTTCTCCACTTCTTTAAAACTTACTCTTGGAGTGTAATGCTGTAAAATTCCTTTGCTTGTCACAGGTGTGGAACTCTTATTTCAGCCTGGCAGTTTTGTTTATAAACCAGCCAAGTCTCCAACTAGAAAATGCCACGCCACCCAAGAGGAAGAAGATTCTGGATAAGTAAGGATATGTTTTGTTGGGTTCCCACCTCAAAAAAGAGCCTTATTTTCCTACCATAAGTCTCTGTGATTTATTATGAAACCTGGGATGTGGAAATGCCTGGGAAATGAATAACTCGATCTCCCAATACAGCAATCAGTGATCAGTCAAGTTGTTTGATGCTCTTACATTGACATAAATGTGAATTGAATTTTTTTAACCATTTGATTATTTTTTCACATCACTGCCTTGCAAGTTTTTGTTCCCTGGGCAGCTGTGTCTCTGTTCTCTCTCAGGTATGGTGATATGAGAGTGATGATGGCCTATGAGCTCTTCAGCATGTGGCAGAACCTGGGTAAGCCTCTCCCTCTCTCACCTGACAACCAAAGCCAAAGGAAAACCCCGTTCCTGTCAGATTTTTAAATTTTTTAAATGTTTTGTGGCATCACAGAATCCTTTGTTTCTCTGAAGAGAAGCACTTCTCTCACCAAAACTCTCTTCTGCACTATATTCTAGAGAAAAATAACAAAATGTTGCTGATAGAGATCACAAATAGAAGGATGTGAGAAGGGGTGAATCACTAAGAGAGCAAAGGAGTGACACAAGTCAGATTGGATACCTTAATAATATGGCTGCATAATATTCACCAAGCCAAATAGAAACATTTTGTGTGTAGGGATGTAGGTAGGAGTTGCCATTCAAACAATCAAAGACAACAAATGTACCATGGTGATAATCAGCTGAAGGGGAGCTACCTGTAAAATGCTATGAATAAAGGAAATTTCGTAATTTTTGAGAAAATATGTAAGAATCTGGAGTAAGAGAAGAGGCACCATATTACTGTCACAGTGTTTTCTCTAAGTGCACTTGATTCTAGATCAGTTTGCCCAGTCCTGCTTTCTACAGCTAAAAGAAACAACAAAACACAAAAAAATATCAACCCAAGGCAAGCTGGACAAGGTTCAGACATCAGTCAGGAAGACAATGGAAGCAAGAAAACCGAATAAGCCTGATTTGTCTTGTACAACTAAAATGATACAGCCAGAACTGGTCACAGTTCAAAGGAGCTGTGTGGAAAATAGAAGGCCCTCCAAGGTAACAGAGATTCAATACCCAGAAAAACAAACCTGACAAACTTCTCAGCTGAGGAGAAGCCAGTTTTGGATGTGGAGATGCAGACATTTATCACTGGATGCTGTTCCAGGTCAGGCTTTTTTGAGTTCTCTCTGCACAGTGCAGTACATGGCTCAGAAGAGGCTGGCAGCAAAGTGCCGCAGGTCCCTCCTAGAGAGGATCCACTGGTCCCAGTCAAGGGCAGTTAGGAAATGCAGACAGCAGTGGGGACCAAGAGCTCTGTAGTTCCTTGAAATCTAAAAGTGTCTATTAAATACCACTGTTCTCACCAGCCCTTTCAAAATCTTCATGAATTGGAAGTACCCTGGCCTCTTCTCCCCCAGTTAGTATGTTTTAGGTGGTTTACTTTTGACAGTTTGAATTCCTTTGCAAAGTAAAATGCACTGACATTTTTTGCTGAAGGCTTTCACAGTGAAATTAAAAATGTTCTTGGAGACTTTGCAAGAAATGGTGTAAAGCAAATACTGATTTTTCATTCCTTTTCAGGAAAAGAATATTTGCTTTTGTAGTGCTCATGCTTACTACTGTGCAAATGTCATTATTGCAAGGGTTCCCTGTTTTCTCAGTGGCAGATAGCAAAGGCCTTTATTTAATTACCATTGTTTTGTGTTGTACAGGTGAGCACAAGATTCACTTTATTCCGGGAATGATTGGCCCCTTTCTGGGTGTTACCCTTGTTCCACAACCAGAAGTCCGGAATATCATGATCCCAATCTTCCACGACATGATGGACTGGGAGCAGAGAAAGAATGGCAACTTCAAACAGGTGAGGGCACTGCCCAAGCCTTCCTCTCCTTGCTCTCTCTCTGCAGTGTCCAGCTGGAAGCAAGGAGTTTGTATTCTTTGATCTGTTTCTGACTGTGAATATGTCACATAAATCTGTATAAAATAGAAAATTCAAACCCTAATTCATAAGGCCCCCAAGATTGTTTCACCAGTGCAAACTGCACTTCCCATGAACATGGGGAAGAGGAGGGATGTGTTCAGCACATCACAGATGGGGAAAAGAATTGTGTAAGTGCTGGGCTATCACTGCTCCCAGTGGTTTCACTTGGATTATTAGTCAGCCATTAAATGGGTCAGACTGAGAACCAAAAATGGAGATGTAAAGATTTAGCCAGTCTTTGTGAAAACAGGGCTCTCTGCTTCTCTGTCTTCAGTTTGCAGCTAGGAAGTGGTATTGTATAATTAAATCATTATTCCATGCCTTGAAACAGACTTTGTAGCTGGTTTTATTTTCAGAAATTGCAGCAGCTCTCTGGGAAGGGTTAAGTCCAGGAAGAGCTCTGCAGTTTCTACCTGCTGTGAGCTCTGATTGCAAATCAGGGAGAGAAATCTTCATCATTGTTTCCCAGTCATGGTCAGAGAATTGCTTAGATTTTCCACTGCAAACCAGATCCCTGAAGTGCAGAGCATTGCTAATGAGGGATGGGCTTGGTCTGGATCCTTGGATGACAGTGTTTCATTGTCATTGTGCTGGGGAGATACTGGGGGCCAGTCTCTGCAGAGGAGTGCTGTGAAGGAGTAAATCACCATTAAATTATCATAATTCATGTGATTAGTTATTTGCACAGTCATTAAAATGCCAGATCTAATCTATCATTCCAGGAGAATAGCAGACCTTTCCCATAACCTGATCTATTAAAGGCTGTGTGGAAAAGTATTACCAGGAGCTTGTTTTTCTTCCTCTGCAGCTCCCATGATTGCTATAATTGTTATTATTTACTATTATTATTATTGCAATAGCATTTTGATCATAGTCCTCTTTCCACTTGTTTTAGCATAACAACAGAACAGTCTTTCTCTGGAATTTACAGTATGAAACATCTACAGTCACCTTCGAGTTTCTGGGCCTATTTATATTTTCTGTATCAAGATGAACTCTTTGTAATCTTCATTTAATTTTTATACTCACTAATGTATTTTAAACTACAGCTCCAAGAATATTTCTTAAATTACCTATGGAGCAAATTTCCACACTGTTTTATGAAGCATATATTGTAACCTTCTAAGGTTAAAGATGAAATAATCATCTGTTTTAGTGATTAAATAAATGGTTAAATACCCCAAGAGGTAATAAACCTCATTAACATTATCTGCTGGAAGCAGGCAGTTATTTGCTTTCCAGTATAATGCTGGATAGCTGGACACAGGCATTACTGATTTCTGTAATCACTGTAGATCACAAACAAAGGGAGAGGTTTTTTTTAATTCTGAGCTTCTCTTTGCCTTTTGAATATTCAGTTGTTTGTCAGAAAATATAAAAACCCTGAAAATTCATTTTCAAGCTCTTTTTAAATTTTCTTCATTAGTTCATGTTTTTACAACACTATTTTTCAGCAAGGCTGGATAACAATACAGTCTGATTCAGGGATGAAATCAGGTTTCCCTTTAATGATTCAGCAGCAAGAGCACCAAGTCCATTTGTGTGCCACTGGCTGATTTGGTTTTCCTTCCCATCTTTACTTCCTCTGCTATTTGGCAGCTGAAAAACATAGAGAAGCTCAAACTATGCTTGTCTTTAAATAAAAGTAAGCCATGTTTCTGCAAATAGTTTCAGCCTTTAGGAGCCTCTGTCTTCACTAGTAGTGAAACTGTCTTCTGCAAGATTTCTGACTTCATGAAGTTGTTTTTGTTTAATGTTACATACATCAAGTTCTGCACTTGAATCAGTTTTATGAGAATATCTGATATCACACTTGATATTTAGGGTGGGAATTAATATGTATTCAAAACCTTTCTAAGAGAACATAATGATGCTGGTGTGGCCCTTCATATAAGTGAAAGAAAACAGCAGAAGTGTCACATAATCATAGAGAGGCTTAAAAAGTGGAGTTTAATGAACAAATAATCTTCTAATATAATGATGGCTGGGTGACTGCAAATCAATTCCACCAGCAGAGCAGAGCAGTGGTGCTGGATGTCCTGCTGCAGCTCAGGATCCAGTTTGCCTGATGGGCTGGGTCACTGGGAGAGTCTCTGAGTGATGGATGTGGTCTCTCCCTGCAGGTGGAGGCTGAGCTGATCGATAAGCTGGACAGCCTGGTGTCCGAAGGAAAAGGTGATGAGAACTACAGGGAACTCTTCAGCCTGCTGTAAGCTCTGCCAGTTCATGCTCTTGTGTTGTGCAGGGCCACTGCAGGAGTCAGGCCCTGATGTGTGCAGGCACAGATCTTGGGGGAGGGCAGGAAGGGGCTGCCTGGCTGCCATGGAATGGCTCGGTGAGGTAGTGCTGGAGGTAACACAGAGACCTAAATTCCTCTTTGTCTTCTCCCTGTGACAGCTAATAAAAGGCTGCACAGGTTACCATCCTCCTATCAAAAATTCATTTGCTGGAGGAGCCAGGGCCCTTCTCTTTCCATAGGAGTGAGTGAGACCCTGGTCTCAGCAGTGTTTAGAGAGACACTGTACTATCTACAGTCAGGCCTTGTTAGAGCAAAGGAGATTTTCCTCAGCATTTTCCTTTCTTTCCTCCTATTTTTGAAGGCCATGTTTTGGTTGGTTCAACAGTTGCCAGTTGCTTCCTCCAGAGTCCATTGTGACACTTCCTGTGACACCAACAATTCACACTCAGAAGGATAAAGTTGAAGATTTTATGTCTGACTTTACACTTTACCTTTGATTACTGATCCGTCTCCAAATTTAATTTCAAATGTTCCTAGTTTATTTCAGAAGGAATTATTTCAAACTCTTGACAGTCCAGAGCAGTTAAACCAAGTTTTTTAATACTCTAGTGAGCCAGAGAGATCACTAGGAGAATTTTTGCCATATATTCCAATTTTACATGGCCTCCAATAGCACACCAGCTTTTGAGGCATAAACCTTTGTTTTACTGGAATCAATAATTGTTTCTGAATTTGCACATTCATTCATTTCAAGCTAGATAAGCCTGCCCATCCCATGTGCTTATCCTCAGGAAGTATGGAAATGTATTCAGTTTGGATTTGTGTATATTCAGCCTTGGGAAGTCTTGGATCTTATGTGTACAGATAAAGTAAGTCTATTTCAGGAATAAAGGAAAGGAAATATCTATTCTTTTTTTTATTCACGTGGCAAGAGGAATAGAGTGCCTTTGCTCCACCTGAAGACATTCATTACCTGAAATGTTAAAAATTCAAGGGCTGTAGCTTTTTACTCATTTTTAGGTGGTAGTGATTGGATGCATTACCAAGAAACACAGGAATTACAGCAACCAGTTAGTTTATATCTCCCACCAAGCTGTCTGAGAACAATATGAGGAAACATAAAATTTGTGGAAAAAATTCCACAAATTAGTAAATGCTGTGTGAAAAAACAGTTGACCCTGAATTGTACTGTCTCAACTACACTGCTGTAAAGGGAATTGGCTCCCTCAGCTGCCAGTACTGAAGAGTTTGCCTCTTTGGAGGCTGTGATACCCAACAGAATTTCTTTCCTGAAGTGGCAAATTCTTTGACTGGAAATCCAGTTTCAGAAAAACTGGCATGTAAATTTGCTTTCTTTCTTCACTTTTTAAACACAATGTTCAATGTTCTTGGTCCAGCCTTCTCTCTTCCTTCACAACTGTGTGACATGGGTGCTCACTGTACTGTCTATGCTAGGCAGGAGCAGATTGCTGTTATTTCCAGTTTAAATACAATGTGAATTAGGGTTGGTTGTTGCTGATTAGAGATGAAAATTTCTGGAGAGATGAGCAAAGAAGAAATATTTGCAGTAGGTTTGGACTCCTTTTCAGTTTCGACTGCTGGTAGTGGTATTTAAGCTACAGGTAATAATGTGGGAATCAAGTATTGCCATGAGTGTTGTTCTTTTTCATATCTGTTAAATGGCAGTGTGAGGATATTTTCCCTTCTCCTGTCAGTTCTGTAATTTCCTTGTCTTTACTTCATGCTGCCTGGAGTAGAACCCAACTCTTTGGGCCTTATCCCAGGTAAGATGCTAATTCTTCTGGAATTTGTTGTATGAAGGAGAAACCAAGTTGTCTGTATCAGTGTGCATGCCCTGTACCATTTCCCTGGAAGCCTCAGCTGCTGTCTTTCCATCTCCAAACAGTTTGCTGGAGAAGATAGAGCAGGAGACTTGGCGGGAGACTGGGATCTCTTTTGTCACGTCCGTCACTCGGCTCATGGAGCGTCTGCTCGACTACAGGTACCTGGCACCAGCAAGGACATGCTCTAAGTGTGGGAGCTTTGTCAAGACATGGTACCAAATTCCCAAAGGGAAGGTTTTTATTGACTATCAAGCTGCATACATGCAAGCCAACACATCACTGCTGGGTCCTGAGCAACCATTCCAGATCCTCATCTCATTCTTGTGTGCTCGTTCCTGATAGTTTTGCACTAAGGTTTATTCAGGTTGCTAAAACATTAATTCTTTCTATCACTGAAATGATCTCACCTAATTCAGCAAAATAGATGATAAATGCAAGAGTGATCCCCAAAGCCTCATTGAACCAAGGTGTGCTGAATGCCTCATCCAGGCCTGCAGGGCAGGAGAACTTCATCTGGGAACTCTGGCACATCAGCTGGTGGCTCATGAGCAAGATTTCACTATAAATTAGGCAGCCTTCCTTTAGTTTTAAACTGAAGTTTGCAGGACTGTTGTGTCAATGCAGCTGAGCTTTGACTTAGTTAGAAGGAAATATTTTAACTTTAGATTTATATATACACACACACTCAGAGGGGTTTTTTTTAATAATAGACAATTTGACCCTATATAGAACTGCCCCAGATATTTCTATCTTTAGCCTACTGACAGGAGTTCAAATAGTTTTTTCTTCTGCTGCTCCTCATTAGAGGTGAAACCCTCTGACGAGGCTGGGTGTTCTGCAGTCCCAAATCCTTTTCTGTGCTTTTTAGTTTGCTCTTTTTGTTATCCCTACCACCTTGATCCAATCTCCTGGTTTTTTCCTGGCAACAACTGCTCTACAACTACTGTGCACAACCAGGTACTGGAGGCACGTTTAAAGGGAGTGCAGGGGAGCTGCTTGGGGGTTTCTGGGGGGCAAGGTGGGGGGTGTTGTGTGGTTTTGGTTTCTGTTTTTTGTTTTTTAATGATGAACAGCTGCCAGAAGGCAGCTTTCACAAACAGGTACACATTTCCATGCTTAATTGAGAAACACATACCAGTTTTTCCTTGATTGTCAGTCTGCAGCTGATTTGCCATTCCCAGAACAGGGAACTGGAATATGGCATTGGAATTTGGAAATACACAGGCAATTCTTAGGAGTCCAGCTGCCAGTCAGTAGCTGTAGAAGGTCTCAAGATGATTTGCTGTGTCACTGCTTTAAAAACTTAAGTCTCTTGTACCATTTGAATAGAAATAATTTCTAAAATATTCCAGAAACCAAAGATAAATTTTGTGATTTAACTTACCTCTGCAAAAGTTAGAAATCTAGTCTAAATCCCTCAGGTTCTATCCTTGTGTGCCACACCATTCTGCAGAGCTGCATTTATGGAAGCCAACCCTTTGACTAGGACTAAATGTTTACATCTGGGTGAATAAGAGTTTTTACTTTTATAGTAGATCTTGCATTTGGATTATTTTTGACCACTGTATCTGATTGTTGTTCACATTCTTGTAAGAAATGAAGGAACAGTCATTTCAGGGGCTTGTTTACAGATGCAAACTTGTAAGGGGACACTCAGTTCTCACATCATCTAAGCCCTAATATGAAAATTTTTCTTAGAGGAACTTTATAAAATTAAGTATATGATTATCTGTTGTTTGTCATCCAGAGAAGCCTTGGAAGATAAGATAGCTTCAAATTTATTTTAAAAGGACTGTTTTTGCAGATGTTTGTTTCAACACTGCTCTGCTTTCTTAGGGACTGTATGAAAGGAGATGAAACAGAAAACAAGAAGATTGGCTGCACTGTTAACCTAATGGTAAAAGTGTTTCCTTTATCTCTTTGTGATACTGTGCAATCTCGTTGAAACTGGGATGGGAGAGGCTGGGATAGGAATCTGTGTCAGGCAAGTGTAGCTTCAGAATCCAAGCACTGGGATGAAAGAAGAAAATGCAGAGGATTGTGAGGATCCTCTGGAGGCCTCTGATCCGACTCGCTGCTTTAAGCAGGGCCAGATAGGTCAGGCTCCTCAGGGCTGTGTCCAGCTGAGTTCTGTGTGTCCCTGTGACACAGGTTCTACAACTTCTCTCACCTTTTCTTTCAGCTTTTGACTACCTTCATTTGGAAAAAAAAGTCATGCCACAATAAAATTAGTGGGTTAGATCAGTGTGAGTGTGGAAAGAATTATTACTTTTCTTTCCACTAAGAACGTGTTCTCTTTTCAAGAACTTTTCACATCCACAGATGCTGCTGAGTGCTTGAATGGAGAGTCTCAAGAGTAACAGCTCTGTTTTTTCATTCACAGAATTTCTACAAATCTGAAATTAACAAGGAGGAGATGTACATCCGCTACATCCACAAGCTTTGTGACATGCACCTGCAGGCTGAGAACTACACAGGTGAGAGAGACATTCCCTGGAGTCTGCTGGAGCTCCTCATGGCATTTTTTAACTCTCCTAATGTTATGTAATATCTGGCTCATTCTTTTGGAAAGAATTGGCATGAATCAGTTATGGCAGTTGGGAAGGCAAGAAGCTGAGGCCCAGCTCCTTTCCTCAAGTTAAAACTGTCTGTTTATGCCTGCACAACCATATGATTATTGAATTACACTTCAAATTTTACATTAAAGTGTTCTTTGAAGAAGATGGATTAAAAAAAAATCACAACAGTGGAATGAAATTTAAAGGAAGATTAGCAAAAGCACCATTCTATCATCACTTGTCATATTTCCTTGCCTTGCAGTGCTGAGGGAGCACTGGAACGTGTATGGACTCTAATGCTGTGTTGTCCAAGCTCTGTTTACAGCTGCAGGCCCCAAATCTAGTTACACATCTGACTGTGCATTTAAATCAAGTAGCTGGTAAAAAGAAATTTGACAGATTTGTACCTAAAAATCATGTGCTTCTATTTTAAGTAATTGACTAATTTAATGGCCCCTAAGAGTTGAGATTTTTTTCACAAACTGTAAGTCAGAAATCGCGGACTGTGTCAGAAGCAGGCCTGTGACCTTTAATATTGGCTGTGTTTATGTGCTGTCACTGATTCAGTGTTCCATAACTGCCTTTCCCACAGAGGCTGCATTCACTCTGCTTTTGTACTGTGAGTTGCTGCAGTGGGAGGACAGACCTCTGAGAGAGTTCCTGCATTACCCATCTCAGTCAGAGTGGCAACGTAAGGAAGGTCTGTGCCGTAAGATTATCCATTACTTCAACAAAGGGAAGGTATGCCAACTTCTTCTCTCTTCCAGCAGCTTCCTTCCCTTTTCCTGACTGACTTAGGGGCTTGCAAGCCATCATCTCAGTCCAGTAGTCTGGAAGTAAATTTGTATCAAAAGGGTTTATAACATGACAAATTGGCTCTCTGGACAAAAAAAAAAAAGATATGAGGAAAGGTATTTCATTATGTAGGGCATTTGGAATGGGTTAGGGAGGCCAACAGGACAAACACCAAGACATTTTTAAACCTTTAAACCAAGCCTTGAATCAGCTGATGTGGCAGAGTGCTTGTTCCTCAGCTTTTGGGGGGTGGGATTGCATTTTGTAGCTGTCCATGCAAACTGCTGTGCTATGACTCACTTGAGAACTTGTTTTCTGCTTAACCTGCACATGGAAATGGCAGGCAAATGCTATAGGGGTCTCTTTATTGAAAAATATTTAAGTCTTTTCAGTGTCACTTATTTTAAAGTTATTTTCAATTAAAGTGCAATTCCATCCACTGCACAAGAAGAAAATCAATCCATTTCAATTTCATATATTGAGTATGAGTTTTCTACAGTTAATTATATTTTTTTTCAATTACTGCAGAAGTAGATGTTTTAGTCCCTTGTGTCATGGTGTTTTGGGAATAATTCAGAGGTGAACCTTAAAAGTGACATCATCTGTTGGAGTATTTTCAATTTTTTCCCTTCTCTAGGAAAATTCCTACAGCTTATGTTCTTGGGAGATAACATCTGTATGTGTGCCTCAGGGCTGATTTTGCCCATGATGGCAATGACAGTGGCATTAAATACAAATGTGAGTTGGTTCTTATGGGGCTGCCATTCCAGATAATTCATTCCCAGTCCTGGTAATAGGAGTTGCATATGGCAGAAACATTTTCTAAAGAACCTGCAAAAGGAAGTCAGATTCCTATGTGAAGGAAGAAATGGCCCATTTATGAGGAAGTGATTTAGATTTTTTTTTTTGTGTGTGTGTCTGCCAGAGTTGCTCTTTTGTGATAACACTGCATATGGTTCTCTCATTTCAGGAATTTTCAGGGGTTTTCAGACTGCACTTAAAAACAAGTAACTGGCTTGTGCAAATACTGTAGTACTGTACTTTCTGACTAGACAAAGATGATAGAGGCACTGTGGAAAGCAAGTGAGCCTGTATTTTTGACAACAACAGGGAATCCATATACACAGAGAAGTAGAGTAAAAAATGACTGATATAATTAGGCTGTAAAACTCCTAACAGATTATAGAGTGTTAACCTCTTGAGATTTTCTCCCCACTGGATGTTTTTGGAGTTACTTGATTTGTGTTTTAATCCTCCTTTATTACAAATGGTAGCTGAATGATTAAATAATCCACTTAAGCAGTGTGCATGTCATTCAGACTATGGAACTGAGAGATGCTGAGAAGCCAAAGCCTCCTTTTCAGCACTCTTGTTGTGTGACAGGGAGCAGCTCAGGGAATGGAAGAAACCTGCTTCCCTCTACTTGTGTCTGACAGCTTCTTTCTGCACTATCCTGGCATGGTCCCTCCTCAGGTTCTGCAGAGCAGGATTTGTTATTGTCCTTCATTTCTCATGCTGCTCCTGGCCTCTTCCACCAAGTGAGGGTGTTAAGGCAGAGTGTAAAGTCTGTAAAAATTCTGCATTTCTTTATAGGAGAATTTTCTCAGGACAGGAATGGGAGGAAAACTGCCCACAAGGGTGTCTTGTGACATGCCAGTGGCACAGCCTGTGGCAGGCCTGGGATGCTGCAGTGGGTGCAGAGCTGACTCCCACCCTCAGCAGCATCAGCAGCAGCCCTGTGCTGGGAGGGAACATGGTGTTCCAAAGCCCTTTTAGCCTTCACTGGTCATGTGCCTCCTCCTGCTGATTTCTGCTCTGCTGTCAATTGGTCTGTGGCTCAGCTGGCAGTGTGTGCAAGTACATAACTTAAATTGAAGATATTTTTAACCCTCAGTTACAATTTTGACCGTTAAAAGTTCTCTAGTTGAAGACATCTGTGAATGGAACAGTTTGAAGCTGACTGATCATGTTTCTGCACAGCAATACTCAAAATCTACTCAGCCCTTTTGTGTCCAGTTTACTGCTGGATTTATTCCCTGCCAATTCTGAGCAGCTCCCACCGTGGCACTGCAGGGTCTGTTCTTCCTAGTGCAGCCAAGTGCACACAGAGACCCAGAGCAGCATTCCCAAAGCACTTAGGGAATTTTCATCATGTGCTCCATACCCAACACTTGAAATCATTTCTCTTGTGTGCCCTCATGGGAATCATTTCCAAAAGAAATCTGCACACTGGGATGTGAGTGAATAAAGGCTGGTGTTCAGAAGGGATGATTGTCTCTACCTGAGCCCCCTTGTGTGCAGTCAGCTGAGAGTTACTGGTGCCATAGGAGAAAGCTGCAATAAGTGCCCTGTGAATGTGGCTTTCAAGTAACACACAGCATGCAAACACATCACAGGTCAGAAAAACGGGAAGCACTAATGAGGAAAATTACCAGTGGAGACATCAGAAGTTATTTGAAGAGGGAAGTGGCACTTGCATGTCACATGGAATTACATATTAATTATCTGTACTGTGAAGATGTTACTTGTTAGCATCACAGATTTTAAAGCTGAATGACCCAATGACCTGGATATCCATTCATTCCTTTTCCCATCTACCAACCATTTTCTCTTTAGGAAGTTACCTGTATGTTGTTGTTCTTCACTTCTTTATCTCATCTTGTATCTGCAGAATACTCAGGTAGCACAGTTGAATTTCTTGGTGTGGAAACTGAGACAAAGAGAGAGCCTGAGTTAGGATGACAGGAATGGTATCAGGGTACATGGAGAAGAGGTAGTATATAGAGAAATCAGATGTGGTTGCATGTTGTTAATTTAATTGACATCAGAAAAGGAGCATGAAAAGGTTACATCCCTCAGATCATCTGGAGGGAAAACAGCTGGTGAGATTTCTGCTTCTGTCCAGAAGAGAGATTAGAGAGTTAGGTAGGCTTTAGTCACAGCATCCCATCTGGAAGTAAGACTGCTCACACTCTCTGTGGGAAAAAAGCCATTTATTCCTGGCTAGATGTTTTAGAAGTGAACCTAGATCAGCTGAGGACTGAAAATCTAGGTATAGTATCTCTGTAAAGAACGTGCTGCAGCCATAAAAAATGCAGTGGTCTTTGAGTTTGCAAATGCACTTAACTGACTATGGTTGATCTCAGTTCAGTGAATCAGTTTGTGTGTCATGGATTTTGACAACCCACAGCAAAAATCCTGTTAATTTGAGATCACAAATACCTCACTAATATTCAGTGTAGTCAAGAAACTGGTCTTTCAGTTCCTTTCCTATTGTGTCTGTTGCTTTGATCTAAATAAATCTCAGGCCTCCCATTCTCCCAAACTACAAATACTATCAGAATATCCAAATTGATTCTGGTATTCTGGTACAATGTTTTATTTAGCAAGTTTTTATTGAAGCTTTTGTAATTAAATGAAGCTAAAGAGCTGTAGTAGGGAAGTGGTAGTAAGGAGAGAACAGACACTACAAATGAAGGCTTAAAGGGAAACACTGTAAACTGCCTCATAAATTATATCAAACAGTAGGGATTCACTTTTTTGTGTGAAGGTAACATGTAAGCAGAAAAACTGTTTCCATATTAAGTGCTAATATTTTACATAATTGCTGTTAATGACTGTTTCCAAGAATTTACAATATTGCTATTAATATTCTTAAAACTTAAGGTGATAGTCTAACTCACACATCAATTTTGTTTTCACTACAGCAGGGTCCCATGTAAAACAACTGGCAAATTAGCCCAGTAATGCATAATAAAACTTAATCCAGTAAGGGTTCAACTGAGACCTTGGTGCTCTAAGTCCTTTACCATAAGCATGGTAAGAAACAGCCACTCCCCTAAAAGGCTTCCAGTGTGTGCAGGTAAAAGGTGATGGAAGAGGAGATTTCAGTGTAAAATGAGCTCTCCAAAAAGCCACTTGAGGTAACAGGAGAGTCCTTCTCTCAGTGTGGGTGTGCCCTAAGTGGGTCTCTGTCCCTCCTGACCTCTGGGATGATGAGTATGGTGTGCTAGGAGAGATCCATTGTGTGGGACTGGGAGCTGAAGAAAAGAGTGGCTTTCTGAATATGGATATTGATTCACTGCAGTAATGCAGGTCAGCTCTGAGGATGTTTTGTGTACTGGAGTGTTCCCACTGCCTGACAGTTTGTGCTTCCAGTGGGAAGGAGCAGCCCTGGAAGGGGAGCACTTTGCTGGAGAGCCAAGCCCTAACTCTGTACTCCAGGGAGTTCTAGTGCAGAAAGCAAAGGAGCTGTTGGGGGTGGGTTGAAGGGGTGTCTAGCACGAAGAGAAATTGTTAGTTTTATTATCTTTCCCAGATAAGTTCCCAGCCTCATAAATGAACTGTCAGAACAAGCAGTATGTGTGTGTAATTTCCACGGAACATATGCCTCTGTTCCCATCTTTTAGAAGGAATTGATCTGCTATTTAATGGAAATGGTTTCACCACATTGCATTTTCCCATCTAATCTCTGCATTTCATACCAAATGAGTTCCCAGAGCTGAGTTTCCATATTGCTGTGAGCTGAGCTGGCAGCAGCATTGTGTTTGCTGTGAGTGTGATTTGCTTTGGCCCCGCAGAGCTGGGAGTTCGGCATCCCGCTGTGCCGAGAGCTGGCCATCCAGTACGAGAGCCTCTATGACTACCAGAGCCTCAGCTGGATCCGGGTGAGTGCCTGCACCTTCCCTCCTTGTACGCTCCTGCCTCGGTGCCCAGGGCATCCTGCTCTCCTGTCAGAGATCCTGAATTTCAATGTATCACATTCCTCATAGAGCTCCATGCATTCACTGAGACTCCCTGCCATTTATTCATATTGATGACTTTGTAGGTGCACTGAAATGATTCCAGAGTCTGGTAGCAGTAAAATCCTGTGAGTATATGAAGGCAGCACACACACACAGGAGCTGGGCTTGCTATTGCAATGGCATATTTACATATATTTTTGCGTAAAATATCCTATTTTTTAATATATATTTCATTTTAATTCCAAAAGAATCAAGGACAGCTTGTGCCTCAGTGAGATAAGATGAATGAGAGAGAGAATGAAGAAGACCAATGTTTATAGCATTCTTACCAGTTTACAGGGATCTGGTCCTCTGGTACAATCAAACACACGATGAAATCAGGGCACATTTGCAGCATCATGCTTTAATCAGAAGAAGCTGAAGTTCCTGTTGTTATTTAAAAGCTTTCTGAATGTGAAAAATAGTTCATCTCCTCCTGTCCCCTGGGGTAGCATACATGTATCCAAATTTGAGATTTATGCTGCATGGACATATGCAGTGGTTTAAATTCTCTTTCTAAAAAGTCCAGTTTATTTTTATCTGAAGACACCTGTCTAACAAGGTCTGATAAACTGCACTTCTGAAGAACCTGTTTTCTCCAAAGTGCCCCCAAAGAGAGCACTTGGCTGTGCACTCTCTGTGCCATTCACATCACCACCTTCTCCTTCCTGGAAAGGGAGTTCATGTTTGTGGGAACCGACCACAAACCAGGATGCAATATTGTGAGTTAGGGTTCCTTGCAGTGGAAGCAATGGTGTCAAACTGGTTCTCCTTGAAGAGCCACCTTTTGCTACAGTGAAATTCCTGAAGTTCAGTTTGCCAAAGAGTCTGGAAATCCCACTCTTCATCTTTGTTGGCACAATTCCACAAAACTGCTGATTGGAACTAGAAAAAAGTCCTTTTCCTCTTTGCAACCACCTTTTTCTTCCATGTTAAACCTTCTGGTGCACAGAGCTGTAGATTTAATTTTGTTATATCCTTTTTCATGCCCCTCAACTCAATTAATGCAAACCCAATTAGATGTAATTTTCCAGGCAGTGGTATGGATTTTGATCTGTAGGAGAGAATAGGACACTGTGAGCCAGGCAACGTGGATCTTAATCTCAGCTTTGCCATTAATTCTGCAATGCAAAGAAAATTACATGCAAGACCTGTTTAATTTAAAATAAGATAAACCAGGAAAAATTAATATGTCATCTTGCAAAATGTAAAATGAGTATGGTGATATTCCAGTCTGTTCTACCATGTAGACTGGTTTAATTAATCATTTTTATCTTTAGAGAATTTTGGTCTTTTCATAAAAAATCACGGGGGTAAAAGAGGAATGTGATATTTTAATGAGTGTTGAGATGTCAATGTTTTAAGTGCAGCTTTAAGGGTCTGATAGCAGCTATCTCTTTCCTCCACAGAAAATGGAAGCTACCTATTATGACAATATCATGGAACAGCAGCGCTTAGAACCAGAGTTTTTCAGAGTTGGTTTCTATGGTCGAAAATTCCCCTTTTTCCTGCGGGTAAGCCAAACTTATACAGGATGTGACAAAGTGACCAGGCTTTGTGTTAAGGCTTTGTATTTTTGTTTTGGAGATATGATGCCTACTATTCAGCATATTTTTTTATGCCTGCACAAATAAAAACAGTTTTCTGGCTGAACTGAAGGACACGGTCCACTGGGAATGTTCTTGGGAACAGAGATCAGAAATTTGACTCATGCCACTGTGAATTTTTGATGATCTGCAGATGCAGCACAAATTGCCTCTATATTAAGCAAAATGCTGTATTGCAGCAATGTTGGGTCATTACAACTAATTTTCATCATCTCAAATTATCACACTTTAAAAAAAGTCTCACTTGACAGAATTCTAATCCCAGCCTGATGACTCTTATGCTATGTACAAGTGAAAATTTCCTCTCTTTAACAAAAGCCAAACAGCTTCTTTGGACACGTCCTCACTTGGAGCTCATTGTCTGCTGGTGTACCAATCCATTTAAAAAGTGAAATTTTCTTCTTTTCCTAATGAGGAATCAAACTTTAAATGGGTATTTGTTTATACAATGTCTTGTTGCTAGTTTAGAGCAAGGAAAGAATATAATCTGACAAGTGCTCCAAGAGCTGCCTGCAAATTGATGGCAGATGCCATTGAATGTGACAGGACAAGGTAACTGGAAGCTTTCAAGGACTGGAGGTGCATGGTTTGTGTTCTCTTTGAAGGAATGGTTGGACAAGAGGTGGTACCAATCAAGGTACACAGGATGAAGCCATACAAAGCCAAGCTGTTTTGAGAGCTGCCCTCTTATACTCCCCTCTGATTATGAAGTTGTTTGTTGTTTTTTTAAGAAGGATTTCCACATTGGGGTTTAATTATAGTCTTTCAATGGAAACACAGGCAGGGGTAATAAAGGCAAGTTGAAATTAGTCGAGGAGAAGAAATACCAGTGCATAAAGAATGGTGGTTAATGTTATTTGAAGGTGAACAGTGCCAGAATCAAAGAGTCACAGAATCATTTAGGTTGGAAAAGACCTTCAAGATCATCAGTCCAACTTTTGACCAATCACCACCTTGTCATCCAGACCATGGCACCAAGTGCTACGTGTCCACTTGTTTCTTGAACAACTTGTCTCCAGGGATGGTGACTTCATCAGCCCTTCCCAATGCCTGACAACCCTTTCCACAAAGAAATTCTTCCTGATGTCCAGCCTGAATGTCCCCTGGTGCAGCTTGGGGCAGTTTCTTCTCCTTCTGTCCCTTGTTCCCTGGGAGCAGAGCCTGATCCCCACCTGGCTGCCACGTCCTGTCAGGGAGTTGTAGAGGGTGAGAGGGATCCCCCTGAGCCTCCTTTTCTCCAGGCTGAGCCCCTCCTCCCCAGCTGCTCCTCACAGAATTTAGACTGCAGCAGCCTGAAGCAGTGTGTAGAGGCCCTGCAGAGGAATCCAAAGAAAGAATGGGTGCTGCAGTGTGAACCCAGAGCTGCCCCATGAAGATCTCCAGAGAAAAGTGACAATTCCTGGTTTTATTATCTAAGAACAAATATTTCAGCGAGTGAGTGACGACACAGTCATCCTGGCACACAAGCACTCCTAACATCTGAAGTACTGTCAGAGTTTATCTGTTTATCTTGTGGATCCTCCCCTGGATCCTGCATGGCCAAGGTGTTTGACACTGCTTGAGCTTCCTGTGCTCAGCCCTGACTCTTTGCAAAGTGCTGTAACAACGTGGATCCTTGGCTGGAGAAACTACCAGCGAGCACGAGCGTACATAATTATAATCCTTGTTAATTCTGCAATTATATTTGGTAGCAGTACTTCTGATAGCAGATTACTAATGTAGCAATCTCATTAAAAGTCATCCTCCTCCTTTCTCTCCCTAATGATCCATACAGCACACACATTGTGGAGCACAGACTAAGCCCATTAGCAGTCACATCAGCATGGATCACACTGTAAAGAGATTGGAAGCAGCTATTCTAGAGAAGAAAAAGATTTACATGGATTTAAAATCTTCAAATGGATATGGGAGTGATTTAAAGGGATCAAATAACTCCAAGCCCTTTTCTCATATATTTTTCTATTGCTGTATAGCTTAAGACAGAAAATAACCACTTCTTTCTGTATCTTTGATTTTTGAAGACCCTTTGTCTAGAAAAGTCATTGTTCATGTTTCCATGAATTCTGCATCTATTTCTAGCTTTTCTGCATAAGTAAATTTAAATTAAAACTGTCCATATCTTCCATCTACCAGAAGTTCAAGTAAGGCCTGACAAGCCATGTTTTGAGATCTTGTGCTGGCATCTGTCTGAAGTCTTATTAAATTTAGCTTTGAGGTGTTTTGAGGGCATTATTTTTAGAATCACAATAACTTTATTTATAGGCTTACAGTTTTCTAGATTGCTGCAATCAAAAGGTAAAACAGAGAATACAGTAAGTGTCATGAAGAGATTCACCTTCAAACGTGGGCTCACTCCAAATTTAATAATAGCTGCAAAGTTTGAGCATTACAGACTGAACTGTCAAGATTCATCATGTGATTCTTCTCCCAGTCCATTGGCTGCTGTGACTGATGCATACAAAGTGACACATGTCACAGCCTGAACAGGAGATCCTTTCCACAAAGTTGAAATGCAAAGCCAAAGATAACTGAACTCCTTGGCTGTGTTTTATGATCTGGTTTTGCTACTTTCCCTTCGATTTTCCTACCAAGATCAAGAACTGCTTGGCCACATCCCTTTTCCAGAGCAATTAACAACACATTCTTGAATAAACTGCAGTCTCTAAATGCAATACATAAAAGACTGTTCTTTTTTATTAAATTTTTTAATTGTTTTATGAAGGTGAAAAGCCTCCCTGTTCTTCTAGTTATTATATGTATGAGAGTTTAAACTACCAAAAGTAGAGAATTTGCCTGCTTTGATTGGTCTTGCACAAGGAGATATTAATACTGATGAAAATTGTGGTTTGTGAGGGTTAAGACACTGGAATACAATCTTCCTGACACTGAGGAATTTAGAAATCCTTTATTGTGCTGTTTGGAGTTAAGAGATAGCTCAAAAAGCATCCAAGAACTCTGCACAAGTGCTTTAATTCCTCAAGAGTCATCTAAATGCAGCTTTCCATTATTAGCAGAAATGAAATTTTGTTCATCAAGAGGAAAGTGCTTTTAGGGCTGAAGGGGAATTTGTTAAGTGGCCACTGAGAATTGTTGGTAAAGCTTTTCTGTATTACTGTACTATTGACAGGGGAGTTCCTGAGCATGTATTGTTCATCACCATCAGGGCTGGGTTGTATGGCTGTGATAATACAGCAGTGATTAAACAGTGATTTTTGTGAATAGTTTGTTGCAACTTCTTTCCAAGGAGAACTGATAAAATGATAAACACATATCTCCCTCTGTTCTATCAGAAGCTCAGGACTTTTATCCATCTGGTATAAACTGTATTTGACAGCAGCTTTCCCAGCGTAGAACAGCCAAGCTGGTGACTTAAGTTTTAGTTGATAGGTTTCAGTATAGTCCAATTAAAAATAGTGCCTTTTCCGAAAAGCAGGTAAGAAGGGACCACAAGACTGAATGCTGGGTGTGCCTGAATCAGAGATCAGTGGAATAGTCTCCTCATTCATCACTTCTTCATGAAATACATTGTAAAGAAAAAGGAAGGGATAAAATACATCTGCTCTCACGTTAGCTGCTCACATTGCCAGTCATTTATCTTTGGTTTTGAAGTAACATTTAAAGTGAGACAGAAGTCACTAGAATTTAACTTATTTTAAGGACTAATTTACGCTTGTCCTTCTTGCAGAACAAAGAATATGTGTGTCGGGGCCACGACTATGAGAGGCTGGAAGCCTTCCAGCAGAGGATGCTGAGTGAGTTCCCCCAAGCCATCGCAATGCAGCACCCAAACCACCCCGACGACTCCATATTGCAGTGTGATGCCCAGTGTATCCTTCTGTGAAAGGGTAAACGCTCCCTGGAGCTGGGGCAGAGCACAGAGGTGTAGAGCTGCATATGGACAAAACCAGACCCTGTCTGCAGCAGGCAGTAACTGGTTTGTTATGGGACATGGTGTTGGAGAGAGCGGTGAATTTTTATTTGGGGAGTAGTGCAGGTCATGTTCCATGTAGAAGGGAAAGGCTGTGCTCAGTCATATCCATGTTTTAATGCTTTACCAACAGCACTGGCATCGCACACAGCGTGTGTCCTTAGAAGTATTCCTGATACCTTCTCTGGGCCATTATTTTGTTGGGAACAGATACTAGTTCCAAAGCACTATTTTCCATTCTGCTTATATTTTACTTTTTTGCAATTTCCCTTTTCTTAAAACTGTTGAACCTTTTTATACCCAAGGCTGTGAATGTCATTCTTCTCACTGGTCACCTGTACAATGCTCAGTGCATTTAAGGACTGAACCACATCACATTTAAGGGGACTGCAGGGACTTTGCAGAGCTTAGTCATGGAACCCGCACGATTTGGCTTCTGAGAGAGCAGCGTGGATACTGTGCAGGATTGGAACTGTAATGTCACTGTCAGCAAATGGAGCCTCCTGTGTGGGTTGCTGTTTCCTATTTGTCTTTCCTAACACATGGATAAAGCTTTCTTTGACTGCACAATTTCCAGATTTGCAGATCTATGCAGTGACTCCCATCCCAGACAATATAGACGTGCTGCAAATGGACCGTGTCCCTGATCGCATCAAGAGCTTTTACCGCGTCAACAACATCCGCAAGTTCCGCTACGACAGACCCTTCCACAAGGGCCCCAAGGACAAGGAGAACGAGTTTAAGGTACAAGTAGCAAATAAGCCGTGCTTAAGTGTTCATCTCTTCAAGGTGAATACTGTTTTCTTATTTTATGCTGATAGAGCCTTTTAGATAATCCTGATTTGATAGCCAGATACTACAGCCACTCAAGTAACAGGTTAAGTCCACAGTCTGATTGAATATTGTTGAGTTCTGACCTGCTTAAAGCATTGTCCAGTTTAAAGATGTGTTATTTTAGTGCTCAGAGACACTGTTTGTTTGGCTGGACTTTTTTTTTTTATTACTGACATATAGGTCTACAATGTCTTTTTGGGTCCCATGACGCAACTGGTGATTGGAGAAGTTTTAAAAATTAATAGAAATGCTGAATGTGTTGTTTCAAGCATGCTGAATTCCTGGTTTGTTGTTTAAGTGACTTTCAGGAAGACCTTCTACAGAATCAATGCTTGGGAGGTTAATGCATTCTTTTCTGAGCCTTGCCCCCTTTGCACTTGTAGTAGGAGTACAGAGGATGTGGTTGTGATCACTGTTCCTCACAGCCTCAATTACTCCTTGCAGAGCTTGTGGATTGAACGCACTACTCTGACCCTGACTCACAGTTTGCCTGGGATCTCTCGCTGGTTTGAAGTGGAGAGAAGAGAACTGGTAACATTGATAATTCCTGTAATTGGGGGTCGAAATGATGAGTTACTGAGGACAGGGGATAGGCAGCTTAAAACTTGTTGGGCTGAAATCTTGCAGTTTAAAATGGTGTTTACCAAGAGTTAAATACATCCTTTTTCTACCACTTCATTTAAATAATGGCTGAATGTAACCAAGGGAATTGTATTAGCTAATAATATAATGGAGACAGTGCCAAAAGGATGGAATAATTCCATTGCTCCCATGTCTTTGGTATATAGAAAGACATCTATTATTGCAACCAAGTGACCTGAAATCCAGCACTGCCAACAGTGGAGTTTGTTAATGTAGCTAATTTTCTACAAAGCAGTAAAAGCAAAGGGAGCTCACTGAACAATCCTGGAGTACCATTTTATTACAAGGAAGATAATAAATCTCAGTGAAGTGTCCACAGAATTAAAGTATATTTTATTGCCTTTGAGGTTGAAGTAAGTCCTTTGGAAAATGCCATTCAAGTGGTTGAGAACAAAAACCAGGAGCTGAGGACACTGATAAGCCAGTACCAGCATAAACAAATGCATGGCAACATTAATCTTCTCAGCATGTGTCTGAACGGAGTGATTGATGCCGCCGTTAACGGGGGAATTGCGCGGTACCAGGAGGTGAGCCAGGCTCTGCTTCTCATTGAGCATCACCCTTCCTATTTGCATTTCTGTTTCAATTACAGTATGGTTTAATAAGATAAGAAAATCTCATGTGCATTATCTAAAACTGGGGTTATACCCCCTACTTGGTTATTCTGCATCAGTGCTTGCATAGCCACGTGCAAGGAGGCTCCAGGGGTGGAGCTGGGATCTCACATGGAAATAGGTACAGGTAACAGCAGGGTTTCTCAAAGGTGACACTTGGCTTATCTGGAAATCCTCACTTGGCAGGTGAAACAGTGACACAGCTTTTTTAATACTGCTTATATTATAAATTCATTTTGCAATAGAGGCTGTGGGACTGGTGGTAACTGATTAGGTCTGGAATCAGGAAAAAGCACTAATTCATGCTATTGAACCATTATCCTTGCTGACGGGATAATTTCAGACTCACTGTAGAACTAAACTGATGTTAAATACAATATGTTATCCAGCATTATCTCTGGCAAGCTGTTACTTAAACTGAGCATTGCAAAAGGTAGGTTTAGGGTAAAATACTGAAAAATTGCAGGAGTGGTTCAGGGATTTGGGTTGGTCTTCGCAACGGAGCCATGGAGAGAATGCTCTTCAGGCTTTACATCAGTTGCCAATTTACTCACTAAATTCCTTTAGCTTTAGGCAGTTATGTGAAGGAAACTATAAAATTCAAATAACTAGAAGATACAAGGCTTAGTGGTATTGCTCATCACTGTCACAGGGGGAAACTTGGTCAGAGTCATGATTCAACAGAATCCTTTCAGCTGCCAAGCCCATTTTCTCTGCATCCCAGAGTGCTAAAGAACAATAAAATTAAGCTCTGCTGTTACCTTAATATATTTTTTGTTTTCCTAAGATTTTTGGACCTTTTCCTTTCATCCTTTGACTCCAAGTTATGATGAAACTACCTTCCTGTAAGCAAAAGGCACTTTTTTTTTCCTCTTCCTGCAGGCCTTTTTTGATAAGGATTATATCACAAAGCACCCCGGAGATGCAGAGAAGATCACCCAGCTCAAGGAACTCATGCAGGAACAGGTACTATTTTTCAGGTGCAGAAGAACCTTGCTACATTGTCTGGATTCATCAGCAGTCAGTCTAAACATCAGATCCAACTGATTCATTCACAAGCAAAAGATTTTTGGTACAGGAGACCTAAATACATTCAAACAAAAAACAAGAGGGAAGTGGGCAAGGCGATTATGACAAGTCACCTTATGGGATGTGAGGAAGCTCAGCTGAAAGTACATTTATTTTGTTTTCTACATTTATTATCCAACAGACATCTTTCTGCATTTCAAGCCTGCCATTCATTTTTGGCATTTTGAACTATGTCTTCCTAGCAAATTTCAAAGATAATCGGAGGCAGGACAGGTCAGGCTCGAGATTAAAGTGGCAGAGCCACGTATGAAAACTTAATGCCTATTTATATTATCTGCAGTCTTATTTTTCCATAGTGTCCCCTTTGAAACATCTTGGTAGATAAAGCTGCAGGATGCTTTGATGGGAATGAAATCAGATAATCACCTCCCTCTTAACTGAAAGTTTGGAAAGATATACCCCATTAAACAATGTGCCCAAATCTGAATAGAGCTACTAGGTTTGTTCTTCAACAAATCACTGAATTGCATTTCAGATTCCCCATCTGTAAAATAATGCTTATCTCCCATCAATCCTCAGGAGATGTTTGAAGATTAATTAGTTATTGTTTGTACAGACTTTGGATCATGTAGGGAATTACATACATCTTAAGCCTCCTATCGTTGCTATTTTCTTTCATCTGAGACCTTATATAATCTCATTCAATCATTAATATTATATGTTTGTCCTTTGGAAAAGTGACCTTTAGAAGTAACTAATGAGGAACAGGAGGAATGACTGCGTGTGCCACACTGCTGCTGTTCATCTCAATTATCAGAACCTCCTTTTAGAAGTCTCTGCTGGCAGCTCAGACCCTGTCCCTGGCACTGGGAGGAGTTTTTGTCACAGGGCATTATCTGTGTGAGGGTATAATGCTGTTCACTCTGCAGAGAGAATCCAGCTGTTTTTTGGGGTTTTTTTTGCAGTTATCTCCTAAGAAAAGCAATGCAACATGACAGGAATGTACTTGTCTCACACTTAAATACTTGTTGGAGTAGTATGAACTTGCCAGGACTCCAAGGCTTGGCTTAATTAGCAGCAGTCTTATAATGGACAGTGGCATATTCCTTGCACATTGCCAGAACTGCAGGACAGACTTCTGTTCTCTCTCTTAGACACAATTTATTTGGGTTTCTGATGTTGCATTTTCTTTTTCCAGGTACATGTCCTAGGAGTGGGTCTGGCAGTCCATGAGAAATTTGTACACCCCGAAATGCGTCCCCTGCATAAGAAACTGATAGATCAGTTCCAGATGATGCGATCCAGTCTGTACCACGTAAGCCAACAGTCACTTTTCCCATTTTGAATTATATGATTAAACATCTGTCAGTTGTAGTAAGGTTCACAAAAGAACTGGGCTGATACAGCATTGATTGAACCTACTGGACTGCCAAATTACCAATGGAATTCTTGATTTTTGTGCAAGAAGGCAGTTGTAGAAAATACGTTAACTTGGCCTTTCAGCAAGAATTGTTAATATTTGTATGTTCTTTGTCGTATCACAGAGCAATTGTAAAGCTTAATTTTCAATTGCTATTTCACATAGCAGAAAATTATGTAAGATAGAGGAAGATTAACAGGAAGTGTTGGATGTTCTCTTCAAAAGAAGTCCCATTACTGGAAGTAGCATGAATGAAGAAAACTGGCATTTTTCCATGAGTGACTTAGCTGAAGTGTGTTTGCTCTGCAGGAGCTGCCTGGTTTGGATAAGCTGAGCCCAGCCTGTTCTGGCTCCAGCACCCCCCGCAGCAACGTGCTGGTGTCTCACGGCCCCATGAGCCCCGAGAGCATCAAGCTGGTGCATCGACACAGGTAACCCCTCCCCTCTCCTTCCCAACACCAGGGGCTCTGCACGCTGTTCCACCAAGACTCCAGCATCCAAGGAGTGTTAGCAGTACTGCAGGAGGGCAGCAGGAGTTCAGGCAGCAGTGCCTTTTGTCTTCACTCAGTGCTAATTATTGAAGTTGGACAATTGGAATAAGAAAGTTGAGAAATCCAACTTGCAGCAAATGCTGAACACCTTCAGGTGTGACTCCATCACTTTACTTACTGCAGAGGCAGAAACACAAATCTGCCCCTCAGTTCTCCAGACTCAATCTGACTTCGGAGTTCTCAGCCTCTCCTGCTTCTGTTGCACCAACAGCAAATAACTGGGTCCTTATCTACCATAAAATTGTATGGCTTGTATGGAACCCAACTCAATATGTGCCCATTTGGAAGGATCAAAATTGTTAACATCATTATTTTTATAATTCTGACTAACTCAGAAGCCAAATACAAGAAAGGCTGCTGTGGTGTTTTGATCAGCACATAAAAAAATGACCCTGTGGTGCTTTTTCAAACTGAATGCCCATATATTAAATCTAAGATAATGACAGAGGATAAAAATTGTCATTACAAGGACAAAATAGTGGTTTTTATATCCAGACAACATTGCTTATTTGAAAATGCTAATTGCTCTTCTGTGTTTATTTTTCTTATTGGGTCACTATATTTTAGCTGGTTTTAAAGGCTGGCATAAAAAGCTGTGGAAGTTGGTCCATGAATCCAGGATGGTGACATTCTTTATGCTAGTACTGAGTAGCTTATACTGCTCCCATGGCTTAGCAGTTGATAAACAGTATCTGGGTGATAGCTTTTTTTCCCCTCAAAATTCCTCACTTTGAAAAGGCTTCTTTAGTTTTTAGGACAAACTAGGGAAATGCTGTAGTGTACAGTGTATTTGTGTGTGTGGTTCAGAGTGACAAAGAAAAGTTCATTCCTTGAGGGAGATCAGGGTACAGCCTGCACACCAGCTGGGCTGTATTAATGTACTGTCAGCTACAAAATTGCCTTCAACTGTAATGCTGAGGCCCAATGCATGCAATAAGGAAAACTGGATTTTGACCCGTGTGTCTTGTGCTTGGATTCCTTTGGAATGGTTTTTTTAAGCTGCTCCCACTCAGCATTAAAAATATGAGTGGTTTCAGTGTGTTCTGTTATAAACAAAACAAATATGCACCCAAGGTCATAATGTGACATTACCCTGGGTTGGGGTTCTGAAATTCAACATCCTATATACTATTCTGTTTTGTCTGTAATCTTCTTGTCACCTCTTTCATATTTACCCACATTTATGGATTTGTTTGAGCTCATTTGGCCTTTTCAAAAGTGTTTGACGTCTAGAGGTGACCTAAAGCAGCAGGTAACTGCAGGTACTTACTAGTTTGGAAAAAAATCAGGCTTCACAAACAGGTTTAAAAAATAATTATGCCCTTGCTCTGTTTTTTTTCCAGCCCACTGAACATGCTTGGTTCAGTCCGACACTCCTCATCCTCTCTGTCGTCGCACACCTCCAGTGAAACAGGGAACCTGGTTATCCTGACAGACAGCTCTGTGGGGGAGACTGCTGAGGATATGTACCACATGCAGGTACAGCTCCAGCAGCCAGCAGTGCTGGGAACAGCACAGAACACCTTCCAGAGGGTTTTGCTTAGGAGCAGTACACTTTACCTGTGCACATGCTTGGATCTGTCTGTGATATTTTTTTTCAAAGAACTGGATAGGTAGAATCTAACGTTGTTCAAGAAATATGACAGTAACTCACTAGATTAACTTTGAGAAGAAATCCCCTGTGTTTGTACAGTGACTGTGGTACTGCAGTCCAAGGTCACCCTGCTGCTTTCAGAAAGTGAAATTTTTGTCCCATTTTGTTAACCTGCCCTGTTGAACATGTGCAGTTAGTGCAGCTCTTGGTTTGGGGAGGCGGAACAAGTCCCACAGTCCTGAGTGCAGGTTAGCAGTGGCCTGCACTGAAGCTGGGCAGAGGCTGCCCTGGCCCATCTGAGACAGGTAAATCCCTAAGGCACTGATGTGCTCAGGTCGCTCGATGGTTTCTCTGCCTCCTGTTTATCCTAAGCCCAGGTACCAAGGCTCAGTCACCAATGCCTCTGTTTTATCCTCATCCCAGGCTAGTCCTTCCACCTCCAGCCTGAGCTCCACTCACTCAGCACCATCCCAGATGATTAACTCTGCCCCTTCCAGCGCTCGAGGTAAGCATGGACAGGCCCTGTTGGGCGGCACCTGCAGGTGCTCCCTAAAGCTGGCAACCTTGCTGACTTACAGGTGAAACACCACCTACATTGACATGTAACACTGTTTCTCTTTTGGACATGTAAATACCTCTTCAATATTTTTTCTTTACAAATGGTTTAATTCCCCATTTAAGCTTTTTTTCATCCGTATATCAAATGTATTTCTAATACATGCTGGTTTCAGGCAGTTGAATTTCATAATGATTTCCATTGTTCCACCACAAAATTGTGGCAGGCAGTCTAGAGGAAAACAAGAATAGTCCTCAGTATAGTACTTAAAAGAGAGATCATGAAGACAAAGGCAAAGAAATAATTTTACAAGCTTAAAGATATTATGACAAAAAAGGACTTGAGGCAGTTTAGTAGAAACATGTGTATACCAAAGTAGATGTATAGGATGAATGTTGAAAGATAGGAATTTTAAATAATGGAGATAAAGAAGGGCTTCCCTGCTGGGAAATTCTTGAAGAAAGGAAAAATATAAAAGCAGACTCTGGGGGTACTCATATTGCCTTTGTGTTACAGTAGCTGGTCTTGATATTGCTAATTATTTTCTTCCCCAGCTGAAGCAAAACCACTCTGTGTGATCTCCTGACTTTCACAACTTCTCTTCAAGGTTTTTGGTTTTTTCCTCTCATTTTGGATTCTCAGTTGCAGGTTCTACACCTCTTTTCACAGGCCTCTGAAGAAGGTGCCCAGGATATAGTCAGAGATAAAGGCTGATATTTAAATCTTACCCCTTTTCCCATACAGGGGAATTCTCTGTCTCCTGATGGAGAGGGGATATGGAGAAGAGCCCTTTCTCTCAAGCAGTCTTGGGGCTTTTTTGCTCCATCTGCCAGTAAAATCCTAATTGACTGGCTGTTGTTATGACACAGATGCAGCAAGGTGATTTAATTGAGGGATCAGATGGAGTAGAAAGGTGAGAAGTGAACATCTTCAAATAAAGGCGAATAGCTGCTCTAATTACCAAGGGCTGGAAGGAAAATCATGACAAACAGTAAGCTGGTGAAACTGGAATAACAGGAGAGGGAAGATGGAACTGAGGAGAGGGCTGTCATGTCAGGAAGAGGTCCCTGAGTGGATGTGCCTCAGCTGGCATGTGAATCTTTGGGGGGATCTGAAGGCTTTGCTGCTGTACTGTTTCACGCTGTTTTCCACTTTACAAGTCCAGTGACAGGCTCACAGTGACAGGCTGTGACAGGCTGTGACAGTCTTCCTGAGCCTGGTGACTGCAAAGCATCACCAGCTTCCCTCTTTACGGTATTATTCACTGTTGCTTAGAAACCAACGTGATGAATGTTTCAAAGGCTCTGGGCTTCTGGGTGAGCCAACAGCACCTCCCAGGGATGGGACCCAGAAAGATTTCAAATGGGAAACAGTAAGAGAAGTAATGAGTTTGAAAAGTATTTATATAGCCTGTGATACAATGTTTCTTCTCTGCTGTTCTGTTCACTTCTAAATCAGGTGAGCACAGCATTCAGACATTACCCAGTCGTGGGATTTCACTTCTAGTAAGGTTTCAGATGCAATCTGTGTTTCCCAGTATGCCAGTCACTGTCCTGGTTATTACAACACTGCTGTTGGAAATGGAGCTCTTCCTAATGAGAAAAAGCCCTTACACTTAAATTCCACTGTGATAATGCAGCTGTGTTCTTCTCCTTGGTGATTCTTCCTTTTGTTTTGTTTTTTAACTGGGTGAATTTGATGCTTGTGAAAATGAGACCAGTATCACTGGCTGGAGCAAGGTACTTCACAGACATGACATGCAGCTCTGCCAATGCACCTCTATCCTTTTTTTTTCCTTTTTTTTGGTATTTATTTATATTCTTTTTAATTTAGCGCTGGTGAAAGGTGCTGGATTGACACCACTGGAGGCTGAAGCCCTCTATTTCCCCACAGAGCAGATACAGCATGGGCGGCAGCTGTGCAAGTTCCCCCACGCTGCCCCCACCCATGTGCCTCATCTCTGTCCTGGAGGGACCACCTCTAGAGGTGAGAGGATAGTTCAGTCTCCATGACCCATCCAACCCCTGGCCTTTCTGCTGAGACTGCCACCAAAGCTACAAGAGTCACGATGCTGCAGCTGAACACTGGTCAGATGGGAAGTGGACAAAGGCCAACAATTCATTTCGTAAAGGCCACCTAAATTTATCAACTTAACATCTTTACCACCTGTGGCTTTAACCTGAGCATGGTTGGGTAGGATTTCTAGGGTTTAGCCTGATTTTTAAATGCTTCTCTCATTTATTCAAATGATAATGCAGGTACTTAGACCACCTTCTCTGTTTTACTGCAGAGTCCTTTCCTGAGGAGATGGGTATCTTTAAAACAAATTGGTTCCATCAGTGACCAAAGGAAGCCATGACCTTTTGTATTAAGAATCCAGGAATTTAAATTGTTCTCCACTTCCAAAAAATTACCCTTTTATGGATTTTTAAAATAGCAACATAGGTGATTCTTTGGCTTGTCCAAAGAAAATAACTAAGCTATTAATCTATAAAGAATTTTTAAAGGATAGTCATCAGGAAAGTTGATCAATTATTTGATTTTATCACAGTTACAGAAGTCTTAGAACTGAACCCAGAATACTGCAAGAATTTTCTAATTCTGTGCTAACAGTAGACATTATTACAAGTATGTATCTCTCAGTTTTCACCTGGCTTGACCCTTGAGTAGTTTCTTCCCTGTCAGGGAAGCACCACTGTTGTTGTGTAAAAGGTCAATAAGAAATTCAATTCGGTTTCACTTCGTTTGAGTTGGCTCATGAGGCACTGCTGAACTTTACTGCAGTTAAAAGATTACACAAGCCAGGGATCAGAAAGCAAGAAACTACCTCAAAAAGGCCTGGAGAGAGCTAGGAGTGAGCTAGGGTTTATCAGTAATTTAACTTAAAATATAATTAGGACTCCTCCAATGCACTCAAAAAGCAATGCCCACATGACACTTGACTGGCCTCTAAAGGCATCCCTGCTGCTTCCTCAACACTGTCCCCTGTACACATGTAGAAATTGAATCCGGGTGTCTTACTCAGCACTTCACAAGAATACATGTACTTATATTAAAACTTCCTTTTTAAATCAAAAAAATTAGTGTTTGGTGCAGGAGCAAACTTTTCATAACCATAATAAAAATGATGAACCAGAAGAGATTAAATGATTTTGGAGTTTACATTAATGTTCAGTTTATTCCTTAAAATTAATACTTGTCACAAGTGGATTAATATATTTATAATTTCAAAAGCAAAACTATCTCTGGCCTTAGCAGAGGTTTTCCTTTCTCATTAGAAAGTACCTGCAGTGCTGCACACATCAAGTGCACCAAGCTACATGCTAAAAGGAGTAAGCCCTGGCACATGCTGCAGCATTTTATTATGGCCACTGTCTGCTCTGGAAGCTTTAGAAGCTTTTTTTGACTTTGCTGTTTAAGTTTTGCCAGCCAGAAGCTGCGGTTATTGTGCTATCTGTCCAAAGCAGCAATACTTACATTTTGTTTGCAAACTGGACACCTGGCATAATCTGTTACCATTTTATAGCTATAGTTAATGACAAATGTAGGGTACCAGTTTTTTAAACTACACTCTGCCAGCACATGTGGGATTTTTTAGGTCTTGCAGTCCAAGGTCTTTTGACTCTGTTATCCCATATAAACTGACAGCAGCTAGAGGTGGTTTGGTCTTTGATATAAAAGAGCAAGGATGACAAGATAAATAAAAAGAAAGTTTGCAGTGTAGGTTGTGCTGTGCTGTAGTTCTGGGCACACCTAAAAGTTCAGCATCTTAACATTTGTCCTGCAGAACAGGACTATCTGTGACCTGTGAGGAAAAGACTCAGCACAAAGCGTTAACACTGTGTTCTCCAAGCTAATGTTGTACATAAAGCAAAGAATGTCGTCTAATTATGTTTCTGTTCTATGTCTGGGGAGAAAATGAGTTCGGGACTAGAATGCAGATACTCTGCTACTGTTCATGCCAGAGTGGGGGTGTAGATTAATCTGGCATCTGCCCCCCTCATGGAAATGTTGCAATTGTAGGACTTTATCCTGCATTCTGCTGGACACATTGTTCCTTCCACTGTGTGCTGAATATTAGTCCCCAAAACTGCATGTTTGCTTTTGCTGGGGTAAAAGCTGCATCAGCCAGCACCAATGCCTTTGCTCATATGTTGGAGTGCTGTCCAGGTAATGTGTGTGGTTGTGGAAGTTTGCCAGAGGGGGCATGTATTCCCCAAAAGCCGGCATGGCTCTGTAATGCGCTGTGTGCTGCCATCTGTTCAGTGCGTGTTTGTGACGCAATCAAACAATCAGTGCAAATTACAGCTCACTTCAGCAGCTTCACAACATCAATCCTGCCTAATATTGTGCATCCCAAGGGTTGTGTGTATCAGTAGTGTCAGAATTTAGGAAGTCACTAATGAGAATCATTCTTCTGGCAAACCCACTGTCAGCTGTTGCACATCAGAAGGTGTATTGTTATGTGGCACTCATCTTGAAGGACATGAGTCCCAAGTAATTCCACCTGCCAGGAAGCTGTTACATGAAATACCCCAATATCTTACATGACAGCTATACAGATAACTAATTGATAAATCTTATTATTCCTTATTATCCCACTTATTATTCCTACTACAAAACTCCAAGCATTGGTAAATGTCTGGTGTCATCAAAGGGCTCAGTACAGCAACACAATAGTAATCATCATTACAGCAGCATTGTAAGCAAAGTGCCTCTCACATTTATAGAATATGCTATTTATTATTGGGGTTGGTTTGCTTTAACAAGAGGAAGCTGACCAAGATAGCACCAATCAAATGGCAACATTTACCTCTATCCAGAACCAAGGAATAAAGTATTTTCCCATAGATTTCTGCTTTAACTGAATGGTGTATCTCAAGCTTTTATCCCTTCCTTCCACATTCAGTCCTAAAATGAACAATTTTATGGCATTTCTGTAACTCTACAATACTTTATGGAGCAAAGGAGCATTAAGCACAGCCACAGCTGATTTCACACAGATGCCCACTTTTTTTTGTTTGAAAGGAAGCACTTTGCAACATACAACTAGGGACACACACATCTTACACACCCTACGTGCTATGTCCTTAATTGTATATAAGAAGCCAGTTCCTACTCCATCCTCGTGCTATGCACCCACCAACAGCCAGCTGCTTAGTGGGCTCAGCACCATGTTCCCTTGAGTCCTGTGAGCTCATGTGTCCGAGCCAAGTGCACAGGAGAACTGAGAGCCCTGGGCATGCAGAGACATGGCTGTTGTTTGTCCCGTGTACGTGATTTTTCTCACTTGTTTACAGGCTCTCCCTCTCTACCAGATAAGTACCGCCACTCTCGGGAGATGATGATGTTGCTGCCAGCCCACCGGGACCGACCGAGCAGCGCCATGTACCCCGCAGCCATCATGGAAAACGGACAGGTAGCAGCTCTCATTTCTGCTGGCTCACTTCAGCCACCTCACACTGTGCCTGTAGTTTTGCTGGCTTTGACCACCTTAAAGCTTTCTTTTGTAGTTTTGGAAAGCACAGCAATTTAGGATCATTCTCAGAGGTGAAGCAGAGCTTTCCCTGTTAGTCCACCCCTGTTGGAACTCACTGTGGCAGTTGAGTGGTACAAGCTGTAGTGACTACTAAAAGGGCAGATGCATCCTGTGAAAATGGACTCATTTCCCAACTTTATCCTGTGAGCCCTGGTCCATTGCAAGTTGTCACACCATTTTATTTATTTGTTTAGAACCATGGCCATCCATCCTACAGTCTAGCCTCCAAGTTCATTCTAAATAACTTTATGATTTCCAGAGGTATCAGAAACCATGAGAGGTTGAAATAATATTCTGATACATGGGTTTAAAAAAATCTGTGCCCTAATTTCCAGGGACAAATTGAAAAGTATGCCTATATGTAAGCATTTAAATCTCACCCTGGCCTGCACTGTTGAGAGGCATCTCCTGATCCTGCCCACTTATCACACTTGTATTGGAGAGCTGTCTCAAAGCATGCAAAGCCAAAGATAAGCTTCAGAGGGAAAACAATGTATTCCAGCTGCTAATGGGCACAAGGCCAGGCTAGAGCTGGTCTGAAATAACTCCTCCTGAGAGCAGGAACTGTGGGCCCTCAGCACTGTTACACCCTAGGGATCCACTCACCCTGCACTGCAGTACCTGCCAGTGTAGGCACAGGTTAAGGTTCCCAGGGAATCTTTAGTTTAAGAACTTCTTTGCTTAAAAAAAAGGAACAGAAAGTCCCCATGTTGCCTCAGCTGATCTGTAACTTTGTTAACTCTTCTTTGCTAACTTTCTTCTCTCTTAGCCTCCAAATTTCCAGCGCGCCTTGATCCAGCAGATGATTGGACCGTGCAAACCTTGCAGTGATCCCAACCTGTCTGTGGCTGAGAAAGGTACTCCTCCTTTCCCTCTGCAGCATGCATGCTTGCTAGCTAAAAATTATTCCTCTGCTCATGCTACAGCAAGTAACAAATGGGCTTCTACATTTCCTGGTGGAGTGCATTTCTCTCACACTTTTCTAATTAACAGTTTAATTAACTGGGTCTTCTGCCAACCTACCATCATTTCAGAGCCTTCACAGTAGGGTGGGGTGGCACAGACCTCCTTATTTCAGAAAGCTTTCTGAGTTTAGCATTTTGTTATTGAAACAATTCCTGCAGCCTTTGTCAAGCAAACTTGTAAAGCAGCAAGTGAGAAGTTATCTAAGAACAGCCCAAGACTGGGACTCTATTTTTTACTCATGAGTTATACTGGTTTTTAATACACATGTATTGCTCAAAATACAAGCATTCCTTGTAATCTCTCTCTGAGGTAGTTTTATATTTATTTATCATAAGCAATATGTGCTTTTTAAACTCATTATTTTGAAAAAAAACAGGCAGAGTCCCTGCAGGGGGAAAAAAACTAAAAGAGGAGAAAGAATTTGTTTGGGGTAGGAGAAAAGGAGCAGCTTGTGAAGGAGGTGCCATGAACAAAATAATGAGCTCAAAAATTATCTGAAAGGCAGCATTCTGAAAAAGCAGAAGAGGGCAAAATTCCTGAATCAGAATCTGAGACAAGGAGGCTGCCTAAGCAAGCAACAGTCATGTACAGCTGGGAAAAATGATATCTTAAAAGATTTTTAAGGCCAGGAAAGACCACTGCAACTATCTAGTCTGACCTACATCATACATTCAGATTTTTATCTGTCTTTTTCTTTCAGAACTAAACTGTACCTTAAAAAAAAAAAAAAACAAATTTTACTTTAGAATTTCTAATAAATCAAAATCCCCTACTTCAACATGAGTGGTCCAGATTGAAACCAAACAGTTCTGAGTAAATGGCAGAATGATGACTTGATGCCAGTAATGAGTGATGACAAGAGAGTTCGGATGGGGAGTGAGGCATTAGGAGCTCCATCTTAGCCATGTTAGTTTGAACCAAACATATGACAGAGATGGTGAGATCTTTGTACTGGACAGGAGAAAGATCTGAAAAAGGAAGGTAGATAAGTATTTATTGTCTGTCTAGGAACAATACTTGACTTTGTATCTGTGGGTGATATTAGGCAGGAGTGTGGTATTCAGTGCCAGGAGATCAAAGACAGAATCCCTAAGAAGCCACCAAAGACACGGGTGATGTTCAGTGGGGATGGTGAGGCAGGAATCCCAGCTCCTGTGCCTGGCTGGTGGCACAGTGCAGTTACAGGTGCTGCTGGCAGGCCTGGACCCTCAGCAGTCGATGTAGTTGGGATGCCATCTGCCCTGGATTTTGTCAGCAGTCCCCCAGCCCCTCCTGGCCGTGTCAGAAGTTCTGGTTGGTAATTCCCAGTGACAGTGGTGACAGCAGTCGCCCGGGGCAGAATGGTTCAGATGCAGCCTCCCCACTAATGAAACTTGGCCACTGAACAGTCACAGACAGAGACCTGGGCTAAGTCACAGCACTGGGAGCTCCCTGCTTCGCTTCTTCCCTGAAGCATTTTGGCTAAAACACTGGTTTTATTGGGCAGCAGCCACTCTTCAAAATCATCTCACCTTCTTCCTGCACTCCTAAATACTAAAAAGGCTGTGAATGAGGGAACACTGAGAAAGCAAAAATGGATTTTTCACTGGGGTACCCAGTGTTCTTCGTCACATTCAGATTCTGCATCTCAGTGTTTAAAAAAACCCCAAAATAACCAGCACATCAATAGTTTTATAGGCCAAGGAAATCAGGTTTTCTCTCCTTTTCATTTGATGATGGGATATGGCAGGAGAGATGAGCAAGGCTGGCACTGCTGTTGCATCTTATCCCTGTGTTTTAGCTCGTTGACAACAATTGTAGTAGTGCAAATTAGAGCACTCTGGCATGTGTACAGGGAAAATCCATCTGGAGCCACATTACTTATATAGAGAGGTAGGCCCTGGCTTGAACCTGCTCTCTGTCAAGATTCTTCTTCATAAGCCCTTCTCAGGTTCTCAGGCTGAGAGTCTCTCTTTAAAAAAAAAAAAAAACTTTTATATTTTGATGGGATTTGTTCTGTCTTACGAAGCTGTCACTTTGTGATCTTTTTTACTTTAGGGAATTTTAGGCCTTGGGGAGCCCGTGCTCATGCTAACTCATGAACTAGGGAGACAAAAAGAAAAAAAAGAGAAACCTTTCAAAGTCATTTTAGAAAGAAATGCACCAAGAATGGCTGCAGGCATTTTAATTAAGGAGAAATCCTCTTCAGATGTCAAACTCCATGTTTATTTCACCAGGCTTCCATTTTGCAAACTGAAGATGGAAAAAGCTGTTTTTATCTCAGTTTTCTTTGACAGGCTCAATTAATTACTTTTTTTCTTTCTTTGCTAATCTGAAGAAATTGCAGTTGCTTATTTGTTTTTAAATAAACATACGGCTATTGTATGTCTCTTCTCAGAATAAATCAAGTCATGTTTGGAAGGAAGGTGCATTTTAATAATGTTCAAGGTTGACAGAATTCTCAAGATCTTGAAAAAGGTTCATGTTCATGTCAAGAAGCAGCTTTTATTTCTATGAAAAACCAAGTCCATGAAGTTAATATTCACTCTCTGTTAAATGCAGCAAGCATTGCTCTCTCTATACTTCCTGATTCACAGAGACTTGATCTCTTCAGGAGACTTTGTAATACAAGGAGGCCAAACTGTTGTCTTTAAGTATTTTGTCATCAAAGCTCTTGATCAACTATGTAGCTTAGTAAATTGAAGATTTGAAGTAATTTCTTTTGCAACAGATTGAAACAGATTGAGGTATAATTTCCTTCATGTCCTTTATTCAGTCCTCATTGAGCCTGCAGTGCAGCCACAGGCCGTCCTGTGTTTCCAGAGGGTTTTGCCTTGTTCCCTTGTCACCACTCCCCACAAAGCAGGACAGCTCACACCTGAGATCCAGCCACCATTTCATTTTTACCTCCACACTGATTTGCATAAATCCTGACAGAGTCCTAATGCTCTTCAGATTTGTTAGAAATGAGCCCAGGGATGTAGGGGAGGTGGGCAGACTAGCCCTGCAATCACCTAACTCTCACTTCCTTAACAAAGCATCTCTAAACTTAACACTCTGTAGCCTTTCTGTGCTTTCAATCCTGCCATTCACTGAGTCCCTGGAATCTATCTCTGTGCTGCTGAAGAGCACACTGGAGAGCCAGTGCTGGCCCCACAAACTCCCTGCGCTGTTACCCGAGTTACATCTGTTTCAATCCTTCAGCGGTGCCAGCTGCACCCAGTAGCTGGAGCCTGGACAGCGGAAGCCGAGAGGCGCTGCCATTCCTGTCAGCCCACGCTGGGAGCGTCCTGGCCCCACCAGTGCCTCCCCGAAGCCTGCCCCATGGTAAGGACGTGCCCAGCAGGCCTGCTGCAAGTGCCTGCAGGTCACACACACACACAAAGCCAGAGCACCTGAAAGTTGACTATGGCCTTTTCCCCCCACCCCTCTAAAAACAACCAGAAACAAAAACTCCATAGTCTTTACTGGTCTGCTAGGTTTTCAGGTTTGTTTTTTTTCCAAATCTTCAAGTTCTTGCAGTCCTTAAGCAATGTGGACTTGTGTGTACTTTGGGACTAGAATTAAGTGTGAGAGTGCCAAAGCTTGGTGTGGCTTCTTACCAATGACCAACTTTAGCAATAATTTAGGCTTACAGAATGAAACTTTAAATGTTCATTGTTTAAGAGCCTGTTGCCTTGCCATGACATTCTCGATAATGGAGCAGTGAAACATCTCTCTCTGCACTTAATTTCTCCTTAGCAGCCTGTGTGTGACAGATGCACTCCGCATTATCCATCAGACAGGCAGCCCTAGGCTGGCCTTAGCAGCATTTGGAGCTGTTACCTGGCATTACAGAGCTAAACCCAGCTCTGTGGCTGCAATGAAACAGCACAGGTCTGCATTTCTGACCCTTGTCTCGTTCCAGGTCACTACTCACTGCACTTCGATGCCTTCCACCACCAGCTCAGTGATGCTCCTCCGGCACTGCCCGCACGAACGTTGCGCAAGGTAATGGCAGGAGAGCGAAGAGGGGGATGCAGGAGCACAATGGGCCCCTGAAAGGGATTCCCCCCTTCTCTGCTCCCACCAAACAGCTTATGAACACAGAAACACTATTTATAACATGCTAGTAACTTGCACATGAGAAAACCCACTGAAAGTTCTTAACCTATTCCACAGCTGAATGCTACGAAATAACTCACGGGTTGTAGGTCCTTCCCTTTTCCTTTTTTGCACCATATGCTGTGATTTCAGCACCCTGATCATCACCTCAGCTGCTGTTTCTCTAACAGCTCTGGTGTTGTTGAGTGCACTTGTCTGCCCACAAGTGGTACTTCCATACATGTAAACCAATAATCCTTGACATTCTGAACATAAATGGAACTGCGCCGTTGTTAACAATGCTGTCAAAAGCTGAAATGGGGATCAACAACAAGGTGCAGCATTGCCTCGTTTGTCAATTTTAACCTGGTTTTGTTTCTCTCCAAACAGTCCCCTCTTCATCCTATCCCTGCATCGCCCACCAGTCCGCAGTCTGGTCTAGACGGCAGTAACTCCACTTTATCCGGCAGTGCCAGCAGTGGTGTCTCTTCCTTGAGCGAGAGCAATTTTGGACATTCTTCTGAACCGCCTCCTCGCACAGACACCATGGATTCTGTGCCCAGCCAGGCCTGGAACACTGACGAAGATCTAGAGACACCCTACCTCCCTGTCAGGTACAGTCTCTCTGAGCCTGATGTCCTGGAGACGCTCAAATCCCAGCCATGCCGAAGCCACTCTGCTCCATCTGGAGTCATTCCTCAGGACACCATGGACCCTCCTGCTTTACCCCCCAAACCTTACCACTCCCGGCTGCCAAACATGGAGAACGAGGAGGGGATGATGATCGAAGATGATGACAAACACCGCCCTTTGCATCGTAAAGTGTCCCAACCAGTGAGTGCTGGAAAGGAAGAGCAGGCCAGGGTGGCATGGGAGCACGGCATCAGCGAGCAGTAGGGACAGCTCCTGGCACGCAGCTGGCATTGGCATTCCAGGTCTGGATACGACAGAGACAGAGCAGGACTCGGAGAACAGCAAACCGATTTTCTACTGCCGCGAGGTTACGTCTGAAGCCCACAAAAGCAATTGGGCCAGCATGGCAGGTTGCTGCTTTCCTTTTTAATTTCTTTTTACACCTTTCCGTTATGTTTTTTAACTTTCTGTGCAGTGGACAGTTTATTCCTTCTGCAGTTTCTTAACCACATCACACGGCATATGAGCCATAGAGACTTGCAGAAGCTGAAAAATACAATTTTAAGCGGAGGGGAAAACGGGGGGAATGTGGCAAGTTGATTTTGAACCTGCTTTCCTCCCAGTTCTGAGACGCACATGAGTAGAAGCAGTTGCACTAGGGACATATTTCTTTGCTGTACAGAATTGAAAGCTCATTGCTGAAATCAGGGATTCTATGAACTGTCAGGCTGGAAGGTGCATGAGCTGCAGGCAGTGGAAAGATGGCAATTCTAAGAAGAAATTGGCTCTTTTGAGAGCAGGATTGTACATATCTGTGCAGTGATCTCCCTGCATTCGTTCATAGGTGCTGAGGCAATCTAAAGCAGTGCTGATGCACTGATCTCCAAGATATCATTTCCAACAAACTCTGCCTCCTTTGTTTTTTATGTACTGTTTCATTTCTTAAATTTTGCTTTCACTGGCTAAGCCAACCTGCTTTCTCATGGGAATCGTGTTATTCATCTGTGCTACAGAATGAGAGGAGGGTGGTGGCTACTGGAGCTACAACCTCATTGTAGGCCTTTCCCATGCCCAGCTTTGGGCAGGCTGTTGACACCAGCATTTCTATTCCAGATTAAAACAAAACCAACCAAATTGAGTTTCTCATGCCACAAGCTGGTTGCTGACCCAGCCAGTAAAGAAAAGGTGGCTTAAATGCATCATATCCAACAATCCTTGCCTCAGGGCTGATCATAATTCTCACCAACTTCCATCACCCAGGAGCTGAGATTCATTCCTGTTAACTCAATATCCTCAGTCCCTCCCAACAACTCACTGCAGCTGGTGTGCAGAATTTCCCATCTCTCAGAGCAGACAGAAAACACCAAGACTTGAGCAATGCCTGGTATCAAGTGTACACCCCAGAGTCAGGGACCTTAAAGGCAACCTGTAAAGAACAAGTGTTTGTTTCCTCTTTTGCTTCTTTAGAATGTGTAGTAAGAGCTGCTGCTCCTCTCTTCTGGAAGGTTGATTTCTTTTTCCTTTTCTCCTCAGGCAGCAATACACCCTTTCCCCATCCTGTATTTTTTATTAATAAGCTCTAGAAAGGACTGAAGAACATTGTAGGGCAACCAAGCCACATCACACAAACCAGAACTGTGCAGAGCTGAAGACAGTTCAGGTCTATGAACCCAAAACATGCCTTTTAATCAGCACTTGTACAGTTCAGGAAAAAAATATCAGTGGGTAATATTGTTCTTTACAAAGAAAAGATCGTGGTTCTAAGAAACCTTTTATTCCTGTTTTCATACTTATCAAGAAATTTTCAGTCAAAATAGTATCAAATATTTAATGTTTTTATATGAACAAGCCACCTTCCTTTCCCTTGCTATACCCACACACATTCTAGCCTGCCTTATAACCCTTTCACCTGCAGACTGCAAAGCACACTCCGTAGGCTGGAAACAGCCCTCCCTCTTTCCTACCACTGAAAAATCTGAAGCACATTCAAGACCTCCACCATATAAATTAGTGCCAGAAACAGGAACAGCACCCAACTTACATCTTGAATTCTTGCCTAACTGCTCAGTTTCTCCTGCTAAAAACAGCATAAAGAAGCAAAAAAGGATTATTATAACTCTTTTACAGGTCACCTTTAGCACTACCTCTAAATACAGTGACTGGGCAGAGTACATGGTTTCTGAACTGGCTAAAGAAGGTCTGGCTGTATAAAGTCTGGACTCAGCAGTTGTATGAAGGGGACTTTAAGAGGATTTGTTTGTTTTCTTTCTCAAGCTCTAGCCCATGCAAAACTACTAAGTTATGGATTTGTTTCTTAAATGGCCTATTTGGCTGGAACAAAATCTCTCTTGCTTCCTCTATTTTGTTACTAACACAGGCTGCTTGTAATCATTATATCCTTCACAATTTAAACAATGATAATAAAATCTGGCCTATAGTGGATGTTTCATCTTTAGCAGGAAGGAGAGTTTTCCAATGTTAGGACAGTCCTCAATGTTAACAAACCAGGCTGGATCTCTGGTATAGAACAAATGTAGGAAAACAACTGATGTTTTCAGTAAAGGTAAGTCAAGGTAATTCCTTAGAAAAGGGTGAAATGTTTTCACATATGCTATCCTCCAATCCCACTGAGACTCTTCCAGTGAATTTCTTCAAAGAACTAAGTTTTAATTTCATCTCCCTTGCCCCAGTTTCTTTTTTTTCCTGGCAGCAAGACTAAAAGTAGTAAATGTAGTGACTTACCGAGCTTCCTTAATGTGAAAAACCAGCAGGTCTTGCAAATAAAACTTTGCAGAACCAAGAATGCAATTACCATGGGACTGAGTCCCAGGCAGCTGGAAAACCTGCCCACCAGATCCCTAAGCAGTCTCTGAAAATGCATCATCCTGCTCTGATTAGAGACCTGGTACAACAGCAGCGAGTCCATTTGGGGAGTCTGGCTTTCCTATGTATTTGCAAGAGTTTGAAGATCAATCAGATGATGTGTACAAATACCTAATTTATGGCAGGTCCACAAAAAGAAGGGTGGAATAAATTGCTGAATTTACCAAATTTAAGCCTCTCTGGAGTTAAATTTCTGTTATTGTTCTGATATCTACCAAGTATTCTGTCTCCCTTTTCAGTGTTTGCCTTAAAGGGAGCAGAAGATAGAAAGACTATTATTGAGATTTTGTGAATCTTGGAACTAATATTGCCTGGAACTACTATTTCTCTGTAGGGTGAGGTGTCTTTTAGCATAGTACAACTCCAACGTCAAGCTCAGTCCTGGAGTAGGTGGAAGCAACAGCAGTTGTTGCACTTGCCCAACAGGATTTGAAGATTCCTTGTATAAAACACAGCAAGAGGATGTTTTGAACAGGACCTTGACATTCTATACCTAACTCTAATTCAACCTCAGTGTACTTGCCTTCATTGGGTTTTCTTTGCATAAGAAAATAGCATGTGCATTCCTGAGAAAATTGGTGGAATTCTGCTATAAATCTCTCCATCATCAGTGTACCTGCTGGCCCCATCTGAAACAAAATTGAGACGGAGCTACAGTGGTAGAAGAAAAGCAATTAAAACAATTTCTCTGAATCCTACTTTTTTTTCCAATAGTTGGGTTGGTTTTATTGCTGTATGCAAGAATCAGATCCTTTTTCGTATTTTCCTCTGTTTGGTTTTTAGCTTACTTACCCTTTTTTAGGTAAGGGATATTGCATATCCCTTCTGTGGAGTATCAGCCAAAACTGGGGAGGCTGGAGAGAGCAAGAGCCTTTGGGAAACAAATTATGTGATATTTAAAATTTCCTCTGGTCATGCTTCTTTGTAAATACCCCCATTTGAATGCTGTGTATTTGTACAGGAAATTGAGCAAAAAATGTATAGATTGTGATGTCTGACTGGTATTCTGCCCTGTAAATGTGTTTTTAACCTCTGGCATTCTGTGCTTATTTAAAAAAAAAAAAGGCAAAAACCTCTAACCACTTCTCTTTTGTGTATTCATGTTTAAAATAAAATGAAAACAGCTATCTTATCTATAATGGAAATCAAATTCAAAAGGAAAAAATTAATTTGTACAAGTGTCCTAAAGGTACTTCATTGTATATATTGTGATAGCATGTTTCCAGAACCAACAAATAAGTGGTGTGAATTTTAGATGTAAATATCTGCCGTTTGTTTTGGGTTCCTTTCCCTTCCCCATTCACTCGACTGCTGTGATGTGGAATTAAAGATTAATACCTGATATTAAAACAGTACAGCTGTATGGTGGTTGTCATCTTATTGCAAAAGTTCCATAGCTTCTCAGAGATTTCTCACGTGCAGCTCCTTGCAGCACTGACTCCTTCTCAGCACAACCAACAAAGTCCATCTCTCTCCTCACCCAGCTAACCCACTCTTTTGTAGCACTCATCATCTTATTGGACACAGCTGTGGCCTGTTAAGGGCAGGCCTGTTCCTAATCTTTGGTGATTAGTACAGCTGCAGCTCCTCAGGGGTGAGATTGCCTTCTGCACTATCTTTATTTTCTTCCATTCTATCCCCCCACATATGGTCATTGCTCTCCTCAAGGCAGGGCTACCCTCAGGCTGCTCCAAGCCTTCACAAGAGACAAGGAAGAGCCCTCACTTCCCACCTTTGTGTGAATGGGCAAAATGGGGGCCAACCTAAAGGACTTGGTGTGTAGTGAGGGAACAGCTTCCATGTTTAAGTGTTTTTTAATATCAACTCCTTGAAGCAAGCAGCAAGTACAGCCCCCTCCTGGTCTAGGCAGGCAGATGGACATGGCACTTGAAACAGCCCCAGGCACAGTTTTGGGGCCATACTTTCAGAGACAAAGCTCTCCCCTAGGACAGCTGTGGAGTGGCTGGGTGCCACTTCCTTATCAGCTGGGGTTAAACCACCAGGTCTCACTGCCTAAAAGATTGCTACACTTTTATTGCAATAGTATTTAAATACTGATCATTTTAACAGACTAGATGTGAAAGAATAGTAGTTAAGACATGTATGAACACAGGATTTGGGAATTGAGAGCTATGGTGACTTCTACAGGCTCCTAATCTCAAATTTTCTTCCATTACCACTAATAAACCAGGTCATTGTACAGAAGGCAAAATAACTCGTTTAATGTCTCGACATAGCAACAAAAAAAACTTCTGAAACCTGTCTCAAAAGACATTTAGCAGCAAGTCTGACTCTTCAGGATGTACATGGACTGCCAAGGCACCCTTTGCACACACCACATACAAATACTGAGAAGAGAAACTCTAACAGGCGACTGAAGCCTGTATCAGTCCCAGAATAGAATCATAGAATCATTCCAGTTGGAAAACACCTCCAAGATCACCAAGTCCAGCTTTCAACCCAATACCACTCTGCCCTCTAAACCATATTGTGAAGTGCCACATCCACTTGGTTTTTGAACACTTCCAGGGATGGTGACTCCACCATCTCCCTGGGCAACCTGTTCCAGGGCCTAACCATCCTTTCAGTGAAGAAATTTTTCCTAATATCCAACCTGAATCTTCCCTGACACAACTTGAGGCCATTTCCTCTTTTCTTGTCAATTGTTCCCTGGGAGAAAAGGCTGACCCACACCTGGCTACAACATTTCAGGCAGCTGTGGAGTGCTAAGACCTCCAGCCTGAACACCCTGGTACCCTCAGCCACTCCTCCTGGGACTTATGTTCCCAACCCTTCACCCTGTCTTCAATCAGACCCTTTGAGACTGTTTCTAAGCCAGCTTATTAAACCTTAATTTGTCTGAATAAAAAATACTTACTTAACTAACCAAGGACAGGTAATAAACATTGTGTTTTGGCACAACAAGATGTGTGAAGCCCTCAGCTTTAAACAAGAGTTTTAAAAATACTCTAGTTTCTGCTAAACCAACAGAACAATTTTTTTCAGTGCAAGTCCAATACTTTATTTAAGCTGCCACTAGTCAGATTGAAATCTAAATCCCATGTCCAAATACCTCTTCTTATCTAAATAAGAAAATTTCAGCCCAGTTTCAAAATATGACTTGTCCAACTCAGTATGAATTTCACTACAAAGCTGATAAGAGGAGAAATTAAACCTCTAGAAATGACTCTAACCTGGCAGATGAAAGATGCAGCCTTCTACACCCTATGCATAAATGTGCCTCCATTTCTGGATGATTCTTAACAAGCCATGGACACAAACACAGACAGTTCACAAGGCAGAGCTCCGAGCTCAGGTGTCTTAAGAGAAGGTTCACACACCACTTCTCTCTTTTGATGGCCTTTACTGTCAATCCCACATAAATTAAACCCAAATTTGGAATAGTAGATCTATTACACTTCATCTTATTTTCAGCATTCATTCACAGCAGTACTGCATTAACTTTTCCCAAACTGTTTCCTGTCCCCCTGACAGAAATCACTTTGTCCTTGCAGCCCAACACCCGAGGCTGAGCCCCTGCACCCCTCCCCATGGCTGTAAGAGATTTGTGTTCTCAGAAGGCAGAGCCAGCACAGCCCCAGCCCCCACAGCTGCCAGGAACAGCCTCTGCTTGCCTGCACCTCCCTTTGCCTGACTCCAATCCCCACAGACGCACGGAGCCAAATGAACTCTCCTGCCCACTCAACTGGCTGACTAGCCCAGAGCAGAGAAGGGTCCAGGCAGACCTCAGAGCACCTTCCAGCACCTAAAGGCATTCCAAGAGAGCAGGAGAGGGACTTTGGACCAGGCCCTAGAGTGATAAGGACACAAGGGAATGGCTTCACACTGACAAAGACCAGGATTAGACTGGATACTAGGAAGAAACAACAGCAAGGAGCAGCACAAGCTCTGCATCACCCAGGTCTCAGCCAGGACAATCCCTAATGCTTCAGAGAGACAGGGCCTGAAGGGTGGTGGAACAAATAGAGCCCCAAAAACCTCACCATGGATCAAGAAGAAGCACAAAGTAAAATGCAAGGAATCTATTCTAGATGCTGAAACAAACTATAAATAAAAAGAAGGAAAAAACCAAAAACACAAAAGGAGTCCTTGGTTTTCCTCAGACTCATTTGAAAATCCCATATTGAAATACAGAGGCTCGTTTCCCAATCCAAAACCAAATAAAATCATTTATCTTCTGTTCTACGAAAATGTATAAAGTTCTTAGTGTGAAGATGTTTCATAACTGCACTATTTTGGTAAGTAAACTCTGTCCTTATTATGACCTTCCTAATTCCAAATTTAAGCCCTATTCCCACCTAATTACAAAGCCACTTCATCTCACAGATCTTTTGGCCACTATCCTGATAAGAAACAAGGGCACCTCAAGCCACCACTTCTCTTCACAGCTAAGTGACTTTAGTGGGCAATAAGCATTATTTTTAAAAAGCCAATGATTTTCCTAAAGCATGCTGATATTGAGCAATCCTGGAAATCCTTATGGACTGACTTAATAATATTTATATTGATCTTAATAACCACATTTGGAGAGATAAAAAATCTAGAAATGTGCAAAACCATGTCTCCTAATGAACACATGATGTACTCTCACAGGTAATTAGTGTCCTAATTACTGCTCACCTGCTGTGCCCTTTCCTGAGTCAGGTGCTCCTCCTCCCCACACTGCCTGTCTCACCTCGTCAAGCTTATCACTTGCACCTGATGACCTGAAAGAAAATTCTGATTAGGCAGTGCCCCACCAGGCTGCCTCAAGAGCCTGGCTGTGCAAGAGAGTGCACAGAGCTCCATGGGAGCTCCCTTGCCGTAGTACAGGGCTGGATGACTTTGCCTCTCCCCTCTTTCACTGGAATGATATCCCAGGATACACAGAGTTATTCATAAAGCCGCACAAGGAGCTATCAGCAGGCGTGTGCTCCTCTCCCAACTCCACAGGAATTTCAGTTATAAACTCACAGTGTTGGGGATTGTTGAAGGTAGTTAATGGCACAAACTGTGAGAACTTTTAGAACAGAATAAAAATATTCTGAGTTGGAAAAGACCCACGAGGATCACCAAAGTCCAACTCCTAGCCCTGCCACAGGACAACCCCTAGAACCCCCCCTGCGTGCCTGAACAAAAGGTGATTAGGCCCAGCGACTAGAATATTAAGTTGGAATTAAACAAACAACATTTCTTTCTGCAAAAACACTCACCTAAGAAGCCAGAAACAAATGCACACAGGTTGCTATTTTAACCTCTCCGCTGTCCCTCCTCAAAGCATCCAGTCCTTGTCCCTCACAGGGTGTGCCCAGAGCCGCCAGTCCCTGCCGCTCCCAGCCCTCACGGGACACCCATCCCACGAACCGCCTGCCCACGGGCCTCGAGCGACCCCTCAGCCGCACCTTGCGCTGCCTCGCGCTGCTTCATACTGCTTCAAACCGCCGGGAGAGGGACGGAGGGGCGGACCGGCCCCGCCCGCCCTCAGGTGTGAGGATCTGCCCCTTTCCAAGATGGCGCCTGCGGCCGCCGTCAGGGAGCGCTCGCGAGCGCCCTTCCCTTATCAAAGATGGCAGCGAAGGGGGGCGGGGACCCGCGCCGCGCGCCGCCGCTCCGCCGCCTCTCCCCAATCAGCGGCCGCCAACTCTCCCGTGGAGGCGACGGCGCGGCCAATGGGAGCGGAGAGCGTGGCGGCCGGGAGGGGAGCGGGCCAATGGGGCGGCGGCGGCGGGGGCAGCCGGTGTGGGGTGGTGGTGCCGGTGCGGCGGGCGCTGCCGGGCGAGGCGGGATGCGGGCGGCCCACGGGCTTTGCGCGGCGCTGGCCCTGCTCCTGCTGCCGGCCGGTGGCCGAGCGCTGCGCGACGGGGACTGCGAGGGTGAGTGCGGCCGGGCCCGGCCCGCGGGTACGGCGGGGGGAGGCCGTTCCTCGCCGCCGTCTCCCGCAGTCTGGCCCGTCCGCCAGGATGTGGGGCCGGGACGCGGAGCAGCCTCGGGGCTGTGACAGCCCCGAGTGACAGCTCGGCCGCCGGGCCGGGCCGGGCCGGGCCGGCGGGAGCGCTGCCTCCAGCGGCAGGAAAAGTCTCCCAAGTCTGGCTAAGTGCGGACGGGCCTGGCCGGGCGCCGCTCGCAGGCCACCGGTGCCGGGGTGGTGCTCGAGGGTGTCCGGTGCCGGGGCGATGCGGCGGGCGGCCCGCGGGGCAGGCGGGGCGGGGCTTCCAGCCGTGCCCCGCGCCGGGGACGGGATCTCCCTTCCGAGAGTACTGCACTCTGCCGGGAAGTTGCCGGTCCACGGGGTCAGCGGTAGTGTAGAGTCCCCACAGGAAAGAGGAGCAACGACTCCGGGAGACCGGAGCGTCTC